ACAACTCGCAGGTTGTAAAGTACCCAGGAAAAGCTCTCTCGCGCTGTTGTCTTGCAGAGATCACAAGAGACAATGTTATCATAAGTGAAAAATCCCAAATTTCCCAAAATCTCACACGCAGAGAAACGACAGACGAGAGGTTCTGCGATATAGCGTCTATTCTATGACTATACACGTTTATAGAAAGCGAGTCGAAAAGTCCCCAGTGAGAAGAATGTGTGGGAGAAAAAAAAAGCTCTGCCTTCAAATGCAAATGAAAGTTGTTCACATACGCGCCAGGAAATCAACATGCGCGCAAGAAGTGAGAAGGAAAAGTGATATTTCAGTTGAAAAGCGGAAAGCAATGATTTCCATAATTTAACAATTTAATTCCCGCCTCTCATCCATTTCACCCCGCACAACTTCTCTCGTACTCTATACGCTTTTTTTGCGGCGTTCAGAACAGCTTTCAGCATAAACTCGAGCATTATAATTATCTTCTATCTTTGTTCATATCTGGCGAATGCTGAAAATCTGATTCCTCTGATTCCATTGTATCAATATTTCACTGCGCGATCCATTCATTTTGACTCTCTTTATGCTACTCTGTGCAACAAAATATGCTGCAGAACACAGAATTTGCAGTTCTCTGAACTATTGTCAATTGTGTCCCGAATTAATAAATATTTCATAAGTCATCAATTTTCCGGAATGACAAAGTTGAGTGTTTGGAGAAAAATAACAATTACTGTCACGCGCTCCAAATGTTGCCCAAATATAGGCATTTATTTCACATTTTTATATCTCTGCCACCCCATCTGATGTTTTTATGCACAAGCACTCAACTTTAGCATTACAGGCATGATGCTTCCGATTGGAATCTCAAGCAAACGAGTTATCACAGCACAGATAAGAGATCAATATGATTCCCAAGCGGTATAGTTACAATGTGTTGTTCGAATTCTTGATAACAACGGGCACATGTGAACCCGCTCAGTTAGTATAATATGTATGGCAAAATCTTCCTCTGTCGTTTAAAATTTATATTGAGTTATTAAATAGACAACTAACAATTGAGGCAAGAAAAATACTCTTGGGTAGATCAAACAAAAGCCTTGCGATGCGACAATCATCAATCATCTAGCGCGCGATCAACTCTAATGGCATGAGATCGACTCTATGCGGCCCTTGGATGACACACAGAAGGTGCCTCCAATGAACCTTACCATGTGTTTGCGAAGGAATATCGGATCGTGTCGCCTTCTGTGCGACGTGAACTGAATAAATATGAATTGGGAAGGCGCAAAAACAAGGGGAGGATGTGAAATTTCCTACCCCACAAGCGGACAGATCGTGAAGGAGTAAAAAAAAAGTGGAAGGAAAATAAGAAGAAGAACAGAGACTTGGGAGAAAATGAATGGAAGTGACTCACATACATAAAAATATTGTATTGCCAATGAAATGGAAAGCTTCCGGGTGGGATCCTTTCGGGGTGGAATGGGCTGAAGGAGGCCCATAAATAAATATAAATGGTCCACCAAGGAATTTGTGTGTGTGTGACGATATTTAAAAGGGGTGCGGAAGACAAAAAGGAAAGAAATATACGATACAAGGAAGAGACAACACAGAGAGACAGTGAAGGATGTGATGAGGATGAGAAAATGCGATACCATGAACAATATTCAACTTATTGACATACACATGTAAGTTGACATTGTGCCTCGGAAAATCCACCACCAGCTGCTAAAAAATTCATCCCAGCGCAAAGTGTACGGGGTGGCGTAAAATCGAATAAATCTCATCTAACAAACACATTCAGCCATCATAAATTGAAGTTATAAATCATTTCTCAGCCGCCTCTGCAGAATTGAGAGGGAAAAAGAAGGGATTTTTCATTTGGAAGGAAAACACCATCTCCCCGCAAAGAAGTGAAATATTATTGAAGGCTTCTTTCTTTTCGCTAAAAATGAGATTTGTCAAGTCAGAAAAATACATGAATCTACAATATATATTCATACAAAAAAGAACCGACAACTTTCGGTTAACAAGATATCTTTGTTCAAGTATTCTCATGTCGACTGAACATGAGAACAAAAAGAATGTAAAACTGCATAGAATTTTTCCATTAAATCTCTCCCTTTCAGTGCCTCACATATTAAATTCATATCCGAGACTGTAATAAATGCATTAAAACACATTTTTGCCTATGTTTCAAGCCATGATAAGCATAAACTTTCCTCCTACAGCTCAAATACATTGTCTGGGAAATGTTTCACAACGATTGTGTCCTGTTACAACTTCACAAGTGAAGGTAGAACATGTGATATGATAGAGTGTTGGAAAAAGTTTGATAGTTTGCGGGAGAGCTTTCAACTTTCACTGCACATCGTCACAATGCGCAATGGATAAGATAATAAAAAGCTTCTGCCGCTACATTTGTACGGCATTGAGCTCAACACTTTTGACAGAAAGTGAGAGACAGCATAGAATGTCGACGATATGTGTGTAAAACAATTAAGTGTGACAATATCAAGCATGATGACAAAGAGCTAAATGTACAAAAGCTTTTGCAGTATCACAAACTTCCGGTGAATTGCTACACAATGGTAAAAATTGTGGTTTTTCATCTGTAAAGTTAGCATAAAACACACTGTAACTTTATAAACCACTGCGTACATAAATGTCTCTGTGATGTGCGAAATGAACTTCAATTACTTTGTACAAACTGCTTTCAAATCAGACTGCGAACCAAGAAACTTTCGACGAGAGATTTAGCAAAACATTTGCAAAATGTTAATTAATTAAAACAATGTAAGATAGCCGCAATGAAATTAATTTAACAATTAGGAATTATATCCCGAATATCAGCGCAAATTTCAGTGTATACACATAACTTGCATGTTGAAATTTGCTGTTTATCTTCGCTCACCAATTAATTTGTGTGGAATAAAGTTTGTACCCGATATTTTGCATATATTTCATGTAAATGAGTTTAATTTTCCACATCCTCATGAGATTCTCATCAACCAAAGCATATTAAATATCATCTCTTGACTGCACAGAAAGTGAAGCCAGGAATAATTTTAATTGAGAAATTTGGTTCATTACTACATTGCAGGCGTGAAAATGTTTATATGGAGATCAAAATGCTCATTAAAAATATAACTACATGCAGAAAAGCTTTCATTGTATCATTTTCATAGAAATTATTAATCACACTTTTGCAAACAACAACATATATTGACTCTTTTTATGATTATACTATAACATATTTCAAAGCATAGATATTTCATGCGATTTTTCATCACTTTTGACAGCCATAAAAGTGAGAAAAGCCACGCAAGAAAAGCTGTGTGTATAAACACTGCCATTTTGGAAGAAAGAAAGAGAAAAACATCCAAGCTTTATGTGGAAATCACGATAAAAAAAGACACATTCTCATAATGAGGAACTTTTTGACTGTGTGTCTTTCCTTCCAAGGTAAAGTCTCGCCAGAGAAAATTCCACACACACACACACACACACACAAAACCATTGACATTTTCCAAGGCAGCAACTTCAACCGCCCTTTTCCAAAACTAACTGACTAACTGCCGTGCTCTTCATCTTCTCTCACACTAAAAAATCCATCCCAGAGAAATCCGCCCCTGGCCAAGGGTGTTTTGTCGCTCCCCTCCTCTGCAGGTTGACATGGAGATAAGAAGAAAAGCGAACAACTGGAGGAGAGTCAAAATGAGGCACAGAGGAAAAGAAGAGCTTGGAGAGGAAACAAAAGAAAGGTAAATTGGGTGATTTCGTGTGAAAATGACGGTGATAAATCTTGTAGTTGTTAAAGACGGAGGGAAAAGCGTGAAACGTTCACTCCTTGCCAGAGTCGAAGAAAAAATCCACGCGAATTGTCATTCGAGAGGGAGTAAGAAAAACAAGATGCTCTGTTCTTTTCCCCATTCATTGCATTCATTTGAAATATCATTTCCCGTGCATTGGCTTTTCACAGGGATGTTTTTAATGAAAATGCATATTAATTATATGCTCGTTTCGGCATCGAGAAGGCCAAACTACTTGATAAGTCAGTCTTGGAAGTTTCCTTCGAAAGATACCATAATTCAATGGACTCCGCAATTACAATTGCATTGTGGCAAACATGGAAAACAATGAGAGACTCTCTGTGCATTCGCCAAGACAGACGAAAGCTCATGGCAAAGCACCTAAATTATATCAATAATGTTGGGGCGGGTTCCTCGAAAACCAGCAACTTAATTAAGTTTCTCCTCATATTTGCATACACACACACCAAACCACACTACGCCCCATGTGAATATTGAATTTAATTTTACACCCATATTTATTTATTGGGAAGTCCCGCTGGGAAGTGACAGTCTCATAAAGTGATGGAGATAAAACATCCCGTAGAACAAACTAATGTGTTTTCCACCCAAAAATGCAGCTCCAAAGCTTTCAAAGTTCAAATAAAACACATTGATATATTCATATTATGGTCAGAATCACAAAACAATAGTTAGAATTTAATTCCGCTAATTAAGCAGTTATCATTTTGTATCCATTTCCAATCCAATTTTTTAATGAATCTCTAAATTTTCTTTGGGTAATAATAATTAGAAAAGATCTTCGTACAATTATAAATGATTTTTTTTTGCTTTTTGGAGAAATGTAAAAAATTGTTTTGAACAACCACTGTAATCTTTATAATGAAACAACCGAAAAATTAATTTCTTACCAAATGCCTTTGGACACGAAACCACACAATTTCTAAGAATTCTTCTAAAATTCTCTTGAAGTGTTTTTCGTGACTCACTAATTAATCGAGTTCGACAGAGAGTCCGAACACGATGTACAATAAAGCCGAGAATAAATAGCAAAAGCAGTTAAATCACTGTGGTTTTGTATGAAAAATTGTAAAATTTCGGTTATCTCCCCTTGGATTTATTGATTGTTAAAGCTTCTTTTGCTCCCCTCACAATAGAAGTGTACAAAAGTGGAGTGAAAAACACATGACTCACCTTCAAGATCGACGACTCTGCCCGCCCTCTTGAGCGCCCTGACAGCTTCATCGTGTGTGGCATCTCGCAATTCCTCTCCGTTCACCGACAGAATAGCGTCGCCCACGTAGAGTCCCTTGGCATTATCGGCCGCCATGCCACGGAAAATCTTCGATATGAGAATCGGCATGCGGTTCTCTCGGCCGCCCTTTATTGAAATTCCCAGCCCATTGTTGTCCGATTTTATCACACGCACCTATTGAACAGATAAAGCACATCTCAGCCAAATGCTCTCTGCTGCACAATTTCCGATGGAATAATTGAAATGTGCACTAAACTCACGTGTCGCTTTTGATTCGCCACATGATCAGGTACATCGCACACTTCCGCCACGCCATTCTCCAGCGGATTGTTGTTGTTCAGCAAATGTTCACCACTGTTGAGATCGTCCGAATTGAGTGATGGTCCAGCGGATGACGGCAAAGAGCCACCGGACTCATTGTTTCCACTGTGATTGCTCCTGGTGGAGAAGAGCACACAATACGCACAGTGAAATTGCACCCATTTTCCACAAATTCTAGCAAAGATTGGCAAATAAATCGCATTGTGCTTAAAAGATTTTCCAGTCAGAAATTAATACCCAACAATGTGAATTGCATAGCGTGAAAATGACAATATCTCATTGTACAGTGCGAATAAAGACGAGATATCGATTTCAGTTCACTTTAAATGAGAAGAATGGACATTAATTCTTTCGCATTAATTTCTCACCACGCAAATGAGATGCAAGAAATTAATTTTCTTCCATCTCCAATTGAAGAGGAGCTTCCAAAGCTCCCAAATCTTCAGAAGCTCAGAAAAAATAAACACGTATTATGAGATTATGATTTTTTTTCCAAATTAAGGATCAGAAAAACCATCAATCGTTCATCTGGCGCCATTCGGGTGTTCTAGAAAGTTGGTTGTTTTAAAGTCAGCTATTCCAAACTGTATTTTTTTGCCAACTCTGACATTCATGAAATAAATGGAAGCCAGAAAAGAATTCAATTTTCAGTGCAACAGTCAATATTGAAACTCATTTGAATTCTTTGGTTTCAGGTGAAATTAATAGGAAATCAATCAATCCAATGCCGTGGACATTTTAGTTGATTCAAGGGTTGATTTAAATGCAATCACAAGCGCGTGAGCACAGATACATAATATAATTCGCCAGCAATAAATAATGAGTGTGATTTTCTACGGTGCAGCCGCACCATCAATATCCTGCCAATTGAATTAGTATCTCATTATTGAAAATTAATTTATGTCCAAGCCCGGCCAAATGGCGGCCAGAAGCGCCCTCGTGGGAGTTTCCAAGTGAGAAATGGCATTTTGAGAGACAAAAACTGCTCACCCAAGAGTTCCATTGAGGGTCGTTGAGTGGTCGACAGGATCGCAGGACTCGTCGAGACTCACGGAGAGATAATCGGCTTCCAGTGTCACCATGACGCGATACCAAGCGCCGCGCACACGAGTCTCCAGGACGCCACAGCGCGAACCGGTCGACGTGGCGGGATTGTTTCTCATTCCTGATTCCACCATTTTCCACAGTCACTGATCACACGGCAATCCACTTTTCCACTTGCCACCACTTCACCTGGCGCCACGTGTGCAATTATCACCCGCGGTGAGACAGTGAAGCATGCTGCAGCACAGCAGAGTCCTCGTGAGAATTGATGCGCCTCAGCAGAGTCCTGCGAATCAATAATTAAAGTGTTCTCATGTACACAAATGTCACTGCGAAAGTAATTATATTGCACAGATGTGCAGTGAAAAAATGGCAATTCAATTACCCTTTTTGTGCACCCAAAACACCCAAATATTACATTTCATAAAATGCACACCAGAATTTATCCCATATGATTTATGACACAAACGCAAAATGTTTCACCTTACGAAGAACAACAGGGCATGATTATAATTTGCGGCAGATGAAAAAGCGAATGCGGATGTTGTAACAAATTTCCCAAATATCGCAGAAATGAATTGAAAATCCGATTAATGGGCATTTTCACTCATTTCCCACCTCGCACAGGTGCCATGAAACACTGCACTTCTGGCCGCCAAACGATCAGACTTTCAAAGAAGCTTAACTTCCATTTGACTCTATAAATCGATAGAGAAGATTATAATTACACTTTGCGACAGCTTTTCAACAAACTAAAATGATTAAAATAAAATAGGATCAACACAACTGAAGTTTGTATGATTACCGATATTTAATTCTTTGGAGCTCAAAATCACAAATTCCGCGTAAAATCCTTGAAAATTTCCACAATTTTTCCCTTCCTGTGAGTAAAAAGTATATTTATTTGGCGCTTAAGAAAGAAGACTTGAAAGCGTTTATAAGAAATCCAAAGCTCTATAGATAATTGTATATATAGAATAGATGAAAAACACACTCCTCTTTCCACTCGACAATTTCAACGTGAGGAAGTTCATGAGAGGAAAACAAACCATTTGGGGATTGTGGAGAAAATCGATAAGAGAATTTCCATCAAACCACCACCCATTTTCTTGGCAGCTCTTTCTTCTGACTCTCTTCTTGCTCTCCGCCCAGCAATTATTCCGTACAACTTCAAAGGGAATTTATAGAAACTGAAATAAGTATTTAATAGAGAGTTACCGAACAAGAAATTTTCTATCCAATTTTGAATGTTAACTATTGCAAAGTATGCAACTCAGCACATTCCTTTCCACCTTTTTTTTAGCACCACGAAAACGCTTTTCACAGTGCATGCAGATAAAGCATCATTTCCAAGCTTGCAATGTCACTCATTTCAGCAGACGACAGCAACTTTTTCCCCAGCGACCCTTCAACGAACATAAGCCGAAAGGGTAGCGCGCTTTAACAGCTATTTTCTCATACATTCATCATTAAATTTTTACAGCCTGCAAAGGTAATAGCGACAGAATTCGTCATCTCTTGTGACATGACATCGCAGCGATAATAAAAAAACTGATATATGATGTAATACAAAATTTTTTCCTCGCTTTTTTCCAATGCCGCGCAATTGATGACTTCTCCAGGCGATCATGTCGCTCTCACACACTCAAATGCGGACAATCGAGTGAATTGCAATTCTGTCCATTGCACAGAATTTCCCTTCGAAATCTTTCGTTACAGAGGAATCGGATGAAAGATTTATTTCAGCCAGACGTGAAGTTTAAACTCAAAGCCTCTCAATCCCACACACATTCAGATTTCGACATCCAAGTCTGTCGGAGAACCAATTGGTATGTCTGCTGGGCACGAAAGAGAGAAGGTGAGAAGTGGCATATCTCAATTTTATCATAGTGATAAGGCATTCTCACACTTTGAGTCAATAAAAGTCAATCGAGATGTGATGGGAATCAACATTGCCAATCTCATTTTCAGCCCTAACTGACAAGTCATATCGCTGTAATCACACTGTCCAATATGATTGCAATTCACTGGAGGGTGAATGTACATACATATAAGTAGAGGGAGAAAATGCTAGATTGCCAATCAAGGTGAGAAATTCCAAGAAATGTCTCACACACCTAAACACAAGCACCAAAGTCAACCCATAAATAATATGTTGGAAAATAAATGAACAATTGTGCTGACATAGTTTGGACGGAAGTCTCTAAAAATTGAATTAAATTGTTGACATTGAAATACTTTGTTTTGCTTGCCACAAGTAATTCCCTTTTCTTTTATGTGAACTTTCCTCTTTCACTCTTCTCACACATACTTTTGCCCACGGCGGACTCTCAGCATAATTCTCACGAGTCACGCTGAGTAATTAGCATAACGTGCGCGACACTGTATATGCTTTCAATCCAACAAAACTTGAAGAAGGTAAAAACACGAGAAATTCTGATGAATACAGAGGAGTTTTTACCATTTTCACGATATGCTTTTCCTCTCCCTCAAAGAAAAGCTCACGAGAAACTTACAATTACTATAAATCTGATTTAAGTGGCTCGCATTGCTTCTGTGAGTAATTTTGCTGTATAGATAAAACTTTAATTAAGAAAAAAAGTTGTCAATTGAGACGAAATCACATGTGATTTCGGCAATGAATAGCCTGAACCGCGCTTCTCGTTCAATTACTCACAAAAGCTGTAATAAATGCAATTATAATAGCAACAAAAGGGCCTTTACTCCTCTAGCATGCACTCTCGCCGTCACTCGTGCTACAATATCACCTCATGTGTGAATTAATTTCTGGCGTGGATTCTCCGAACTATGTATCGTCTCTCCACATATAAAACACATAACAAAATTGCGCGGTGGAAGGGTGGTTAATGGCATGCAAATATTTGTAGGTCGTTCCTCGTGTTCTCGAATACATTCCCTCTGCATGGATGTGTTCACTCTCAAGAATCCCCAACTAGTGGGTTGATTAAATATTCCACCGTACACACAATGGCTTGCTAAAGTAATGACACAGTCGGAGTGATTTTAGGTATTTCTCAATGTTGTGTGTTTTGCTGGCTTCTATTTTGCACAATTCATCACACAATCACAATAAGTTGCATCTCTAATTCAAGAACCTAATAACCAGAAAAGAAAACACAACATTCAACGTTAAGCAATTGAAGTCTTACAATTTTAATGCCATCGCAAGCGAGGTGTTTTCATTATCTTATTAGCGCCGCGAGATTAAGTTAAAAGGCGAAAAATGATTTTCAAGGAAGCTTAAAAGCTTCAAGACTTGATTTTTCTATGCTCTTTCAAAAGATAACACGAGGATCAGGACTTTTCTCTTTGTCTATCTTTCTCGTGAATCTTTCTCCTCTTTCAGCATAAAGAGATTATAGCAATTTTATAATTTTCCATCCCACATTTCCCGCACATTCTCAAGAGCTTATTAGCATCGACTTTTCTCTCCGGTGGAATTCGCTCTGTGAGAATAGAAATGGTTAATAAATGTGCTAAATACCACAGCTTTATTTCAATTCATCAGAATGAAGAATGAATAGAGGAGAGTTATTTTCATTGAGATGAATGTGGTGTTTTTATAGTAAATATCACACACACACACAATGTTACACAGAATCATTGACTTGTGTGTAATAAATGTTGATTTAGAGCAATTGGAGTATTTCTCACAACACTAAGTCCACAAATCGTCATGCACTTTTCAGAATTTCTACTCTCTTCCTCCTCCACACATCCCTCATCCAATCCAACCCTATTAAGCTCTGACATGCTCTCGTGCTACAGTGCAAATGCGAGATGGACAATTGCGTTTGACCCCAGAAGTTGCATTGTTATCGTGCGATGCTGTAGCACAAAGTGAACAATTGATGAATGAAAATTAATCAAGTAATTGCACATTGTGTCTTCCCTCCAATGCGACTATCGGTGACTTATTCTGACCCATTTTCATTGCTTCACAACAGCAATTATCTATCCATTGTTGGGCTGCAATATCCTGCTCTCTAATCCGTTTGCGGTTCTGACGCGCTCTGGTGAAATTGGAGAAGCTGACATCCTTAGAAACACTGCAGACGCCCCAACACTTACAGGATCCTCTTATTGATTTCCGTTTGTTCGTTTGTTTGTCAACAAGGATGTAGAATATCTCATGAATTTGTGAAATGTGACAGCTGATTACGGTCTTTATGACTGCTAAGAATTCATTGCAATTGAATTTATCACATTGTCATCATAGTGTAAATGCTTAAAATGCTTGCTAACATTTCGAACAAACATGTGACTGACATTTGAAGCGATTTTTAGAATTGTCTTGGAGAAAAAATTTGTATTTTATGCCTTAAACCATGAAATTTTTGTCTAACCAATTTTATGTTCAAAGCTCTGCTTCATCATGGATTTATCTTGTTATTAATGCCCATAACAATATAATGTTAATTGCCAAATTTGTGCGTTATTTTTTTTTTAAATATCTGTCATTGTGATTTTGATTATTTTCACAAATCGCGAATAAACATTTCCATTATAGCGTGTTAATTTAATTTGTCAGCTTCACTTGTGATCCAACCAATGCTGCCCTTCATTCTTCAATTATAGAACATCCAAAACAAGACTCTTTTCATCTTCCTCCATCGCCACAATATTACAAAGAGGCCACAGAAAGAGTGATTTGAGTTATACTTCAAATCCTCCCTCATTAATCGTGATCAATTTTTCAAGCAAAAAACTTTCTCAATCACTCAACAATTAATTGATTTCCCTGAAAAGCCCCGCAAATTGTTGAATTAATTGAGAATTCTCATCCCACACTCGCCGAAGAAATATAATGAAGTTGCCTATAACTGATACTTCGCAAATCGAACAGCGTTCTTGAGGCGGCCCACAGAATTCCTCAAATATAAAGAGTCTGGGCTGAGCAAAACATGCGTTTGAAGATGTGCTTTCGCACTGGAATGTTTCTAAGAAATGCATTTTCCGAGCATAGAAGAGCATGAGAAGATTTTCTTTAAAATATACACACATCTTAGACCTGCTTTTTATATATACCTGTGCGTTGGCGTTTATCCTCTTCAAAGAATCACTTAATCCTGTTATGAGTGGCTTCTGTGGGAAACCTCTCTTCTACTCTCTCTCTCAGTCACTTTCACCGATAATTCACTCGCTCAAGGATTTCCACTTGTACTGCGCTCTCACGTCATTGCGACACTCACGCGCGTGAAGCATCGAGCCTCTGTCCGACAATGTGTACCACTTACAACTGGAAACACGGCACCCACAGACTCTCGTGACACACTCTCGAAGCTCAGGCGAAAGCACACAAACACACGAGTCGTCTCACGTTGTCTCAGAAGTGGAATCGAACCTCTGGTATTCTGTCGAATCTCTCGCTCTATCTCACTTTCTCCACACTGTTAGTGAAAATGAGACAAACACAGCTTCGCATTAGTCTGCAGAGACCGGCGTATTTTTGCACTTTATCACCCCAAAATCACATTAAATGCCAAGGTTCAATTAGAAATCCATCGTCACTGTGCACTTCCTTCCAGAGACACTTTGGTGCACGCACTTTTGGGGGAAAATCAATGAAAAACCAGTGGTTGACTTTGGAAGATGGTGAATGGCCAAGAAGGAGGAGAAAACTAAGATACAGTCAATATGCGATGTAACAAATGCGCTTGTGAATTTTCCATAAAACTGCGGTTGCGCAAATAATCCTACAATCGCGTACACACCTAAAATACTCCAGTTCAGAAGCCCTCTTCTTCTCCCGCCCGCGCGACTGTCATTTTCCCAACTGTCCCACTCGAGTCACACGCAGTCTCGTGGAAAAACATACTCACACACACACACACACATTTCTACTCACAATTCCCAATGCTTCTTCAGGTTCTTCAGCGGAGTGTTTTCCGTGGAAAACCGACCGAATATTCAAATTATTCTCGGTTTGTGTCACTGCTGAAAAACTAATCCATTTAAAACATTCAAAAATTTCTATCCTATAAATCGGTTTTATATTCCAAGTGAAAAAAGTGTCAAAACTATTACAAAAAAAATCAAAGATCACCATTGAAAGCTTCCCTTTTTAAGGGTAAATCTTGTTATCTCCTTAAATACCCAGAGTTTTCCCCACAATCTGAATGCGCGTTATTTGAATTCAATCAATGTTTAACGACTGTTTCAACCATGTTTCACTTAACCGGCACAAAATTATCCATCTGTTTTTTTGCATGCTTTTCTGCAAATATCTTCCCTAGAGATTATAATCTATCTACTTGAATTCACTCAATTTCAGTCTCAATAACTCATAAATTCATATGTTCTTCAACTTCCAGAGTCAACACTGATTCAAAAAGCATCAATTTTCGCGATTCCTTGCTTTATTGCGATGTGCAATGTAAAAATAGTTTACAATTCTAATAGTATTTCATGATTTTCATGCCTAAATCTAGAAGTACTTCATAATATGCGGCTCGATGTTGATGCTCTGCGTCATGATGGATCTCATGACGAATTCCGTTGTGCATATGATGCGATTCTGCTTGCCAGACCGCGTGAGATCCGCCAACAGATGAAGATCATTGGCGCAGCTGAGGATTATGTAGCTGTCCGCCAGTTGCGCATTCGCCTCCTGGATCTTCAGCACGGATCTCCTGGCCTTCTCCACCTTGCCGCCACTCGCCTCGATCATCTGCGTGAGCTCACGCACGGCCGGTCGCACGCTTGGCGTGATGTAGAACGTCTTGCCGTCGAACAGTTGTCCCCTGTTCGGATTCTTCACCGTCTCGTGGATGTCGCACTTGAAGTTGTCCTCGAAGGTGGCATCCTTGATCACGTACGCGTCCAGCGGCTGGAAGCTGCCCTCCTTGGCGCTCTCCATCAGCCACTGCGTGCTCACGATGTGCTTCACCACGCACATGGCCAGCAGTAGCTTGTGCGTGCGCGTTAAACGAGTCATCACCAAGTGCGTGGCCTCGAGAGGATTCTGCACGACAATTCCGCCGAGAGAACTGCAAGAAAAGCCACACATTTCGTATTAAAAGCGCCCAAGATTCAATCGCAAACACACTCACGTCACCGCTCGCGTCAAGCCATCGAGATTGTCCACTTGCGAGAAGAGTATCTTAGGCACTTCGTCACCTTCCGGCGTCTTTGTGCAGACAATCTCATCCGGGATGGGCTCCAAAGGTGGCAGAGTGCGTATTTTCTTGGGCTTCGGCGCACTTTGTGGCTCCGAAAGGCACCGCTTGACCTTCTCATGGGACTCCTGAGTGAGATTTATCGGCGATTTCCACGCAGCTGAAAGAATAACACACAAAATAAAGACACTGCGAAGAAAGGAATTCAACGATTGATTACTAGAGGAAATCCTCGGAAAGGACTCAAGGACGAAATGCAATTAAATATCTATGGTGACTCACTCATGAGGTGCGGCACGAGGCCGTACTCGATCCTGAATGGGCCCATGAGGTTGTATTGCTGATACTTGGTGATCTCGTACTGCGACATGGAGCTGAGATTGCCCAGCAGGATGTCGCTCAGCCACGTGGCGTTCACCACCGGCACCGCCCAATCCTTGGCGCGCCGATACTTGGCGCCCTCGGGCTTCTTGCAGATCAACACGGTGTTCTGCTTGCTGAAGTAGCCCGTGAACTTGCCGCCGGACTCCTCCACCATGTTCTTAATGCGCTGTCGCTCGTCGCCCTCGAAGCCCGAGATGGCGATGATGTGCCGAGTCGCCGGCTTCTGCATGCCGAACGTGCTGGGCGCCGGCAAGTGGATCGCTTGCCATGGCGGCTGCACCTGCCGTCGCAGAATCGTGTCGTTCAGCCAGTACGCCGTCACGCAGCGCTTTGAATCGCGTATCGCCTGCATCACGACGCCGTGGCGCTGCGTGCGACACAGCACGTGCGTCACCTTCTGACAGTAGAACGACTCGATCTCACCGCCGTGCTTCTGGATCAGCTCTCGCCACGCCGGCAGCTCGGCCTTGTTGGTCTCATCGTACTCCACCACGAAGAACGTGCACCCGAGCAGAAACAGATCAGGCGGCAGCTTGAGATTTGGATTGTGACCGTAGAACTGCGGCCGCGGCGGAAGCGGCGTGCGTCCTGGACTGAAGGGCGCCGTGTTCTTCAGCGGGCCGCCGGCGGAGGGCGATTGTGGCACGACGATCGGCAGCTGTCCCTGCGCCACTTGCGCCACAACAGGCGAACCGACCGTGGCGCTGTTCGTGATGTTGCCAAGCGTGCGTCGCTGCATGGCAATGATGTCCTGAGAAGGACGAAAAAGTGTTAGAAAAAAACCCTCAAATTAAAGCGCTAAACAGATCGATGCGCAGACATGTACCTGGGGCGTCCGCGGTGTTCCGGAGAGACTCAGCGCGGCGTTGTGCTGCGCCGTCATCATGCGCAACGTTCCTGCGGCAGAAGGCTCAGACTCAGGCACTCCCGGCGTCCCCACGGCGCCATTGTTGGCGCCACTCAGACGGCTGTTCAGCATGTTAGCTAGCGCCGTCTTAGTCTTGTTGATCATCTGCCCAGCTGGCGCCGCGGCCTCCGCGTGCGTCTGTTGCTGCGGCTGCACCGATTGACCTCCGTCCACCGTCGCAGCCGCGATCTCAGCCTGCGCAGCCGGGAATCCCGCGCGTGGCATCACAGTCTGTCCGGCCGCAGATTGACTGCTGCCAGCCGCCGGCGTGATAACCTTCGCCTGTCCCGGCGTCACGCCTTGCTGCATTTGCAGCATCACGCGCTGATAGTGCGGCGGCGTGGCGGCTCCAGCGTCCACCTGGTGAAATTGACCTCCTGCCGCCGGTGCGGGTTGCACTGTCGGTTGCTGCACGACGCCGCCGCCCGATGTCTGCTGCGAGATCGGCGACAGGCCGGGCGCATTGGTCTGGCGCACGAGCAGCGGCCGGTTCTGCCTGATCCACTGCGCCTTGCTCTGCGGCGACAGGCCGCCAGGCATTTGGCTCTGGATGAGGATGTGTTGGTGGCCGCCCGCGGGGAGCTGCGCCGTTACGATGCCCGGCGGCGCCGCGCCCGGACGCACGCCGGCCGGGAAGATCTGATGGCGCAGCATGATACCGCGCTGCTTATTCTGCAGCTTCGCAATGTACTCCGCCCGCCGCACGGGATCCAGCGTCTGCAGGTGTGCGTGTGTCTGCGCATCCAAGTGAATGAGCTGACGCTGCGGCACCGCCGGCGCTCCGCCCTGCCAGTGCGGCCGAGCGGCCCTCACGTACGGCCCCTGCGGTGTCGTCCACTGCTGCTGCCCTGCCGCCGTCTGCTGCTGCTGCCCGGCCATCGTGACCATCCTCTGTGGCACCTGGCCGCCACTTTGCTGCGCCCCCTGGACGATCTGCTGCACGATCTGTTGCGGCTGTCCCGGTTGGTTCTGCGGCGGCAGCTGACTGGGCGCGTTCTGCTGCACAATCTGGCCGCCTGACATGTTGAGTTGCGGCTTCTGCTGCATCTGGAAAGTCATCTGCTGCTGCTGCTGTTGCTGGTGCTGCAGCGTGTGCAGATACTGGATGTTCTGCGGCTGCTGCTGGCCCATGATTTGCTGCTGCGGCTGCGCTTGAGCCGTGGCCTGGCTCACTGGTGCCTGTGTCACCTGCGCCGCACCCTGCTGCGGCACAGACTGCTTCAGACTCGACTGATTGATAATGACGATATTCTGCTGCTGCTGACTCGGCTGTGCGTGACTCTGCTGCTGCATGATGATGTGCTTGTTCTGCATTTGCTGACCCACCAAATTTCCGCCACTCTGCAATTGATTGGCAAATATTTGCTGCTGCTGACTGTTCAGCACTGCAAAGAGAAGGAAAAGATAATGAAATTTACAGTCCAGTCCATCATAACATTTTAAACTATTCTAAAAAACACAAATCGCTAAATTAATAGACTTTTAGTAAAATTTTAGCAAAAATTGTGGATCACGCATTTTCCCTTACTTTCTACTGATTATCAGTTAATTTTACTTGATCATTTTGGTCGATTTTCTCTAGCTCAAGCTAAAATCCATAATTGTCGTGCCTAGACGAAGAGCGACGGTCGACTTACCTTGTGTGTTCTGCTGAATCTGGATCATGGCGCCGGCTTTCAGTTTCTGCGCCTGTTGTGGCGTCGCTTGGATGAACTGTACCTGCTGCGGCGGCTGCGACGCGCCTGCCTTGGCGTGCGCCGTCAGCACGTGCTGCTGAATCATTTGTTGGGATGCCGGCGTCGCGATAATGTGCGCCTGCTGCTGGATCATTTGCTGCGGCGCCGCGCTCTGCTGAATCAGCTGCTGCCGAATAATGGTCTGATTACCCTCCGTCGGGAAGCTCTGGCTGATCTGCGGGCTGCTGATCTCCGTTTGCTTCATCTGCTGTGGCGCTGGTTGGAAAGCCGCCGCCGCCGCACTGACTGGATTCTGCAATGTGGGCGTCGTTTGGCGGATCTGCAGCTGGAACTGCTGTTGCAGACTCTTGTTCTGCAGCTGCTGCTGCATCACCGCCCGCGGTCCGCCGGGCTGCTGCTGCAGGATCAACTTGTTGCGCACCGCGGGCTGAGTCGCCACCATCTGGGGCTTCGGAGGCTGACTCTGAGGCGTGCTGACAGTCTCAGCGGTCGCAATTGGGGCCTTCGGCACGGGAAGTTCCGTCTTGGCGATGCCCTCCTCGAAATCGAAGCCAATTATGCTGGCCAGCGTCTGCTGCGACATCTCCACCGGCGCCTTCTGGCTCTCCGCCGTGACGAGGAGCCTCGGATGGAAGGCTTGCGCGTCCACCCGAGCCTTGCTCTGCACGCACTCATTCACCCAGTCCGGCGTCACCACGCTCACTCTGTCGCCCAATGCCAGGGCCTTCGCGTACGCCTGCCCAGACGCCGCCGTGCAGACCAGATGCGTGCTCCTCTCCGTGAAATTCCTCTCCACCTGCGCCCCGTGGAATGTGAGCGTGGCGAAGAGCGTCTTGCGATCCTTCGCCGTCATATCGCACAGCGCAAATCTGCAGCCCGCGAACAGCTTCTCGCCGCTCGGCTCGTAGGCCTTCGTGGTGGCCAGGCGGCCCAGCTTCACAGACGCCAGCACCCAGGCTTCCGTCACGGACGGCAATTCGTACAAGTCCAGCGCCTGCGAGATCTCATTCTCATCGAAATTCACTCCGCAAATCACGTGCGTGATGTAGTCCACCATGAACTTGGAGTTGGACGCTCCACCATTGTCCAAGAGTTCCTTGACCTGCAACAAGAGTCTAATTGGCAAAAGGATTCTGCGAGAAGCGCAAAACACTGAAACGTCACCTTGGGATCCAACTTTCCGGTCACGTAGTATTTCACGTCTTTGAACAGATTCTCCGTCATTTTTTCGCTATTTTCACACACTCCGCATTACAGGGAAGCTTTTGGGTAGACGAAGAGCCCACTATCACGTTGGGAAAGGTGGAAATTTAGTGGTTTTCGGGATGAAAACACCAAACACACAACACACTCCTACTCCGCTTTGTGATGCTGCTGTCATGCATTATCCCACTTATCCACTTTCAACATGGCGATGCAGAGGATGCGCGCCAAAACGCATATCCGCTTAGTTTCCAGGATTTTTATGATTATTCAAGTGAAAATCTTCAAAATGTTAATTCAATGGAAAGTTTATTTCGAGTTTATTTCAAGTTTATTTATAAAGAAAAATGAGAATTTCACGAAATTTGACTCCTCAAACTGCATCTTCTCTTGGCTCTGCAAAGAGAGCAAAAATATAATTTCTGCAAATTTCAATGTTCCTCTAGCTCCTTCCTCATGTGACTTCCACAACAGTTGATAAGAAGAATCCGGGAGTATTATTTAATTATATGGACCAAATTGAGTAGCAAGCCATTCATATCCTTGGCGACGACGATCATCTCTTCGCATTGCTCTCGTGACAGGCTCTCGGCATCGTCCATATGTTGCTTTGCCTTAGTCCTTACTCTCTCGAGAAACTCCAGCCAACTCTTCATTTCATGCCAAATAATCAGTTCGCCGGGAGATGCAATTTGTCCCCTGATCTTTTCCTCCAGCATTCGCGCAGTAAAATTCAATTTCCCTGCGATAAAGCCGACTCTCCCCAACATATGAAGCAGCAGCGTCTGTAGCCTCTTAATATCCGCCATAGTGTCAGTCTTTGTTGCTTCTCTTTGGTCCTCCATTGTATCGATTTCACTGGTTTTTCGCGTAATTTTCACTAGCGTCGCGATCGCGAAAAAAGCAAAATGTCGTCTGACGTGAATTTTTTTTTTTGAATGTTTATTATGGCAAGAGCTTATCGCCATAAAGCCCTGCTAGTAGTGTTATACAATTATAACAGTTTCGTCTTTCAGCGTTTTCTTACCGTTCTTCCCGTTCTTCAATCTGCAATTCCTTACCACCCAATACATTTTTTCACCAGTAGCGTTGTTGAATGGGAGTTTTGAGAGTAGAAGGGATATAAATAAATGAATAGTTTATTTAATGTGGCTTGTAGAAGGGATATAATGGATTAGGAAAGTGCAGGCCAGGAAACTGTCGTCTAATGTGAAGTTGGCAATCATTCTTTATCACGGCGAGGCGAAAAGTTTCATGAAATTTTGATGAAATGTCACGCAACCTAATCTTCACACAGGTGCAGCGTCAATTTGGTAAGTTCTAGAACTTCTTGTTTTTGCTATGTTTTCCCGCGGCGTTTCCCAGTGAAAAGCGCCGAATATCGCTTGGAAATCTTCCTGAGTGCCTTCAGTTTGCCATCTAGTTTTCGAATGCGTGCGTTTTGTGTGCATTTACGAGGAATCGCCCTAAAATACCAGCTGTTTTGATCGCCTACTGGCGCTGCGCTTTGATGGCACTTTTCCTGCCAAACAATGGATAATTGTGGCGCACGGAAGCGCTTCAAGGCTGATATTCGCCTTTCACAGTCACACGAGAGGTAATTGTGAGCCGAAGGAGTCATTTTCTGGGATTTCTCTTGCAGAGAGTGAAGTACAGATTGAGGTTAAGTCATTCCGGAGTTCTATTTCCCCTTTGGGCGTTCAAACTGGAGACTGAAACATATCCTGAATTATCGAGTGCTGCTCTTGAGAGAATGGATGTCGACGGCCAGACATCCGACAATGTCATTCCACTGCCCTACCTGCCAGCAGCCTCGTCATCGGACTGGCAACTGATGCCCAGAATCGACGAGGCCTCGAACTCGGGCGACGTGAAGCTAGTTGACAGGCAGAAAACCGTGCTCCGGATCGCCTCCAGAGCTCACTAACGTCCCGCCTTTCCTCCGCAGGTTCATCAAGCTCGTGGACGAGCTGGACAATCGCGTGGAGAAGCTGCGGAAAGATGCCATAACGCTGCAGGAGAAGAAAGACTACTTGTCCATGTCGATGGACCTGCTGAAGAACAACGACCTGCTGACCAACCTGGAGGAGTACGAGCGTGAGGAGATCACGTGCTACATGCAGCGCGTGGGCTCTAGGCTCGCCACAGTCGAGCTGAACGTGAAAACGGTGCGCAACAGCGCCCAGGAGGAGTGCCTGCACCAGGTGAACGTCCTCATTGACTCCGTCATCTCCAACTCCGACGCCGTGATCTCACGCCAGCGCTGCCAAATGTTCCTCAACGCCTGCGAGGGCGCCCCCGAAGCCACCGGCTCGTCGCGCGACGCCCACGAGGTGAGCGTGGACAAGAAATTCGAGAGTTCCTTGCTGGGCTGCACGCTGGACGACCAGAAGACCATCAAGAAGCGCCTCAACGCACTTATTTCCTATCTCAACAAGCAGACCATCTCGGACTAACTCGACAACTACCGCTTAAGGCACTTACCCATTCTTTCCAACTCTTATGTTTAGTCTCAAATTTTGCGCGTGGAAGAGTTCCCACGCAAAAAAATCGTCTCCCGGGAATGGCGAGATGATCCACTGCAACCACTAATAAATTCATTAGTTAACCTTTCTGTGATTGAGCTCAAATTGGTGTCTTTTATTTGCACGATCAACAAGATTTGGTGCCTCTTCGGTGGACTATAAATCACCCAGAATTCCAGGACGTGAAAAATTAATTTCATTGAAAGCATCTCAATGTTCTGCATTTGTGAAATCGACTTTTGTGCACAAATTTAAGAATATAATGTAGGTCTAAGAACTTTGTGAATTTAATACTAAGAATTTATTTGATTAATAGAAAATCAAATGATATTTTCGAAAGTAAGAAGAATGTATTCAAAAGAATAAGATTTACATAAGAATTTATAATCATACTCGTGAGCATTGCTTTTGCCATATCTTTCACATTTTCTGTTCTTTTGATCAGCAATTATAACACAAGAGTCACTTTATGTTCTATTCAATGTTTTTAGTAATTTGGAATGAAAATATTTTATATTTCAGAACTTTCATTCGCGAACAACAATTCAGTGAAAAATTGCAAGTTTAACAGTGCTTTAAAATGTGATTTAAAGACAGAAAACTCACTACTTGAACCAATTGTTTTTAACTATACCAAAAGTCGACTTACAATACTTTTCTTCGCACCCTTCGATCGATCAACGATCGGCAAGAGTGCTTTTTGGCCATTGAGACACTTTTTCCCAGTACACTGATAAAAAAAAATCCCATTTCGGCAGTTGCGCGTTTTCAGTCTTATTCGGTGAATTGACAACGTCCGGACGAATGGGCGGATCAGAAGCAGCACATGAAGTGATCCGGAGGACAGCGAGCGATGGACAGCTGCATCTTCTGGCACTTCCAGATGCTCTCGCAGCGGCACTTGGACTTGTAGCCGCGATACTTGCTGCTCTTCGTCGGCTTGGTGTCCGCCAGCACGCGCACGACGCTCGGCGGCAGATCCGTGGCGATGCTGTGGATCTTCCTGGTACGCGGCGGCGGCGCAGAGGCGCTGAGAACGCGGATGTCGAGCAACTGATCCGGCGCCTGCAAGAGCTTGAACTGCGCCTCGGCGACGGAGAGCAGTGCCAGGAGGACGAGAGAGACGATCATTGTGCGTGCGTGCGCGCAAAGTGCCTGCCAATGACTGGAGTCTGGTGGCTTCCGCAGGTGACAAAGATCCACCGCGACCTTCCGCGCCAAGGCGAGTCACATCGCGCCGTCCAACTTGTCCAATTACCGCGGCGTCGTAATTCATTTTCGTCTCCTCCTCTTCAATTGCTAAATCGCTCTTGGTCTCATTTTGGTCTTATTGGCTCGCATTAAATTGCATGTATACAAAAAGAACAGTCACAGCTTTTATCGATATCTTTCCCACACTCTTATGTCCCACCTTCGCGGGGACTTCTCACACGGGCAGCGTGTTGCTCACGGAGCTCTTGAACATCTGCCCGAAGAACTTCATGCCGCTGACGCCGCCGGGAACGGACGAGATGATCATGCACAGCAGACAGATGATCTGCAGCACGGCGAACGTGAGCGTCAAGGCGGTGCTCTGCGCCCACATGGCGAAATACAGCGTGGCCAGGAGGCATCCCGTGTAACTGGCGGACAGCACAATCCTCTCGCGACTGAACATCTGCCGCAGCATGGCGCCAAAGCCGGACAGGAAGCCGAACGAGAGAATGAAGAAGAGGCTGCCGAGTGTGTAGAGCAGCGCGAACTTCCTGGACTTCAGCACCAGGATGGGAATGTAGAAGGTAGACAGGGTGAAGCAGAACAGCCCCAACGCCAGGCACGTGACGAAGGCGATAATCCGCTGGAGGCGCGATAATTTGGGACAGCAGGTGTCTTGAGTCTCCCTGAGCCAGCCATTGGCGGGCTCTTGGTCACTCTTGCGGAACAATTTCCCCACATCCGGCACCTTTATCTGCGGCAACTTCACGTCCACCTTGAAGGTCTTCTTCTGGTCGCTCTGCAGCAACAGGTATTCATCGAGATCTTGCTTCAAATTGGCCATTTTCCTGCCACTTTCCCACAAAACACCCACAAAAGCACAACACGTCACGTCAGTGAATCAGAGCGGAGCGAAGTTGGCCGCAATCGCTTTTTCGCCGCGGCGTGCTAGAGTGAGACAAGCATATGCAACCACCTGTTCAACTCTCTCTGTCGCACACTCAAAAGACAAAAGCTTCCTCGCGACTGTTTACATTTCTCAGGCTTTTCGCACATTTCTCCGCATTTTGCCCCACATTCCGTGCTGTGCCGCTTCCTGTCCACCTCCCGGGCCGGTTCACGTGTGCGCCAGATGTGGTGGAATATGAGATTGGCGGTGAAAGTGAGTATTTCGCCTCGCCGCGTGATTCCAGTGGCGCGTCATGGCTGAATTTCTGGGAATTCTCTGCTCTTGCAGGTGTTTCTGGACACCCACGGACGCTACTTGACTCAGTGAATTGGCATCACATCCCAATGGGGGCGTGCATGACGGTGGAGCGCGAGAAGATCACGGCCCGCCGCCGAAGTGAGGAGATTGACAAGCAGCTCGATGCCCTGGCCAAGGAGCACCCCAGAATCCTCAAGATCCTCCTGCTGGGCGCCGGTGAGAGCGGCAAGAGCACGCTGGTGAAGCAGATGAAGATCATCCACTCGGACGGCTTCACGGCCACCGAACTCAGTGCCTTCCGGCCGACCGTGCTAGACAATCTGCTGTCGTCCATGAAGTACGTCCTGAGCGGCATGGGGCTGCTGCGCATCAACCTGGAGCACTCGTCCAACAAGCTGTACGCCGAGGTGGTGCTCGCCAGTCCCAGCTGCTTCGACATGGAGTTCAAGATCGTGGAGAAAGTGCGCATGGCGCTGCGCATCCTGTGGAAGGATCGCGGCGTGCGCCTGGCCGTGGCCCGCGGCTACGACTACGAGCTCAACGACTCCGCACTGTATCTCTTCGACAACATGGACAGGATCTGCGCCGACAGCTACGTGCCCACGCCCACGGACGTCCTGCGCGCGCGCGTGCGCACGAACGGCATCATTGAGACGAATTTCCGCATCAACGACAACATCATCAGCATGTACGACGTGGGCGGGCAGCGTTCACAGCGCCGCAAATGGGTGTACTGCTTCGAGGACGTGCGCGCTGTGCTGTTCGTGGTGGCTCTGAGCGGCTTCGACATGACGCTGCTGGAGGACGCGACGGTGAATCGACTGGAGGAGAGCCTGAACCTATTTGAGCAGATCGTGAACAATCGCTGGTTCAAGGAGGCCAGCTTCGTGCTGTTCCTCAACAAGCTGGATCTGTTCAGGGAGAAGATCATGTCCTCTGGACGCCACTTGAGGCTCTTCTTCCCGGACTACAAGGGCCCGGACAAGAACATCGACGACGCGGCGCTCTTCATCCAGAACAAGTTTCTGCAGCGCAACCACAACGACAGGAAAGTCATCTGCCCGCACTTCACCACGGCCACGGACACGGCCAACGTGCAGACGGTCTTCCAGGTCGTGATGGAGACGGTGATCAAGGAGAATCTGGGCAACGTGACGCTGCTGTGAATCTGTGCCTTGCTGACCATCAAATCAATTGGATTCCGGTAAGACTTCCGAGCGAAAGATCACAAGAGATCTCGACTTGTTGGTGAAATTGAGGGGATTTTCCTGTGATCCTGTCGGAATTCCATTGGAAACTTGATTACTTCATATTGAAGCACTTCCAATACCGGTTTTCTTTTCGAAATGATTGTTTTGAACAGTCTGTTAAAAAATTACTGAATAATAGAAAAAAAATTATTTTTTGAGTTTATTTACAAAGAAAGTTTTGGTCTGATTTAAATGTAATTCTTTTTCTGGATTTTCTTGTATTTGAAGAAGTTACAGTTAACTTTAGAACAGGCAAAATTCAATACCTTTCAGTCAATTTCTTCTTCTTTGTTTAGTCTTTCATGTATTTCTTGACTTTATTGGGTGTTATTGACCAGAAAACACTCTGAAACATTTCCACTGAAGTATAAAAATGACAAGAATTTGCTCTCTATTTAATTCATACTCAAGCAGTTTTGCTTCTGATTTTCACTCTCATGTCTCGTCAAATAAATATTCAACATTTTCTAAGCCTCTTGATTCATATTGACTTATCTAGAGGCTTAACCATTGATTAACCTGTTAAACGGATCACAGGACAAACTCTCAGTGATCTCAAGACACACAAAAAGAAATCATTGAATCTCATTTAAATTATTTTACTAAGTTAAGTTACACATTTAGGCTTTTAACATCGGATCTTTTGTGATCTTTTGCGCGGTTTCCCAATCAAAATTCCCTGTCTTTCGATCATCTAGTGCCAAAATCCGGGATTTGCAATTTGACATTTCCGGAGATGATCAGTTTTTTTTTACAAAACGTTTTTATATTTCATAGAGTAGAATCGGTAGTTTGTAGTTTTTTTTTGAGAAGATCTCTTATCTGATTATGCGGCTCATTCCCAGTTTAACTGAGACATTTGTGACACTCAAACTGTGTCATGAAGTCTTTTTTTACAGTTTAGTGGTACATTTTTAGCACAAATGTCACTTGAATGCAACTTGTGACTCAGAATACCTCGAGACTGTGTTGAAGACTGAATGGCACACTTAACACACAACACATGTTACTGGAAATGAGGCCTTATATTTGTATTACTCGTTCACATATTGATCGAGCGTAGTTTAGAGACGAAAACACTTAAGGACGAACAACAACAAAAAAAAACATTGTGATCTTGCATTTTGATCGTATATAAATAGACATGTAGTATTTTTTACTTGGCATTTTTCCTCACGCGCTCCCTGAGGTGCAGCGGCACGTTGCCGCACAGGATGTTGAGGCAGAACTTGAGGCCCTCCTCGGCCGTGCAGAGCTGCAGGATGGGATAGAGATGGCCGTACTGGCGGATGAACTTCACGATGCGGCCGGTGCCTTTCTGGCCGAACTCGCGTGAGTACTGGAAGGCGGGCGTCTGGTTGTGCAGCGGCAGCGGCTCGGGCACGTGCAGCGGCACCGGCAGGGCGGAGTACATGGGGAAGTTTTCCAGGCACGCGCGGCACTGGCAGACGAATTGATAGCGGCGGTGCGTCTCTTTCTGGCGCGCCTCCTTGTCCATCAGGCTGTGGTGGTAGCCGTAGTTGTCCAGGATCTGCTCGCCGGCCGCGATGCTCTTCAGCGTGATCACGGCTGAGCCAGTGCCCACACAGATGCGCGTGACGTTGGGCGAGCAAGCGTGATTGATGAGGCTGTGGAAGCCATAGGCGGCCACACCGAACTCCGTCGGCGTCTCGGGATTGCTGGTGTCCTCAATCACGTGAATGCTGTGCATGTTGGTCGGTCCGGTGAGGCTGTGTCTGAACAGGACGTTCTTCAGCGCCTGCTGCGCCTCGCGCGTGGCGAGGAAGCGCTGTGCAAAGGGCAGCGAGCACTCCTTGAGCAGATGGAACATCAGCGACGCGATGGTGTACTTCTTGAAGAGATAATCCGCGCTGCGGAGATGCTCGTTCGTGGCCAGCGTGTGGATGGGCGTGTATCGCTCGACCGGCGTCATTTCCCCACTCCAATCGAAGCTGAACACATTCTTCTGCTCCTTGTCGATGTGCTGCAGCTCTTGGTCAATTTGAGCTGTATCTGGAAAGGCGCAGAAGGCATAAATAGCCGTTCGGAAGACAACCAGAAGACTCATGTCGAGGATCTTGAACAGAGATCCACTAATTGGACACTCGAACACGTGAAAGTCTCCATGAGCGCGCTCCTGGCACTCCTTGGAGCAGAACATCGTTTGCGTGCAGTTGTTGCAGGGCAGGAGGAGGTGAGGAACTTCGGCCAGACAATTGGCGCATCGCATGTACTTCTCCTCGTCCGCGAGGATCTTGCAGAAAGGCTCCTCCACGGCAATCACAGTGCCTGCAGCGATGTCTTGCTCCGTCACCACGTGTCTCCCGAACTGACTGTCCTCCCGCAGTGCTAGACACTTGGCCAGGAAGGGAATCTTCTCATTCACCGGCAGTTTGATTGTTGGCACGTATTTTTCCTTCTTGGAAGCACACATTTTCAGCTCTTCACAACACTTTGCCTCTCTTCGCTCCAGCTTCTCCTTCAGTCGCTCAGGATAGCCCATCTCTCTGGCCAGTCTGATGCTCTCCAGGCATTCCTGGAACATTCCCAACTCGAAGAACACAGCCGAACGATTTGCCAATCCAATGCTGAGATTCTCCGTGGATTTCGCATAGCAAATGCTTCTGTTGTACGCCTTGATGGCCTGCGTATACTCCTGAGCTTTGAGAGAGAAGAACGAGTTACCCACTTGTCGGAATTCCTCAGATTTGGCATCATCTTTCTCCTCCTCAAGATATCCAGCCTCCGGAAGAAGTTGCTGATCTCTCAGTAATTCATACACATAATCGATTTTATCACTGTTTGGCTGGTTCTTCTTTCTCATTTCCAGCAGATCGTGGGACACCTTGTCCAATTGCTGCTCCTCCTGCAGCTTCCGGATGATATCGAGATAGATCTCATGGTACAAATCCATGTTGCCTTATATGGTCATTAACGCATGTGCTCTTCTCACAGCCAATTCCCTGCAAAGCACATCCGTTTTCAATCATCTGCAGGAGGATATACTTGATTTGATTACTCACACGTCTCCCGGATCTCTCTGCTTTCCCAGGAAATCCACTTTCTGCTCACCGGCTGCGATTCTCCCTCTCTTCAAGATTATCCAAGCGAATTATCCAAGAGAGATTGAGGTTATGTCGCGTCCTCAGCGAATTTTCGCCACAGGAGTATTGATTGACAAAAAGGAGTGAGAAAAGCAGTAATTTCGTAATTTTTCCGGCTTTCCACCGTGCTTAAACTCGTGGAAAATAATGTCTCAAGTTGAGGTTGTTAGGAAAATCTCGAATTACCTTCAAGTGCCGGCTGGAAACTTATCGCAAAGCCGTGAGAAGGTTTGTTTTGATTCCATGTGGAGGTGTTTTGAGGATTCTAATGGCGATTTTCCACTTCTAGGTGGTCACAAGAACTCTCGATGACAAGACAAAGGTGTCGGGATTCTGCACAGTTGTCAGTAGCTTGGCAGGAAAGTACAGGAGTGTCGAGGAAGAGTGTTTAACACGACAATGGTTGGAGTATTGCAGTCTCTACGTGAATTCCACGTGTCTGGAGGGCAACAGAAGTCACCAGAGGAGCGTTCTGGAGGAGTTGAATGAGTATCTCGCCACGAGATCGTACTTTGTAGGTAATTCTCTATCTCTGGCCGATGTTGCCGTCTTCTATTCCATCGCCACCACTGTGGAAACCCTGCAAAACAGCGACAAGGAGCACTTTGTCCACCTCTCGCGATGGTTCGATCACGTTCAGCTCACGGACAGCGTCCGGCAAGATATGAGTCTGGTGAATTTCTCATCGCTGCGCAGTGTGCGTTAGATAGCGCCGTGTGATCTTCAATGCCATCACAATAAAACGAAAGATAATGGGAATTTTCACCTCTAACCTTTCCCTGTAGATTGTCACTTTTACGTGGCTTTTGTGGCCCAGTCGCAGGTCTATTTCTGGCTCCGCCAAATGGAGGACGAAGTGCGCTGTCTCAGCCATTCCCAGTTTGGCTCTCCGGGAGATGTGGTGCAGTTGGAGAAGGTGAAGCTGTCCGGGGAGCTGCAAGAGGCGGAGGTGTACCTGAAAATCCTTGCTTCGCCCGTGAATCCGGCCGATTTGATCACCATCACGGGCAACTATGCCATCAAGCCACTCCTGCCCAGTGTTCCCGGGAATGAGTGCGTCGCCAGGGTGATGAACATCGGCAGTGGCGTGAAGAATCTATCCGTGGGTGATCTCGTTGTGCCTTTCCGGAGTGGATTGGGAACATGGCGCTCCGCGGGTGTCTTCAATGCCACCGACTGGTTCCCAGTGCCTCACGACTTGGGCACTGTCGAGGCTGCCACGCTCACGGTGAATCCCACCACAGCTTATCGCATGCTGAAGGACTTCGCTGACCTCAAGCCAGGCGACACAGTGATCCAGAACGCGGCCAACAGCGCCGTGGGCCAGATTGTGTTGCAGATGTGCCGTAAGTGGGGCATCAATTGCATAGGTGTTGTGAGATCGCGGCCGGACATCGATACCCTGAAGGCAGCACTGAAATCTCTGGGCGCCAAGGACATTTTCACTGAGGAAGAATTCGCCACGACGGACATCTTCTCTGACACGCTTCTGTCGCCCAAATTGGCGCTCAATTGCGTCGGCGGCGAGAGTGCTGAGAATCTCCTGACCCATCTGGCGCACGGCGGCACCTTTGTCACGTACGGCTGCATCTCCAAGAAGCCCACAACGATTCCAGCCTCCGTTTTCATCTATCGCAACATCAAGTGCTGCGGCTTTTGGCGCACAAACTGGACGAGCGAGAATCACGGCAGTCCCGAGCGCGTCCGCATGCTGGAGGAGATTGTGGCCATGTACCAAGCTGGGGAGCTCCAAGTGCCGCCGACAGAGTTCGTGCCCATCGAGAACTTCCGGGAAGCCTTCGAGGGTGTTCAAGGGAAAAAGTGTATTCTAACCTACGAATAAACGAACAAAAGGGATCAATTGTCGGGTGTTTCTGTGTCCAGGAGTTGCAACAGTTGCTCATGCGGTGTGAGTTCACACTCTTCGCTGGCTTCTGCGCGGGACTGCGCTGGCGGAAAGCCCAGATTCTGCAGGCGAGTCGCGATGGTGTCTTCCGAAGTGATTCTGACAAATTCATGCGACTTCTGTGGCGCTTCCGGATCTCTACTCGGCTCTTCCTCGCTTCCATCGCTCAGAATGATGTTGTCCAGCAGGCAGTACGTCGACTGATGCATTCCCTCGTCGCTCACCACAGTCAGCTGATCCGCCAGCGTGGAGAGATCGTGCGAGTCCACTTGCAGGGCGGACAGGGATGTCTGCTGTCCAGCGGTTCGACTTCTGCCCACATTTGCACTCTTGGCGTAGATATTCTCGCCGATCGTCATGGTGTAGAACTGCCTGGGATCGTCCTCGCCCACTTCCGTGAACCGCCCGTCGTTCTGCTGCAATCCCAGGCGCAACAAAATGCTGATCTTCACGCGGAACGGCCGCAGCCACTTCACCAAGGATCGCATAAGGGCTAGTCTTTCCGGGCACTCGAGTGTGTCCCAGTGATCGATGACCGTCTTCTTGGCACAGTCAATCAAGATGGACTTCCTCATCTCCGTCATCAGCCTCCCAATGCCATCCAGGTGCCGCAGCGTGATGTCCAGGAGTTTCTCTGGCTGATAGGCGGCAATGTGAAGTTGCCACTTGAGCAGCATCACCATCAAATCCCACAGCTTGTCGTAGGAATTCGTGTCCAGGCGCATGAGAGAGCAGCTCGCAATATCCCACATCAGCAGGCGGCATTGCTGGCTGGTCAGCAGATTCTCAGGACCTTCGGTGGAGCTGATGAGTTGCGTGAGGAACTTGGGATCCAGCAAAACTCCAGTCAAGTCGCGCAGAACTGCAAAGAAGTCATGATTTGTGACCTTTGGTCAGGGAATGTGTGAGGATTTCGTACCTTGGGCAGATTTGTCCAGATTCACGGATTGCGCCTTGAGTCTCTGGTCAATCACGTACAACATCTCACAGCCGAGATTTATCACCAGCAAGACATTTGCTCTGGACATTTTGCTCACTCTTACTCTATGTGTTTGTGTTAGGAAAATCTCCTTGGAAACGACCTGAAAACTCTCCTTGAATCTGGGTTTCTCAGCACTGAATCATAAAATCTAGGGCACATCTGGGGTATTGAGAAACCCCTTTGAATACCGCGACAATCTCTTGGGCAACTTAGATGTCTGAAACCAGGTGAGCATCAGGTGAATCTTTGTGTCCTGAAACATTCTGCTTTTCACAAAATTTTGTCGTTACTTTAATGCCGCCGCCGCTATACAAAAAGAAGCGGCTGCCGCCGATTTATTTTGCTCCGGCTCAAATTTCTCTACAATGCAAAATCACAAATTAAAGCTGCGTAAAGTCCAGGATGAACTTCTGTCCAATGAATCCCTGAAAGGCCATGGCATTCGCCAGGGCGTCTCGGTAGTTCTGCACAGGCACAATTTCTGCGCGAGGCCCCCGGAAACTGCCCTCCTCGATGAACTCCACGAGATCCCGGAACATTTTCTCGCGCTCGGGCGTCTCTTGATTGTCTCTCGTCCACCTGGTCATCCAGAAGCCGCGGAAGGAGATGTCCTTGAAGATCAGGTGACCCGTGGGCACGGTCACGGGCTCCCTGGACATGCCGCCGTACGTCACGACGACTCCTCCATCCGCCACATGGCGCAGCATCTCCAGTGCGCTTTTGCCGCCCACGCAATTTAGCGCCAGCTTTGGCTTTTTGACCTGGCCACTCTTGAACAGGTCCGTCGTGCGCACCTCCTCTTCCGTCAGTACCCAATCCGCCCCCAAATCCCGCAGAAAGGCGCGCAGATCGTCGATTTCCGGGCGATTCCGCACGATTCCCACACTCTTGAGGCCCCACTTGCGACACAGCTGGAAGACGGCCTGTCCTACAGCGCTGTTGGCTCCGTTCTGGAGCACTGTGTCGCCCGGCTTGAGATCAGCGAAGTCCTTCAGCATGCGATAAGCCGTGGTGGGATTCACCGTGAGTGTAGAGGCTTCGACAGCGCCCAGGCTCTTGGGCACTCTGAACAGGGCATTGCAGGGATAGTTGGCGTGCGAGCACCACGTGCCAATGCCTGTCTTGGAGGGAATGACACGATCTCCAACAGCAAGATTCCTGACATTGGCGCCAAGTTCCGTGACTTCTGCCAGGCATTCATTGCCTCCGATTGCAGGCAGAGGCGGCTTCACTGGGTATTTTCCTGCAAAGACAGACAGACAGTTTTATCAGCGGAGTTCTCAGTGCCTGGAAGAGTCGCAATTACCTTGAATTGTGTTGATATCAGCTGGATTTATGGGCGCTGCGAGAATCTTCACCGTCACTTCATTGGCCTGTGGGGATTCCAACTTCTCCTCCACTTTCTTTACCACTTCTGCCGGCTCGCCAAACTCCGAGTAGACTAGTCTCGTGGCCAGGACACTCATGTGTCTCCGGGCAGTTTGAAAAACACGGCAAATCATCCTGTTTTTCGCCTCGTTGTTTTGATTTAGCGATGACACTTCGCCGGGTCGCCATTTTCGCCGGAAGGTCATTTGATTGTTTTGCATTCTGGGCGATCTCATTGTTTTTGTGGCACTCTCCCAGTAAATTATCCTCTGGAAGCTTTCGCATATCTTCCAGGATGGTCTTCTACTTCACCAGCAATGTGGTCAATCCGCCGGTGACTTTCTTCATGGGACTGGATAAATATGAGAGTGAGAAGAGCCATTATAGAGGTTATGTTAGCAGTTTGCTGACTTCCTGGACTTTGCAGATGAAGAGCTGATCAAGTGGGGCTGGCCTGAGGATGTGTGGTTTCACGTGGACAAGATATCTTCCGCTCATGTGTATCTCCGCTTGCAGAAGGTATGAAGATTCACTGTGAAGATTGTTTGTTTACTGTGCTATTCCTGGACTTGAACAGGGACAGACCATCGATGACATCCCTTCATCGGTTCTGGACGATGCTTGTCAGCTCGTGAAGGCCAACAGCATTCAAGGCAACAAGATCAACAACTTGGACATTGTGTACACAATGTGGGAGAACCTGAAGAAGACGGCCGGAATGGATGTTGGTCATGTGGCGTTTCATCGGGACAAGGATGTGCGGAAGATTCGGGTGGAGAAGCGCATCAATGACGTGGTGAATCGTCTTAATAAGACAAAGACTGAGGCTCATCCAGACTTCCGGGCGGAGCGGGAGGCGCGCGATGCCGTCGAGCGGGAGGACAACAAGCGGCAGCTGCAGCTGCAGAAGGAGCGGGAAAAGGAGGAGATCAGGCGCAAGAAGGAGGAAGCTGAGCTCAGGAGCTATACTAGTCTCATGAAATCCGACAAAATGACCTCCAACTACGATGACGGCAATGATTCCGATGAATTTATGTGAAAAAATCTCCTGCAAAATATAAATCCGTCTGTTATACAGAGATTCCCCGCTTTATAACAGGTTTGCCGCGTGCGGCGAATCGTTTGAAGAGTTCGCCACAGTTCGCCGTTGGGTATTTTTGTATTCATTTCTGCTGTTTTTGCTGGTGAGTGCGCTTATCTCTTGTTGTGCGACTGGTGGATTGACCCTTGAATCCGAAGGTCTATTTTGGGGTGCACGGTAATCTTTCCGTCTGGCTTCCAGTCGTCACAGGGAGTCGCCTTGGGAATCTTGACCGTCTGGAGGGGTTTTCTTTGTTGATAAACACTCTCCGCTTCCATTGATCTCATTCTGCTGCCCACACACATCGGCCCATATCATACGATACTGGTGTTTTCGGTGATTCACAGCCGTGTCGTCACAATGTGCAACACACACCTCCAATTGTGTGGGAACCCATATGATGAAATGATTCATTGATGCGCACAGCAGCGCAATTTCGGCGCGATCTTGGGCAATTTGGCCACATTCTGCCACGTCACTCTGGTGTTCTGGTGCCGAAGGACGCGGTGGCCCCACTCGGGGCCCCCGCGACCGGGTGAGGGGCCCCAGGAGGGCTCGGGGGCGCGGAGTCTGGTGAGGAATTTCCCAGCATGTTTTGTATTGATTCACAGCGCGCCCTCGCGGGTCACACCATCCAACACTGTGATGCGCAGTGACGTAGCGCATCATGCCATTTCCAGCTCGGCCGCTGATTGGCCGACGGAGTGTGTAGCATACGCTGCGCGTGGTGGTGTGAGTGGCGCTGTCTGCCAATGCTTCAAGCCGTGGCCCAACAAAACAACTCAGTTTTACTCGCAGAAACGCAGAAGAAAGACATTTCAGCAGCAATTCCACGCGGATTTTCTTACATTATCCCTGAAAGAGTCACAACTCTGTCAATATCTTATCGCGCGACTATTTGAGGATTACTCGAGTGGTCTTATCGTGTGTACATTGCCTGAAAATTGCCCGAGAGGCGGTGTGAAAGTGGTCATTAGCGCGATAGCGTGGCGCCTTGCGGAAAAAACGAGGCTCTCTGGTGAAAATTGTGCTTTTTGTGTGCCTCCGTGGAGAAAAGCCGTGTGTTTCCATCCGCAGAGAGCGTCTGAGTGGTGTTCCGCCCCCTGTGCGTGTTGGGTGTTCAGTTAAGTGTGCAAGAGGTGAAAGAACGCGCCCCTGAAATCGAACTTCCGGGAAGAGCAGGAATCTAGGGAAAACCCCCAAAAAGGGCACATCAATTGACTTCATAGGTGAGCCTCGGAAGCCCCAGAAACGCCCCCACGTGCACGTGCTATAGAAATCCAAGGGAGTTGAGTGTAGAGAATTGCCGTGAAAAGTCTCATGACAATCCTTGAGACCTAACCTCAAACGGCCCCATTTTACGCAATCCTTCTCTTACGTGATGTGTTATTTATTTATAAAGTTTGCTATTTATCAGACGTTCCTCTTCGCACGGCGACTTCTGGGCATGTTCGTCATGTACAATCAAACAGAGGTGTTGAATTGAAAAATTCTTGGCTGCAAATATTCATTGAATTTACTCTGACGATTAGATTTGCTTTCCCTTGGCAGGCGTGGTTTTCCTTTTATTTATAGAAGAAATATAAGCAATAATTATCCAATTTTACTCTATCAACAGTAGGTATTCTGCGGAATGCGATGGAAATTCGTGTGAATATTTTTTGTGCGTAGAAAAGCGGAAGAAGAGTGCAAACTTGGCATAAAGCGTGATTCATTTGTCAGTCATTTGAGGTTCTTTTTCATCAAGATTTCACACAGTTCTGGAACAGTTTCGTAGTTAAACTACAATTTTATCAATCGTGTTAGTGCGCCAAATGACTCACTCTCAAGATAGTCATTTGTTCGAGAAATTCTGCCGAAACTGTATTGATTTATTGAGAATTTGATAATAATATCAAAGTGGAAAAGTTTTTTTCTTCGTTCGATCAATATCACCTTCACATTCTTGTACATTCCAAAAGGAATACCAGAGACAAATGAGATTTTTTCTCAGAATTCTCAACTTCTTTTGAAGGGATTTATGATCCTTTCGCCGAACTAGAGACTTCCATCGGGTGCTGGCGAGGAATGCCTTCTCGCTCTCGGGAGAAAGGGGAGCGTATGGATGTGCCAGATTGGTGAGGCACGACTTTACAGTTAGAAGAATCAGGTGAAGAGCGCGCGAGAGAGAGAGAGAGAGAGTTGATGGTCTGAGGAAAAGATGGCAAAGGTGGAAACAGACACCTTTGGACAGTTACTTAAGCACAGAGAATTCGCAATGGACGGTGTAATGTTCTCATTTGCCCAGTGTCGCAAGATTTGAGCGAGTTTTTCCTGAATTTTTCCCCACTGCTTAAATTCCGTGTGTTGCACTATTGGTTCTTCACATGAAATTTGAGAGATATTGAATGTTCACGAGTAGAAATCGCAAGAGGAAATCAAAGACAGAAGATGAGTCGTGTGACCTCAACACGGAAATAGAAATTGAAGTGTTTTCCACGCAGTTTTTTAAACCACCTCTGAAGTGTATTCACCAAGTCACATGTCGTTTCTCTATTCACTTTACGAATCTGGGTCACAATCCTTTTGCTTCTGATATGAATGTTTGATAGCGAAAGTTTCCATAATATTCTGAGGTTGAAAGTTGGTGGCTTTTAATTTGACAAATTTTCATCTAACTTTGCCGTGAAGAAGCATGAAAAATGCCCGCCAACAGGTATTTTGTAATTGTGTACAATTTACAATTTATGAGAAGTGCAAGGAAATCACAAAAGTACACGCAGAAGAATTGTGGTTAAGAAGGGCTTCAATGGGGGTTTGAGGGAAGAATAAAAGGGTCATGAAAAGTGAAGAAGAAAATATATCCACGTTAGATGGAAAGTTCACAGCACTCAACTTGCATAATGGCAAAGAGAAAATGATTGAGAGTGTGAGAAAAGAGGAATGAAAGGAAAAATTGAATTGCGTATCATATAAATTTCCAGTTCATTCATTAAATTGTACTTAAAAGTCGCGCATATTTCTCACTTCACTCGAGATTATTAAACATTGAAGTTGTTATTTTTGTGAGGATGAATTTTTCACGTGGAGAAAAATAAATTGCCATGGCTAAAATCAATAATTAACAGAAAAGATATGTAAATGATGCGACACAGGCGAAGGTGTCTTGATATTTTCTCTGGCAAAGATGTTGAGTGTGATTAAATCTAAATCAAAAATGTAATGATCTTGTTAAAGTGGTTTTGCTGATTTCCTCGCTTCTTTCTTTATTGCAATCTCTCCACAAAAACAGCACGCAATATTACATATATATGAGAGAGAGAGAAACTCTTGCAATTTTCCTTCTTGGTATTTATCCATGAATCTTTGGTTAAATTGCTCTACAATCAGTATCTTTGAGCGTCTCTGTGGGACTCAATTTTTCTTGTTAAGGTAAATAACACGATTCAAATGTGGAACATTAACTGACCTTCTGCATAACATGAGCGAATTGATTTTACTCCACAAATACGGAGCTTAATGCAAGTTTGCGTGCCTGGCAAATTCATTGGATGGTGCGATATTCGACTGTATTTCAGACGATGAGAGAGAAAATTGAGTATGAATTGAGTGTGGTTTCAATGTTGGGCAAATACTGAAATTGATCATGAGCTAAAAATGAGAAATTAATACTTAGAAACATTTGTTCCTAAACTACATTTGGAGGAAAGAAGAAGAAAAAAAACTGGTGAATCAATAGAATCGCGTGAGCTTTTTATTTCTAACTATTATTTTAGATAATTAAGTGATTTTTTCCCTCATAGAATTCAACCTGATTAAGCAGCTGTAAAGTGGGTTAAATGTGCTGTAGCAAAAAAGAGTGAAGAAGTTTGAGCCATTGTATTTCTTAACAGAGATTTTATAGGGATGAAAGACAAACTAGCTCTTTAAATTGGTGTTTTTGGCTCACAGATTCAGCTTTAAATTCATATCTTGTAAGATTAGGCGATTTAATAGTATATTTGGTTATACAAAAGTTTTTTCAGACTTCGCTTTCAAAGAAAAAAAACCTACTGATCTATCTTGATAAAAAAACCGCATCAAAAACATTTTAAATAACAATTTTTTGATTAATATCTCTTCAAATTTACCTCATTATAATTCATTCTATATTAGTTCTAAAAAAAAAGCTCTCCAGGCTATTATTGTTGAAAGGTTAAAACTATGTCAGTACACTTCATATCAAATCAACAATAAAATTGTACATTTTTCTAATTCACTCTGTGATAGATTAAGACTTTGTTTAGCCTACATTTCGCAGCTTGATATGTCACAGAGATGATTTACTTGTGAGCTTGTCCTTTTCCTTTGTACAGTCCACAAATTTCAATCTCGCAATTTCCCCTTTATTCCTTCTTTGAAAAACATAATAATAATTTATGTACAAAGTCCAAAGCATGGAGAGAATCACGCCACTGCTCAATGTGTGTGTGAGTGAGAGAGGGAATAATTGCGAGACTGTGAGAGTAAACAAATTATTTTATTTGAACTCGGTCAGTTGATGAGGTTGAAGTCTAGTAAGAAGAAAAGACGGAGAAACGGGGTCCAAAGTGCGCGATGTTGTCTGTGTGAATGATTGAGAAGGAGTGAGAATAAGTGTATTGAAAGGAGTGATAATAATTTTGTTTATACTTTGCCCTTCAACAGTTGATATTAAAGATGAACTTTAGTGGGATTTTTGTTGTTGTTTTATGTGTAGAAATATAATGAGAAATTTTGATGAGTGAATGCAGAAGAAATGCGCCGAACAAACATTGTCAGTGTGACGTTGTTTTTGTGTCTCGGGGAATATTTATAAATCATGGGGCGTCACAACTTTGCAAAAGTTTGTTTATCATCACACTTTACAGATTGCCAATAATTATCAGTGGTGTTGTTGATCGTGGTTAAACATTGGCATGGCAAAGGTTCAGCCGAATGATCACAACACTTTAACCTTTTCCCTGACCACTGGCACAAATGTCTGTCAATAGATTTTCCGCCATCGCATGAATAATTAATATTCAGCGAATAATTAACTTCCCATTAAATTGTCTGCTGTGAACACATGAAGTTGGTTGGCGGTGTCAAATCAATTTGCAACGTGAATCTTTTTCCATTCAACACATTTTTCCACCACTATAAAACACTAATATTCTTTTGTGTAATTCTTCACCTCGTGATTTTCTATCAAAGTCAATGTCAATGATTAGTTGTAATGATGGAGAGAGAGAGAGACAGAGAGAGAAAGAAATAGACAAAGTCGCACTTAAACATGAAAAAATATGCTCAGCAAGGGAAGCTCACCTTGGCAAATTAGATACATGCCAATTTTGTATCCACACGTTTGCCTCTGTCTTTTCACCATTATTATTTTTCCATTCATCAGTGTAGTTTTTGCAGTGCAGCGTTTACGGGGGATATATTTGAGAGCATAAAAAACCAGAAATTACACGTGAATTTTCCAACTTTTTGCCAATAAACAAGTTTATTTCAGCTTTGATTAATTTTTCCCCATTGTTATTACTGGAGTTACATAAGAATTTGCGTCTCTCTTCTCCATTGGAATTTGACTTGTGAGAGATTTTAGTGAGTTAATAAAAAAAATTTATTTCCTATTTGATTTCTGCCATTTTAAGTGCAAAATAATATCTTTGGGTTATTTGAGAGAGTGAGAAAAGGGGACAGAAGAATTTACTGCGCCCTTCCTTGAGCATCACTTTGATCTCTTTCTTTCACACTTGTGGTTTCTTCTTACTTCTCAATTACTTCATCCTGTCACGTGATCGCAATTCACATTTTATTGTGTGGATGATTGTTTTAAGAGTAATTTGCAAGATTTCTCACTCAATTGTGCCTTAAAGGCAGTTCAGAGATTTCGCTCGCAAAGGATGAATTCAGTTGTGTGACAAATTTCGCATGAGCAAAAGGTGTTTTTCTCTTCACTCCTTTGAGAGACTGTGTGACAAATTGGATGATAGAATTTCAGTGCTTGATATATCAAACACGTCAGCATATTTACAAGTTCACAGTGTCATGTTCCAAATGGTTATTTTATTGACAGACAAGATTATACAGTATTTGTGACTTGACCCGCATTTTCCCTTCTCTTTGGCCAGCAAAGTATTGTGTGTGTGTGTGTGTTGTATAGTAGAAAATTTTCCACGGAATTCTAGTGTTCCAGAAGAGAGGAAGAGAAAGAGAGAAAGAGTGGGCCAACATAATGGAATGTGTTAAAGAGATTGGATGTGAAATTCATACAAGAATCTCAATGTGGTGGTGGTGGTGTATTAAATTCAATTGGATTACATCCTCTACGTCATATTCTTCAATATCAAAATTGTGGTCTGTTGATGAATATATAAACATTAAAATAAGCATGCTCAATGGATGTTGAAAGATAAATAAACCTGAATATTAGCCAGAATGCTGCAAGACTGTGAATTTTGTGCGATTTCTTACAAAGATGTGCTAATATTCTGAAGTTTCTCCGTGTGCTCTGAAACTGTGAATCAATTACCGTGATTTTCTAAATTATCACCATTTATGGAAGAATTCCTGTGCATTTTCTTTTGAATAATTATGAAGGTTTCGTAACTGAAATGCTTAATTTTATAACCATGAAATATCCACTAAAGTCATTTAGTGTTGCTGACCAACCTCAAAAAATTAAACTTAACTACAGACTTTAGTATTGCTCCTAAAAGCTTTGGAGTCTTTTGAAGCCTAAATGTTTTTTTATCGGTGTTTTGTGGATATAAAGAGACATTTTGGTGTCAAAATTAATCCAATGTTTGAAATGTCGAGAAACTCTTAAATTTACAAATTTGTAAAAGAAAGAAGAAAGAAAGCAGAGCTATGATTATTTATCTGTTAAAAGTTGAAGAAAAACCCACGCAAAAGCGCACTTATGATAAATCTTTTCTACTTTAAGATTCAAAAACATGAATTCACTAATCGTTCAATTACGTAATATTTGAACTTTGAACTGGATCTTTTCCTCATTCAATTTGGCGACGTCACACACTTGGCCTAGAACCAAGAATGCTTCCTACATTTTCTCTGATATGAGTGGAAGGAAAAAAAGACGATGTGAAAAGTATAAATAAGAATATTAAGATTTCTTGTTTGCCATCTCGCTCGAACGCCAGATGCTTTGTGTGTGGCTGAAGGCGATGAAAAACAGAAAATCAGTGACTTTGACCTATTTTTTTTCACGATCACCACACAATTAGTTATGTATGAGTGACAATTTAGAAGGAGAATTCTTTCATTGGTGCTTGGGAGAAAATACGTGGTGATTAGTTTAAATTTTCTTCGACATTTCCAATCAATGTCTCACTTACCCTCAATATTCTCTCAAGGAGACCAATTTAATTGTTGCCTATTACTGTATGATTTTGCATTCATTTCTGGTTCAATGAACTTGAAAAGTGTCAAAATACGTTTGTTGGTGTCCAAATCAAAATCCACCGTGTCCCATAAAAGCTGTTTATCGACGAAATGCCGCCTAAAGTCAATATGCTTGTGATATTTTCTCTGTCTTTTGGAGGAAAAAAAAGTATACATTTATATGTAAATAAGATTGTGAATTTGTCCTCTTGTCTGACTTCTGCTCGTGTCATTAAACTCTTTGACTGGGTGGCGGGAAAGGTGGTTAAAAAATTCTCTACAATTGCTCTTCATTGACATACAGCTTCTATGCCAATCTTGAACTGTGTTAAATTATATGTTACAATGTATCACTTGTATTTTGTTGTTCATCCGCTAAATGTAGTTTCTCTTGTTGGTTTCAGGGCTAGAAAATCATTAAAAGCTCACAAAATGTTCATCGAAGAGGATGACAAGTAAGTATTACAATCTATCATTAATGTTTGCTTATAGTTTTCTTTCTCTTCTGTTTGTTTTTTATATTCTTCTTCTCATTTGTAATTTATAATAACAGCGATGCACATTGTTTAGAATTTGCCAGTTGATTGAATGTTAAACAGAGCAAAGATGTATATAAAATATATCTATAAAGTGAGTGAAAAGTGAGTAATAAGCAATTTCCAGTCAAAATGGAAAGGTGAAAGAATGGTTTTCGCCAAGAATTTTATACAATAGATGTCGCAATGTCAAACAGTTGATCAGTTTTAAGCTCAAAAGTGAGTTTTTTTGCTCTATTGCTTTATCTCGTAAAATTTGATAAGCGCCTAAGATACAGGGGAATTCTTGGACGACACGTAAATGATAAAACGATTGACAAGAGACTCTCGAATTGCGTCGATTGGGCAAAGTTTAATGCAGAACATTTTTTTTGACTTTGATCTTCGCCTATCTGTTGGCTACTCATATCAAGAACATGATCAGAGTGTTCGTCTCTCTACTAGACAATTGCATAACGATCTATTTTTGCCAAAGAGTACAAAGTGCCGAGACGAGAATTCAGGCTCAGGCAGAGTGGAATTTGCCATTTAATGACTAGTCAATGAAATAAATCATCTCGTTGACTGTGTATTTGTGCTTTTTTTTCTGCAAAAGTGAGATTTAATTAGAGAATCAACAAACATTGGAACACACCTTATCAGAAAGTACATTTCGGTGTCTCTTCTGGCATATTTACTGGTCTATAAATACGTACAATTTTTTTTATCTCCGCCTGCAAGTGTAGTCGACTTACCGGCAAATTTCGTAGGTGCGGATCAGAGGCAGTGCTAAAAAAATCAGTCATCATGATAGCCAGAGAGTGTTACATAAAGTGTCAGTGGGAGGGAAACATCAATTCTGCCGACAATCCTTAACTAAATCCCTGAGAATTTTCACAGCAGATCAACACACTCTGTCAGTCCGTGATAGAGAAGGCCAAAGTGTAATTTCTACACGTTGATCTTGAGGCAATTTATCGCACATTTTCCTCGCATATCACTTTCTTTAAAAACTGGTTCATTCGCAGCATAATGTTGTGCTGAAACGAAAGTGAAACTTAAATGTGTCATGTTGTATATTTAGAGTGCAATGTCCGGTCTCACTATTAATGCACCTTTTGCTCTGCTATCAACTCTAGACAATTTACTTATAAATTCAGTAGACACATGGAAGATTTTTGTGAGGAAAGGTCCCTTCAAATGTCCTAAAAGAAGATTCTCTGCAAAGGATTTTGTCAATTGTAAAACAGAAGACAGCAGTTAGTGTCTATTAAGCTTGAGTTTTTGAAGTTAGGAAGATAAAATAGCGATTTTTAGGAATATTCTGGATTTCAACAAGTAAAATCCAGTCATTAACTGATAGTATTCATGCTGATTTATCAATTACATGACTTTATGCGTGAACTTTAGATCTTTAAACACTGCTACGAATTCCCAGAATTATATTTTTAGCCTGGAGACTAAAGAGATATGAAGGAGAGTTTCCAGGTTTTATCATTAAATTAGTATTGATTAAAATATTGAACTTTGGTTTGTCAGTGATTGTATTAAACATGATGAGTTTCATATGTGCAAAGTGCAATTATTTTAATTGGAAACTCTATTTTTTCATTAATCCTACGAAAGAAGTCTGCTGATGTTTTCTATGATTCATGGAGTGATTTAGTCATAGAGTTTGTAGTGAAATCCAGTAGATTGTATGAAATACGAAGCGAGAAGAGGCGGTGCAGTGAATTTTGAGGCATACTTTTGTAGATATTAATGTCTCTATGGCGATAAGATTGTGAAATCGTCAATGAGGTGAAAGATTATGCGATATCAGTTGGGCAGTGTGTCTGCTTTGGCATTCCTCAAGAGCCAGTGAAAAGCGTGTCTGGCGATCATTCTGTTCTACGAGCCCAGTGGAAGTGGTTTGATTTCTGGGGGAGACAGGAAATTTTCTCGTGGAAAATTTATTCTCAATTTCTCAACAACACCTTCCTGAGTTTCAACAGTGCGCGCCACTTGTTTTCCATTTCCATCATACACTTTGACTTGAGAAGAAGAAACAGGTTAAAAGAAAAACGCGCACGTGCTGTTGTGTTGTGTGAAGTAAGAGGGAAAAATGCTGGAATTGTTGAATTTCCTCTTGTACGTTCTTCTTTTTTTTTTCTATTTCAACTTGAATTTAATCTATCAATTCTTCTACTAAATACAACGTGCAGCTTCTAAATGTCTCTTTGATCCTTTTCTCTTTGCAGGATGGAGAGTTTTTGGGTGCAAACGGCAATCGGGGCCATCAAGTGCTTCGCATTTGTCTGTGATGTTCTCACATTTCCAATATATTTAGTGCTTCAGAGACCATGGAAGCGTCGAATGCTCTCTCGTCGAATCAAGGTAAGGAAATTGATTTTTTTTGCACTTTGTCAGCAAGCCAAATCGATGATCGCAAACTTTCCATGGGTGTTTCTCAAGCCTTACGTAATTGCGCCAGACAGTATCTTATCTGTTTGAGTACACATAGTCTTCCTTGAGTCTTCCGGGCTTTGGGATTAAAAAGACATTAGCTTTTGGACTTGAAGTTAGAACTGGTTTCTTTTTCTCCTAACGCCAAATCTACTCGATATAAGTGTGCTTATTGTCTAAAGGTTTTTTTCACAATGGCTACAAAATCCAATGGATGGACAACAGACGAAGCACTTTTAGTTGGAGTTTCACCTGCTATAAAATCCATTCACACAGAGATTATGATGAATCTCTTTCTTTTTGCTTGGTGGACAACATCAACAAAGAAAGCCCCGAAAAAATGCCGCAGCGTAAAGTTATATAATATAATTTGCTGGACAGAGAGAAAATTTATTTGACACTCCTCAGTTATCTCATTTGAATGTTGACTGCGCGAAAAAAGAGTAGCTCAAGATAAGCTTTGGGTGGCTTGAAGGTATTTATGATTTTTTTTGTCGATAAGTTGATGTCAATTGAGTGCAAACGAACGACATTTCATTCACTTGCTTCAGGTGGAATCGTCTAAAAGACAAATTGAGCCTTGTCTTGAGCAAATTACAAGAAATTTGATATTGAATCTTTAAAATGTATTCGAGACACGAATCAGAGAAATTTTACAGTATTGATTGACCTTTTATTTTTCACTATGAATTATTTTTCTTTTCCCTGAATGGGGAAATTTGTGCTAACACCAAATTTTGATCTTGAAATTGGCTCTCGTCTTGATTTCTTATCTTGGTGACGCAATTGAAGTCAATATCTGCGAGTTTTTGGAAAATTATGGGTTTCCATTGATAAGAGAAGAAGCGCGGCATTCATTGACACTGTTCGAAAATCCTTTTCGATTTCTTTTTTTGGCTTTGAATGGTTAATCTCACGCGATATTCACACTGAATTCATTGTGAATATGGAAAGTCACTGTGCGATGAGACAGAGAGAGAAAGAGTGTCTCTGATGTCATAAGCCTTTTCCGCTTCTCTTTTAATTAACATGAATCTCTTTGTTGCAGGCAAAACCAATCAGCCAGGATGAGAGTCACGTAACATATCGCACTGTAGATCCGCCGCAAGAGGTGCACGTGAAGATGCTGCAACTGGGCCTGGACACTCTGGAGAAGGTGTTCAAGTACGTGGTGAAGATTCACACGACGAAGCGCTGTCTCGGCACGCGACAGATTCTGGGTGAGGAGGACGAGCTGCAGCCGAACGGACGCGTGTTCAAGAAGTACAAGATGGGCGAGTACAAGTGGCGCAACTTCTTGGAGACGGAGCAGGCGGCAATGTGGTTCGGACGCGGTGTGCGTGAGTTGGGACAGCAGCCGAAGACGAACATTGTCATCTTCGCGGAGACGCGTGCTGAGTGGCTGATCGCCGCTCATGGGTGCTTCAAGCAGAACATCCCGATCGTGACAATTTACGCCACGCTGGGCGACGAGGGAATCGTTCATGGCATCAATGAGACTGAGGTCAGCATTGTCATTACGTCGCACGATCTGCTGCCCAAGTTTAAGACGTTGCTGCCGAGTTTGCCCAACGTGAAAACCATCGTGTACATGGAGGATCAGCTGCACAAGACGGACGTGGTGGGCTTCAAGGAGGGCGTGAAGATCACATCTTTCTCGGAGGTGCTGAAGAAGGGCAGCGACAGTAAATACGGTAAGATTGGTATCAAATGCTGATCATTGAATGGGTTGAATTTACAATAATGTGTGCAATATTGCAAAATCGGCATCTTTTTTTAATGAATATGCAAAGCAAAGGTTACATTTCTCACCATTTAAATGACTTGATGGCTATTATGGGATTTAATATGAGGTTCTAGTTCAAGGTTGATGATAATTGTCAGTTAAATTATAATTACTAATTAGTGGAAAGACATATCTCTCATCACGTGTTTTTGCAATATCTACAACATTCTCTTGTTTGTGTCTTTCAGAGGGAGTTCCGCCAGAGGCTGACGACACTGCTATCATAATGTACACATCAGGATCCACGGGAACGCCAAAGGGTGTTCTACTCTCGCATCGTGGCTGCATTGCTACCATGAAAAACTTCTGTGATAGCGTTAAAATCTACCCAGATGACATTCTCATCGGATTCCTGCCGCTGGCGCACGTCTTTGAGCTGATTGCCGAGAGTGTGTGTCTGCTGACGGGCGTTCCAATTGGATATTCCACACCGCTGACGCTCATCGACAGCAGCAGCAAGATCATGAAGGGCTGCAAGGGTGACGCCACGATTCTCAAGCCCACTTGCATCACATCTGTGCCGGTAAGCGAGCATTTGTCGTAATGTTCCTAAAGATAGAACGATATTGATTGGGTGATTTTGCTTTTTTTCACCTTTCAGCTCATTTTGGACAGAATATCGAAGGGCATCAATGACAAGGTGAACGCCGAGCCGCCATTCAAAAAGGCTCTCTTCCGTTTCGCCTATGATTACAAGGCAAAGTGGCTGAAGCGCGGCTACACGACACCGCTTACGGATAAATTGATCTTCAAGAAGGTGGCGAAACTCATGGGCGGTCGCGTGAGGGCGGTATTGTCTGGTGGAGCGCCCCTCTCGCCCGACACCCATGAACAGATTAAGGTCTGCCTGTGCGTGGATGTGGTGCAGGGCTATGGATTGACAGAGACAACTTCCGGCGCCGCGGTGCTCGATAGTGAGTATACCGGATTGTCTGTTATAATCGCGGGGAAATTAACACGTTTTCCTGTCTATTTTGCAGAGTGGGACATGACATTTGGACGCGTTGGCGCACCGTCGACAATGTGTGATATTCGGCTGATAAACTGGGAGGAGGGAAATTACCGTGTCACCAACAAACCATATCCTCAGGGTGAGATTGTCGTGGGCGGTGAGAGTGTGTCCAAGGGATACTACAAGTTGCCGGGCAAGACGCAGGAGGATTTCTTCGAGGAGGACGGCAAGCGATGGTTCAAGACAGGCGACATCGGTGAATTCCATCCGGATGGCGTACTTAAGATCATCGGTAAGTCTTCTGACACTCACCAAATACTCTAGCATTCAAGTATTGAAAGAGTCGAATAATTCAATTAACAACCCTTCTTTTCGCCTTTCAAGACCGCAAGAAGGATCTGGTGAAGCTGCAGGCCGGCGAGTACGTGTCCCTGGGCAAGGTGGAGGCCGAGCTGAAGACGTGTCCGGTGGTTGAGAACATTTGTGTCTATGGCGATCCTACGAAGCAGTACACAGTGGCGCTGGTGGTGCCAAGTCAGAAGCATTTGGAGGAGATTGCGCTGAAGCAGGGTATCTCGAATCTGCAGTTCGAGGATCTCTGCTCGTCGCCCGTGATGGAGAGGGCAGTGATTAAGGAGTTGGCGGAGCACGCGAAGAAATGTGAGTCTTTGTCTCGCTGTCGACGGAAGAGGTGTGAACGAAGAGTGCTAATGTTTGTGGTGTGATTGCAGGCAAATTGGAGAAGTTCGAAGTGCCGGCCGCCATTACACTGTGCAAGGAGGTCTGGTCGCCTGACATGGGACTTGTGACGGCGGCGTTCAAGCTGAAGCGAAAAGACATCCAGGAGAGATATCAGCACGACATCAATCGCATGTACGCTTCATGAAATACGCCCAAACAGTCAATTCGCAAGCGCAAGTGAAGACTTTCCGCGCGGCGCATTCAATGTAGGTGTCTAATGAGGAGTAGTGAAAAGAGGAGGAAATACATACAGAAGAGGAAGGAGTAAAAGAGTCAAGAGGCAAATGAAAGGATAAAATGTAGTGGTTTATTTTATTTATTACTGGAATATTGCGTTGAGCATCACGCTAAAAGACCGGCCCAAGAGAGCGCATAGGAAAATATCACTAATAGTTAATCATAGCCAAAAAAAAATGCGTTAAACACAAGGGATTGACAAGTTGCTATGTACTTCCTGTTCACGCGCTGTCTTTTCTTTGCAATCACGTGATGGGTTTATCGGGTGGAAATCACAAAATGCTATATTTATTCATTTATCATTTTGAGAGATTTACAGCAACACACACACACACACACAGTTTTCTCGCAATCCCGCGGTAATCAGTTCACTTTAGTATGCAAACAAAAAGTGTTTCTATATTAAGTCAATATTTACTTAACTATAATAGAAGTAACGAAAGAACAAGAAGCAAATTATTTCACTGAACGCAATAAGAAAAAAAAAATGAGAAGAATTGAGATCAGAAAATCACAATAATGATTAATCCATTGAGAAAAGTTACCTCTTATTTATTGTGTAATTGGCTTTTATTTTGTAAGTCAACGCCTTCAAGTCATTCAATAGTGAAAATTTTTTATATTTTAATTGAGATTCTGGGTAGTCAAGTAAACGAAGGGTGAGTTTAATGTTATTTTCCTGGGCAAATAGCTAGAAATATGTCAAGATATTTTCATTTGGAAAGAGACGGAATTTGTGGAGGAAAGTCGAAAATTTGATAGTTTAGCTTTATGAAGGAAGAAAGATAAAGGAATATTTTTCCCCTATTATTAATGATTATTACGATCCTTGTCCAAAATTTGTCTGTATTATTCAATTGGATGTGATTGAAATTATTGGTGTGAATGATGTGAGATTTTGGGTGTGAATGTGATAAAAATTGAGTCTGAATTTAGTTTATGATCCCCTTATTTTTTTTTGTACAGTTACAATAAAGGAAGGTGAAAGAAGAAAAAAAACCTTTTCAGAAACAAGAACAATTCAAAAACTTAATAATAAAAAAACGATGTAAATATTTCTTATATTGCCTAAAGAAATTGGAATTATTATGTGTAGTGTTTTTTTCAGTCTGTGAAGATATGAAAATCCTCTCGCGTGAGAATGTTCTTTGCAATAATAAATGATGAAATAAATTGTTTGTGAAAAGTGAATGCGATTTTGAGCTGAAATATAATTGTGAATCATGCTTTTTAAGAACCTTTCAATATGCTTTTAGCTGAGACACACCATCGAGAATTTGAAGTTAAGAGTTCAATCCTAACTTAAGAGTCATTCTCTCACGCAGATAAAATATATATATATTCTCTCAATGTGTAAAATAATCATGTGCTAAAAATGCCTTCAATAGATGACAAAAAGACAGAACAAGTAAACTAGAGGGGATGATCAAAGTTGAATTAGATGTGGTCACAAGTCTTATTGCATACACAATTTAAAAAGCTTATAATGAGAAGATAAAAGAAACAGTACACATTTTATCGGATTTATGCGATGGTAAAAGGAAAAAAAAACCAAAATATATATATCTACTAAAATAAAAAAGAGGAAATCCAATTCATACTGATTATAAGAGAGAAAAAAAAGATCCAAAAAATGAAGAAAAAGTAAACCGTGTATGTGTAAATAAAGGTTATTTAAATGAAATTTTACTAGGTCTACATTTTAGTGGATAGCATTGAAGATTACTATATTATAAATTATCACACTTTATAAAAGAAGCGAAGATGAGGGGAAGATGCATTGAAATAAAAGGAGAACAAGTGAATATTAAAACATCTTTTGAACATTCTCATCTCTTCAGCACAGTGTCACATTCGCGGCAAAGATGGCGAAATATGTGTAACTCCTGGTGCGCGAAGATGATTCCTCAAGGTCGGCCAACAATAGAGATCCCGCCAATTTAGCCATCTTCGCTCTCAAGACATCTCAAGGCGGCAAAAGTGCGCTTTTTTGTGCGCCCAGCTTTGTCTCTCGCGCCTTTTTTGCTCCTGCTTTTCTCGCGAGACCAGCAATCACGCACAAGTGAATTCCGTCCAGCACAGATTCTTCGCACTGCCCGTGCGCACTAAACATGAGCAGATATTCATTCTAATCGCCACAGAGCGCTCATTTCGCGACGGCAGGAAGACTGTCTTGGCTATCGGCCAAGAAGGCGACTTGAACACTAAAAACAGGATTAATTTTTGCCCTTTTTAAGCGTCAATAGCGCGTACCTAGATCTCAAATACATTAATAATGAGACAAAATCAAGAAATTAGCGGTTTTCAAAAGAACACCGAACTGATAAAGGTACAACATGTAGGAAAAAATCAAAAAGAAGAAAGAACAATAAACAAAAAAGCCTGTCAATCAGTTAGAATGCAACTAGACATGAAATGATCCAGCATCCACAAGGAAACGCAGAATTAACGACAACCAAATATTGTAAAAACGGAAAACTCAAACCACCAGCGAACGAATTCAGTGCAACATTGATTTATCGATTGTGTAGATTTGCCAGAAACATTGCGAAATAATTCATGATTGCTAATAGAAGTCCTTTGTTTGCGAATTGTGCTTCAGAGGTGTGAAAGTTATGTGAAATATGGCCTGATTTCCCTGTGAGAAATTGCCATTTGGCTGCAAATTATTCATATGTTTCTTCATCTGTTTGAACGGAACGTTTTGAGGACATTTCGCTCAGTCGCTCATGGAGAATTGTGCGAGCAAAATGTCTCAAGTTCCTCAAGTTAACGAAGAGTTTGATGAATTTTTTCATCTCTTGAAAATCTGTGTAATTTCACGGATCTTAAGACCACTCCGTGATGAGTTCAGATGGAGCGGTTTCTTCATTGTTCTTACAATTGTCTCCTTGTGTTACTGTGCCTTTCCAATACTTTTCATTGATGAAAAGTTCACCGATGAAAGTGTGGATTTTATGGAAAAAATTTGTGCTATTCTCATTCTTCAAGGATATTTCCAATTGATTTTGAAGAATTTTGGCGCAATGCGCCATCACGACAAGTTTTCTGCTCTTGTTGATTGGATTAAGGAATTGCACGTCGTTAAGGAAGAAAATGGGCTGATCAGGAATATTGTTGATCAAAAGATCGCCGAGGCTCTGAAATGCTGCAAACTTTTCTTCAAGTAAATGCCAAAGAACATAGAATTAAACTAATTATCAGTTTCTAATGTCCTATTTTCATAGGGTGTGGCTCAGTATTTTTCTCTTGAGTCTAATTTGTGCTTTAGCGTCCATCAGCACAAGATACATATACATATTTCTGCCGAACTTCGAAGCGGATTCAAATTACATTACATATCAACTCCTTCAAGCATTCTTTCTGTCTTATGCTGTAGTTTGGACATGCTGTGCAGATGCATCTCTGGTTTTCATCGGAATCTACATTCTATTCTTCATGAAGATCATCAATGCAATGATAAAGAACCTGGATAGCGCGGAAAGCAAGGAAAACCGCTCTGATCTTCTCATTCAAATCGTGAAGAAACACGTGAAGTTGCTTGAAATCTTGAATATGTTCAATGACGCAATCGCAATCATCTCCTTAATTCAATTGGTGATGAGCACTATTATTTTTCTAAGTCTCTTCTTTGCATTTCAAGTGTACAAGGAATTTTTCATGTATACCATTATTCCAACAATGATGATCCAATTGGCTTTGCTGTGCATTTTTGGCGAAATGATTCGCACGGAGAATGAAAATATTTTTCAAAATCTCTACCAGACAAATTGGTATGAATTTAGTGTGAAGGAGCAGAAAATCGTCCTGCTCATGATGATGAATTCTTGCAATGAAATCGGACTGAAGGCAGCCGGAATGTATGACATTTCCTTGGTGACTCTTGTTCAGATCACGAAATTATCTTTCTCCTACTCGGCAATCATTCTCACATTCTACAAATAATCAAGACAATCATATGTTGTTATCGATCACTTAGTTCAAATTGTGTTTTTATACTCATTTTAGTAAATCAAATGTCGAGAAGACTCGAATTGCCAGATGAGTGCATTCTAAACATCAAATCAAACATCAAATGAAAATGTATCACTTGCTGTGAATGTTGTTAAATATTTATGGAAAAGTAGTAAAAAAAAAATGTTATTATTGCAATAAAACACATCTTGAATTTTCAGCCAGAAGAGTCGAATATCAAAAAATATACTTTGTAGTCTGAATTCACATATCTCTCATCACTTGACTCACTGACTCATAATCCCAATCAAGTTGTTTGGAGAACTATAGCAAATCCCCTTGAGAAAGCCCCACCGCCACCAGTCAAATAATAAGGCAGAGAAGAGAAAAAAAGCAGTGTCTAATATCCTTAACGGAGGTGACAAGAATTTGCATTTAAAGACTGCCTCGGAATTTCTACACAGATCAACTTCGCGACTGCTGCAGATGTAGATATTCGGGGCAAATGAAAGGGAAAAGAGGTCAAAGTGGCGGCATTACAATGGCCCAGGACGTCGCAGCGAAATAACTCTCAAGATCTCCGCTTCGCAATCCATTTGGCGGAATACCTTCGGGGTCTTTATGGTGCGCATAACTCATCGGATGCTTTCAGCCTTCGGACCCGCCTTCGAGTGCCGCGATGGGCTCACATTCCTGGACATTGGGGAATTTTGCAGCTGAAATTTCGGTCAGGAGTGGAAATTAATTTTGCGGCCACATCATCTTCTGATGGGATTTCTGACATGATGCGAATTTCTGCGAAGTCTCAGCTTGACCCTTCCGGAGAGGCACTCTTGCTCTCGTCTGATCGCCTCTCCGCCGCGCTCCTCGTCTGCCAGCGCGATCCTCCCCTTTTTGGGCGAAATATCCAGAAAATCAATTTCAGGAATGCCTCAGCAGAGCAACTCTCACCACTTGCACTCAAATCGCTGATAGAGCCAACCCAAGGGGGAGATGGTATGGCCAAAATCTGTACACCACTTCTTGAATGTAAGAAATGAGTTTTAGAAGTCTGAAAACTCATTGACATCTTTAATTAAGAGATTTTAGAAGTCCTCAATCGATCATTTGAGAAAAACTGCTTTTAATTGCTCTTCTGGGTATTTCCTTGATCTTAACCTCAAAAACAACATTAAGAGACATCAAAAACTTATTTTAAACTTGATTTTCTTTGAATGTTTTCAGAGATTATTTACTTAATGAATCTTGCTTAATTTAGTCATATAAGCTAGAAAATAATTATTACATCTTTTTGGTTTGAAAACAGAAATTAAACAAACTTCCACTGAGTTGTACATCACATCCGGTAGCATTATCTCCCCCTTGAGCCAGCCAACGGCCACGAAAGTGCCAATTAAGATGACCAGGAGCAGCAGTAATTGCGCCGGTGTCCAGGCTGTGCTCATAAAACTGTGATTAGGGCGCATTAAAATGCTGAAGAGGTCTGCAAGTCCTTCCACTCACCTCATCGAAACGCCACTCGTCTTCTCGGAAATGCTGGACATTGCCGTGAAATTGTCCCAGAAGATGCGCAGAGAAATTTCCTCCTTCCACAGGCACTTGAGAGTGATTTGTTTCTTCAATGGTTATTGCAAAAAGCCGATCACTTCCTTGGATTTCGCGCAGATAATCGTGTGGAAAAATGAGGAATTGAACTTTTCTCATCCGTTGTGTGATGCGCTCTTGAACGGTCTGTAATGAAATTATCTCAACAACCGCGCTCTTTTTATCGGCGCACAATTATCGTGAATTTTCCATGTCAAATTCACTTCCATGTTCCGTCCATCTCTCTCTCTTGACTTAGCATCACTCTTCAGCATCCCGATGAGAGTATTGTTTGTGCATTGAGAGCAGAATTGATTGTCACATAGATAAAGAAATATGGATATAAAGGATATTATCTGCGCTGTTACTTATAAGAATCACAAATAAATACATGAAAATTCTTCAGGATATTATGTTATATCAAAGCAGAAGACAAGCGTAATTAAAGTCACAATTGATAAGCATAAAGATAAGGACAACAATAACAATTTCTAAAGACATTCATTCTTCGCTTGATTCAGTGATTTTACACCGATACAGCAAGCAGTTTTGCTTAAAACTCTTCTGGCAATTCATTGGGAATTAAGAATCAATCCCATCTTCTCTATGACTTAAGGATGATTTATTTCCCAAAATTCCACAGAGAGTAACGCCTCGTGACCTTGACTGTTCCGAAAAGTTAATCGTATTTGGGCAGAAAGTACATCGAATTGGCCAGTCGACCGTTCTAGGCTCAGCGATGCATTCAACTCTGGGGCGCAAAGAATAAGAACACGACGCGAGTTCTTGGCGAGAGAGAAAAGAGTGCTTCTTTAATAAAAGCCTGTCAATGCACTGAGAGTGTGATTTCATAATTTACGATCATTCTCGATGATCATTGTGGAGCAATTTAGCGCGATTCTTGTGAGAAATGTGGCCTTTTGAGCACTCATTTCCCCGCGCGAGAGTCATAATCACTCTCTTTGCCATCGTGAGGAGCAATTTGCCGCATTACAGTGTAAATAATTACAGTGTGAAATTATCTAATTCCTCAAACGAGAAGCGTTGCAGAAAGAGGGCAGAAAGACGTGTCCGGCGTTGAGTGGACAAGAGAGAGGATCCTCTTCGGATGTGGGCATGATCGAGAGAGGGAGGAATGCTCCATTGCTGATCTCTGCGCGATGCTCAATTGTTGGCGGAGTGTTCTTGAGGGGAAAAAATTACACAAAGACGCCATGTAATCAACTTGTTTCATAGAGCTATACACAAGATCATGATTTCAATGTTTTTCTTGCATTTTTTCCACAAGGGAGAATCATTCTTTTTTCTACCATCCTCTTTTTCATCTTCGCGTTTGTCTCTCTGCTTGCGCCTCATTCGCCATACAAAGCCACCAGAGCCGGGGAAGCGACAGTATTCTTGAGCCACGGCGCAAGATATTGGGCTAAAAACAAGGATGATCTGTGCAATATTGAGTCACTTCCATTGATTATCTCGCTCTTGAGCATAAAAAGCAGCAAAAGAGTCATAATGTGGCTTCAGCCCGCACATTACGCCAGTATAATTTAATAATAGTACCACATGTGAGGGTTCTCAAAATGCTGTAAATTACACAAATCGCACCTTAACGGCGGTGTGTAACGGGATTCTGGATCCACCACCAATTTTGTGGAACATTTATCGTGAATTGAATGCACTCAAACCAAAAAGAAAGCGAAATATCAGTGAAAAATGCTAAGAACAACCACCGAACGATATTTATATTCTTATGATTATGATGTAAAAACTACAATTTTGTATTAGTTTACTCTTATAAAGTGTAATAAATTATCTTATCTTGTAGAACATGAAAATGAAGTTGCATTAAAGCGATAAACTTGATTTAATATCAAAGCTTCCGTGAAAATTGTCTTTCTTAGAGTCTGTAACGTGTTTTATCCTAAAAGTTTGGAAATAAAACAAAAGAAGAAGTACTTAAATGATTAAGTAAATATATTTGGCTACATTTTTGAAGCATAACAAGTGCGAAACAGTTTGAGCACTTTTTCTGAGTGTCTCAAATGTGGTGAAAGATATTTATTTTCAGAATTTTTCCTCAACTTATCAGCCATCAGGTGAGTGTTTTTATTTCTCTGCGGAACACGTTAAATATTTAGCAAGATTGCGACATTTGAAGAAGGAAATGAAGAATACAGGAAAAAAATCATTCCGAAGCGAGAATTTAATTCACATGGCATCAAGAATACGGTGGAGGTTGATGGTCCCCCATTGGGTGAATCTTTTAATCAATGACATCATCTCGTGTGGTTTCTGTTCGCACAAAACACATCTTTTCTTGAGAATCAAATCCGAGAGAAGATTCCTCCTAATTACATTATTGACCATACATTTTTTTCTCTCCTACAAGTGCCTTTCCTCTTGTTCGCCAACAATCAGATGATGTTTGGATTCTAATGGTGAAGAAGTATATAAATTAATGTCTCTCTGGAAATGTTCCATCTTCTCCGCGTGTTGATGTATCATCAGATGTGAGAATCTTCTCATGGGAACTGTGAGACTTTTGCCAATTGCACGATAAATCAGCAAATGCCCGGCATGATCACAATTGATGGGGAATAGAAGGGATCTTCATTGAATTCCTATATCGTCCAGAAGATGGGGATTTATCAACAGGGATGTATGCAGATCCAGAAGGGATTTCTCCTCCATTCGCCAAGACAATCTGTGTAATTTATATTTTGCAGGAAATTTATAGCTATGCTCACGAGTCTAATCATGAGGAATAAATCAAAATTAGTTCTTCTTTCATGTGCAAAAAGCGCGCGCGCTGATGGTAAGAAGGCATAAGAAGAAAAAACTCCATGGCAGCAAAGAAAGAACATCTTCAGCATTATCTATGCATCTGCTTTAAGCTGGAACTTAAAATCGAAAGGGAGTTTTCATGTGGAAATTGAAAGTACAGTTTTAATTTGTCTCGAGTTTCATTGAAATTTATTTCTTCTTGGCACTTCAGCGCAGTTGAAAATGAAAATTGAAGATGATCAAGCGAAGAGAAATGACTGTGAAACACTAAAAATCCCATCTTCACGTGAATTATCTTCTGAGCCAATTGCTAATTTACGAGGCATCGCATGTATACCAAAGGGCACAATGGACGGCCAGGAGGAGTTGGGACAAGTGCAGAAGAGGAATCGCAGAGTGTCTTCTTCGCTTTGTGGAAAGGTTCACCCAGAGAGAACAGAAGCAGAGCAAAAGCGGCGCAAGAGGAGGCGAAGATGTTGAGGAGAGTGTTGTTGTTGTATAGAGAAAGAGTGGAGCGAAGGAGATGATAAAGAGTGAATAGCGATTTGCCAATGTTGAAAATGAAATTGAGGTGAAAAGAGGGCAAAAAGGAGTTAAGCCTAGCACTCCTCGCAGAAGAAAGACCAAGACAGCACTTCAAACACTACTCGCTGAATTTATGCTATCACTGCTTGGAGCTCTTTCTCAGAATTTAAAAGATAATTTATAAAATTAATAGAACTGTCATATGATTGTCCTGTGTCGCGTCACACAAAATGTCCTATGTTGTATGAGATTCTAGCGTCAGTGTGTTTACTACCCAAACTGTAAAAACTACATAAAAAGGTAGATTGTGTGAATCGTCTTCAGAGACAGATTCTATTGAAATGTCTTATGTGGAAAATAAGACACAAGATCAGACAAATCTGACCGAACGCATGGGACATGTCATAAGAAAAATAGGATGTTCTCCCATTCTGTTAGTGCATTCAAAAATGGGATCAAAACAACTTCTGTATTCTTTTTGTCATGATTCTTCACGGTCAAATTCTGACATTCATGAAAAAAACCTTTTTGTAATGATCGAAAAATATTTTTTTGCCTTCACAAACAGAACTTATTAAACGCGATTTCCAGTTCTTTTGCACTGCCATTAAATTAGCACTCAATTTTCACCCATTAGTTGCTGATGGGGGACAAGATTGATACTTGGGAATACAATAATTAAATATATTCCAAAAAAGAATTTCATGGTGGCACTGTAATTAGCGCCACGAGTGTGTACGCTAAATAATGTTCTGCATGAGGATGGGCACCGCGGATGAGGAGCGACGGAGGTGAATATGTATTGGAGAACAATAAAAAGAGCGATAGAATAGAACGAGAAGAAGAGGATAAGAAAAAAACGGCAACTACAAAATCCATCGCGGCCGTCTTTTGGTGGGGGAACTCCCTTTTAAGCGGCAGCTTTGGTCGACTCCTAGCCATTTGAGTCTTGTGAACTTGACTTTGAACTCCGCATCGGCAGCTTCGACGCCGCGTCACAGCAGACAATAGCCAAGAGCCAAGTGCATAGCATATTTCTCATAGTTCTGTGTTGGGAATTTCAGTCGTGTGCTGAGCGCTGTGCGGGAGTTGCTTTTGCTTGAGAAGATCGCGGAGAGGAAAGTCCTGTTTTTTTACTTAGAGTTGCGCGTGAGAGAGTAAAAATGAAAGTAATTCTGTGTTTTTGTGCTCTGCTGGCGTTTGCCATGGGTGAGTAGAGAATTCTGTCTGAAAGTGTTGAAAGAATTATATCGAAAGACTTTAGGCGACGAACCCGACTTCACGACATGCGGATTAGTATTCCAATCAGGGTGACTTTTGTCAATTGCAAATGATTCATCGGCGTATTTTAATGAAATGTGTGCCCATGAGAGACAAGAAAGGGTGAAGGAGAATGATTTATTTGTGATGTGAGGCCAACAAACGCAATTACTTTGTCATGCGCGATGGAATCGCGCACAAGAATAGGAAATGTGTGTTTCCGGCCGATCCAAGCCTCTTGCATTCAACATGATCGAGATGAAGTCTTGAAGAGGGTTCTTGAATGCCCATTTGAGCTTCTTTTTATGGTCAATTTTGCGACAAAGACACATTTGTATGCACAAAATGTAGCCAATTTAAAGATAAATTAATGGAGCAAGAGAGAGCAAAAGTGTTGAGAGATGCAAATCGTATTGCTCTTTTCGTATAATTCAGTAACTTTTTTTCTGCCACTCTGTAGATCGGAGGACAAGCTTGAAATAACCTTCTTTGTGCTTCACTATTCAAATAGCGTCTTTGTGGCAGAAGACATCGAGTAGATTTTACCATATTTTTTTGTATGCACGAGGCACAACTCTTGCATACTCCACAAAAGACATCCCATTGAGCGTGTCGCATTCTTAATAGACGCACCGACAATTCCTCGCCCAGACACTCTCATTGACTCCCATTAGCCGCCTTGTGGCAGCAGGAAGAGCCCCAAGGAGACTCTCCCAGGTGGCTGCAGAGCATAAAATTCCACTTACACACTTCATTTCAAGCTACATGAGTGTGTCACTGGCAGTCCGTTCATGGAAGAAGGTTCTCACAAGTGATTCGCGCCGTTCGCGAGAGGCGCGCGCGTAAGAATAGATCTGCCAATAAAAAATTCCCAAGTGAAGACAGGAGCGCGATGCGAGTTCAATGGACATTGCGAGTGAGCATCGCAGGGGCGAGAATGGGGCGCGAGAGAGAGAGAGAGAGGAAAAGTCGATCTTGGATGTGAATTATCATAAAAAGTTCAGTGATCGCGCATAATTTGCCTGTGTAATCAATTCAGCACGATCGCAATTTTGTGTGGCCATCGCAGTTTGACACGGCGGGTCAGCGCGACTTTAACAAATTTATCGTATTAACGGCATTTCATCCACACGTCAGATCACATATTTATACCCTCAACCACTCCTCGTGATGCAGGAGAGTTACAAAAATAGATTGGAGAGTGATATACTCGTCGTTTTGCCTCTTCGCAATGGTATTTGTATCTTTCACGCGCGTCTTCACCATTGACCGGAGGCGCACATTTAAGTAGAAAAAGGCACGACGGAGATCTCGTTTTCAATGGTGCGATGGAAGATGAGGAAAATGAAGGAGGATAATAATTAAATCACGATAATGTCGATAAGAATTCTTGAAATATATGAAAATGCACCCAGAAACACTCAAAAAAACTGTTTGTCTTCACATTCTTCCTCAGATGGTGGTAAGAGGATAGAACAGCTCAATTTGGACTAAAAATACAAAGATTTGGCCTAAAAGTTCCTTTGAACCATTGAAAAAGAATCCAAATTAAGAAAATTAGGAGAAAATTCTATGGTTGTCTTGCTAAAAGATTGGAAATTGCTCTTTTTCCAACATTTTTGTTCTGTAAAAATTTGCTCATATCAATCCGTCTGCTAACCAATCGCATGTGCGGTTTTCGCTGAGTGCACTGGAGATGCTCTTGACCGCCAAGTTCTTGGCCAAGTTGAAAGTCTCTCTCGCGCATTTTGCCCGCACGAATCAGTGAAAACTCCCTCGAGAATTCTCTCTTCTTCAGCATACGATGGAGGAATGAAATGGGAGGTTGAAACGATTTTCATGCGAACTTTTCTGAGTCCCTCTTCAGCGTTCTGTGAGGGTCACTAATCGTGATCTGAGTAGTGGTGTTTAGCAGAAGAGATGCCATAAAGAAACATTTTAAGCGCTGGTCACACAATGTAACACGAGGGAAGACGCACGACCCAGAGAGTGGAAAGGGAAACCGATTTGCAATTGCCGGGGAGATTTTATCGTCGGCTGAATTCCTTGCAGTCTCCGGTCTCGCGGCGTGCAATAGAATTTTTATCGTGCACAGATTATATTCCCGAGATGCCTCTTGAGATACTCTGGGGCTCTTTCAAATCTCTCTGCCCCTCTCGCATTTCCTATGAATAGCCATCTATTAATCAATTCTCAAGGATCTTCGAGAGATGAATATCAATGTGGGCAAAAAATATGTTTCCTCAGGAGTGGATATACACTTGAGCTTGTCTCTCCTATCAACTTTATATGCAAATTCACGGCAGACACAAAGAAATCTTCCATACTTGACAATTTTATACACCACCAGGAGAGAGAGAGGAGTCACAAAATTTCCCATAGAAAGAACAATAACGATGTTTTCCAACATAAAATGGTAATCGAATTCATTTTAATTCATCTTCATTCTTTTTATCGTTTTGCTGTTCTTTTTGCGCTCACTCTTCCTCCTTCTATTTGTTTCTTTCTTATGAGTTCCCTCGAGGCCTTTTTTGCTCTCTTTAACCACCTCAATTGTCCATACATTTATCCGCGGTCTGTGAATTTGCAGAAATAGAAATTCACATTAAATGCCCCTCACGTCATTTGGAGAGAATTCTTCCAACACTAATGAACGCGATGACTCGCTGGGAATGTCTTGGCGGGCATATCAAAGTCTCCGGCATGGTCAAGATGATGGAAATGTTTGTGTTGCAGGCCAGAGGATCACAACGATCCAATTGGATGGCGTTCAGTACTTCGTCAGTCGGATGAATCCCTACTCGCCGGAGCTCAACTACTTCCTCGCCTATCAGTACTGCCGCTCGCTGGGCCTGCAGCTGGCCTCCTTCGAGACCAAGGAGAAGGTGGAGTCCATGACGCAGTATCTGCAGAATGCCGGCTACAGCAAGTATGACTTCTGGACGTCCGGCAATCGCTTGGGCACCGGCATGTTCCTCTGGATGAGCACAGGATTGCCCTTCAACGCCACCTTCGACTACTTCGAGAACTCCAGCGACGCCTCACCGCTCGAGCCTGTGGATCACAACCAAAACACAGCGCCTCAGCGAACGGCCAGAGACAGGTTGGTTCACGCGCACTCCAAAAAGTGGAAATGGGCCTATCACGGTGAACCTTGAGTGACAAATCCGCAAATGAGGCTGAAGATGAGTCCAAAATGGCTTGATTTAAAACCATAGATGTTGTCTTTCAGCCTAGAATCATAAATTACTTCGCGAAAATTCCTTACTTAGGGTTTTGCAATGCCTGAAAATCGGCCTATTGACACTCAAATGAACCGTGAACGGCACAATTATTCGACCCTTAACTCACCCCCATATCGCTAACTCGCCTTTCACACCCACAAACAGCAGTAGCGGCCTGGAGAAGGGATGCGTGATCATGCAGGCCCCGAGCCTGCGATGGGCGCCCGAGGACTGTTCCGCCGTGAAGGACTTCATATGCGAACAGACCCGATGCTATTACTACAACTACGGCAGCATTCCTGTGTCTTCCGCTCAGGGGTAAGGCAAACGCGTACTCGATCGACGCTGTTAAGTTAAATAGGTGAGCTAGCCCCCTTCCACCAGAGCATCTTGCGTGCTTCACCTCCACATTGCACACGCCAAACACTACACAACAGAGAGAAACAAACTGTCCCGCCTCTCTTTACGCTCCTTTCGAATTCATACTAATTCACCCGATACTTAACACCCCCTCGTATCGGTTTTAATACATCTACTTCAATGCAGAAGTGCTGCCTCAATTAAAAGAACGTGTAATTGACTAACTGGAGTGGATTATATCGTGGATGTGGAGAATCTTGAACTGTTGAGTGACTGTTAAGTTAAGAAACTTGTACTGTGGGCCTTTCACCCAATTTTGACACCCAAAATTCAGATAAAGATCAAGGAAATTTCAAGAAAAATTAACAATATATCAATATAAAATTCGTGCACTTATTAATCCTTGTATATTAGAATAACAATTTTTTAAACTCAGTTTAATGCACAGTAAGATTTTCTTTCAAAAAACCCTGAGAGAGTCTTTAGTATGTATATCTATTGACTGATAATAACTGATAATAAAATTTTATGCAGTTATGTAAGGAAAGGAAAACTCATTAGACTTTCCAGACACTCACTCAATAGTTTGTTGATTTCTCTGACAGGATCAAATGAGAGAAATATGGATATCCTTAAATTGGTGGCTTGGGGTTAGTCCAATTAATTTGCTTCCGTGAAATTTCTTATTAAAACATCTAATAGTACCAGCTTGCGATTGATGTTCTCTAAATACCACCGGGGCACTCTTGCAGACGACCAATTTCTTCGACAACGACCACAACCACAACCACACCATTGCCTCACTTCCTCTCGTCCACCACCTTCAAAATACCCCTCGCCATGACCCTGAACCTGCGCAGTGAGCCCAAGCACCTCAACGAGCACCCCGACCGCCCTGTTCAGGTGGAGACGGCCACTGAGGAGGAGGAGGAGGCACAGGAGGACGGCAGCGCGGAGAGCGAGGAGAGCAGCGGCGCCGCAGAGAGCGAGGAAACCACTGAGGAGACCACTGAGGAGGTCACCGAGGTGACCACGAAGCTGCCCAGGAGCGAGACCATCACACCCGTGGAGCAGCGCCTCAAGCAGATCACGGAGGAGATTGAGAAGTTCAGCAATACTGACGTGGATAGCGAGATTGGGCGGCAGAGCTTCTTCTCCCTCTCGGATCTCATCAAGAATCTCAGGCCTAACGACAAAAAGACGCCGCAAATCGACTCCGATTACAGTAACACCATGCGTGTGCTGGGCGACACCAAATCCCTCATCAATGACGATGCCCGGAAGGTGAAGGAGGCGAACATAAAGATTACGAGATCCCTGTACTAAGGCTCCTCCTCTGTCGCGTGCGCCGTGCAGCAGAAGACTCGCCAGCACCCTTCTGCCTTGCTCTTCTCGCGAGAAAAGTGAGATAGAAGGAACTGGGACTTTTCGGCTGCACGTGGAGTTCATCCTCCTGAAGCTTTTTCTTGTGGTCAAACTTTGACGGTTATAGTTTCAAAATTCTCAACATTCTATCTGTGGATTTCAATTTTACCAATTTTGAAATAATAAAATTGAATTGCAACTTAATTGCGAAGAAGTAATATGTATGAATTTAAGCGAGGTATCAAATAAAAGACAATATTTGTCACAGTAAAACACGAATTCTATTAAATTCAGTGAGTGTGATTAACCATGATAATGACAATGGCAATCAAAAAGCGATATGAAATTAAGTGCAGTTTCTCAATGCGGGACTAAATATTGCTCAGCAGACGGTATTACACCACTTATTCTTTATATAATTTTAATGGCACGCAATCGAAAGCTAAGAACTTCAGTATAGTTTTAATCATCGCATCGCAATGTTGACGCATTCATTTGTTCTTGGTGTTCTCGTCCAAAGTGTTTGTGTGACATCTGAAATATTCTCAGGCTCTTGTCCACATTTTGATAATTCAAGTTGTTATATTGATGCGAAATATGTTAAAGAATTCAACGTACGAAGTTTAGTGGCTCTGTTGCCGTTCGCTTCTCGCAAAAATCACTTTTTCCGACATTTCTACGGAAGATCCTTCTATTGCTGGGAAACTTCAACATTTGTGTATGACTGGAACCATTTTATTTACATAGTAAGACCTGGTATTTCACCTAAGCATCACTGTAAGAATTCAGCTCGAATTGTGACACTTGTCGAAAATGGATCCATTTCGGAGTTTTACAAAAGAAGAGTTATGAGTTTTAATGATTTCCAAAACATGAAATGTAACAGAGATAACAATTTGCAGAATGTAATTTTATTCTACTATGACAGAGATTTAACAATATTAATTGGTTGCGAGAATCTGCCAGACAATCGTTATGATATAGGAATTATATTGAGTCATCGTCTGGTAACTGAATCCTATTTCCTTAGCTCTAGAGGTGAATTCTATAATTTGATCAATGATATATTTAGAAAGATTGAGTTTCTTAATATCCCAAGACAATCATTTGAAATACATATGCATGATGGACAAAGAGAGTTGTGTTTAGAAACATGTGAAAGTCCTTTCGAATGTATCCAAAATACTGAACAGCAAATTAATTTAATGATTTGGATCTTAATACCCCTAACCATCTTCTTTCTGTCGATCTTACTCGTGCTCCTGGTGAGATTCTACCACAAGAAAGTAAAACAACGACGAATTATTGCATCTTCGAATCAATAAAAACAACATTTTTTCCTAGAGATTTGTTGTTTCTATTTTTTCACGCTCTTCCTGTGGCTTCTCATTCTTCTTCACACCCTCATCGAAAATTGCAAGATCCTTAACAAAGTACGCAATCACCATGCTGAGACACAAAGCCATTGTATTGGTGAAGCTTGTCGAGAGATTCAGGAAGTATCTGCAAATGAAAGGACATCAATAAGTATAGCTGATGGAAGCTGTGCTTTGCAGCCGTTAAAGCTCAGCTTCTTCGTTGCATACCTAAGTGAAGGTCCGTTGTACAGCCAACAATTGCCGCTTGTTGTGCACGTTTTGCCCCAGAGATCGCAAGTGCTGTCGACGAGGGCGCCAAAGACTACAGGAATGGGAATGAAGGCGAAGACACTGAAGAAGGCCATTGAGATGCCCAGTGAGAAGGTTTTATCCTTATCGGCCACGCATCGGATGCTCAGCAGGAAGTTTGAGGCAAAGCCTGTGGCCATCATGAGGCGCAGGAAGCTCATGACCACGAGAAAAGTCGTGAACTCTTTCTGGCAGTCGATGGGACACGCGCCCTCTGTCGCGGATCCTCCACCGATGCACGCGCAATTCGTGAAGATTTTCGTGGCATTCTCTAGATCCACGCGATCAGTGCATCCAGCGTGACAGGGAGAGATGTACGTCTGGTGATTCTCGCCACAAATCGGTGCGTACTGAACGAAGTCACAGTGGCAATTCTCACTGCAAGATGTTGGCATGCTGGCTGTGTTCATGGAGGCCAAGGCCGCCTCTTTTGCCGGACAACTAAGCTGAGTGTAGGTAAGATTGCAGAGAATGGCACAGAAGTTAATCACACAATTCCAAATGACTATCTTCCTGGCACTTGGCTTGAAGCGCGACACCACAACTCCAGACAATACAGTTCCAATTCCCGTGAAGATGAAGCCAATGCTGCCTGTGTAGAAACTACAGCGCGACATGTGAGCTGGTTGACCAGCTATTTAATGAAAAATCCACTTACTTGGACTCCGTTGGTGTCTTCTGATACAGCGCCTCAATGTATTTCGGTGTGTAAACCAAGTACGGCTCCATGCCGTAGATGCTGAACAGGCTGGATATTTGATACATGACGTAGATCTTATTCGTCAGTAGTCGCTTGAGAGTCTTTAGGAAGTCACTGATGCTGGCCGGCATGACGTCTTCTGACACTTGCGTCTGACTCTGCAGCATAGCCAAGTGCTTCCGCCTGGCAGCATCTGGCAGGACTTTGGGAAAGAGGCAGATGGACAGCGAGAACATGCACATGAGAGTGCTCAGCACGAGCCATCCCATCCACCAAGCGCCTATCCATCGAGGATCCGAGTCCTCGATTGTGGGCGTGAGTGAAGGCGCCACGAAGAACTTGACACAGAAGCCAGCCAGAGCGTATCCCATCAAAGGACCGGTCATGCCCAGGAAATACATTATGCCTGGAAGATACCCAAATTTCGCAGAAGATGTACAAACTCCTCAATTTGCAGATATTAAATTTTCGTTCAACTCTATCTGAAGCAGTCTTTAATGGCTCACAGAACCAAGAAGATAATACTATACTCACTATTCAGATTTCCTATCCGTTCCGGAAGCACAATTAAAGCTTCCTCTGTATGCAAAATATTAGAAAAATGACAATAATTCCTTATTTCTTTCTGATGAACACTTGACAGAACATCATTAGTGTTTTTCAAGGATAAAAAAATCCAATTAATTCATAAAGTTTGCATTCCAAATACATATAAAAGCCGATTGTCGTATACGACTCATTTAGAATTAAAGGGTTTATAGCAGGCCTAGAATTACAATAATAACTTCCACTTACTTATCAGAAACGGCGTGTTTTCCCTCTTGACATTGTCGTCCATATAAATAGTCGAGAGACTTGAGAACAGCGCGGATCCAATTCCAGCTATCATTTGTGCAATGAAAAACATTATTTGTGGCTCGATATGTCCTTCGTCTGTGTCACACTTCGCTGCATAATCCGCGTCTGAGTTGCACAATCCCTTCCTCTTCTCGCGCTCTAGAATGTCCGCCGCATCGTCTCGACTGGGATCTGAACCATATTCCACACTGAAGGATTCTGCGCTTCCTCCGCCGTAGATGAAGTGCGGAACGGCCATGAGGAAGCAGGAAAGCGTTGTGGCCAGCAATCCCACGCCAATCCATCGTGGCTTGTGACCCTTTCCAGCGAAATACGTCACGCAGATTGCCACGACAATCAGTACGATTTCATGACCTATGTTCTGATAACCGATGTTTCGGCTGGGGATCTTAAATCTCTTCTCAATCGTCGAGATTGTGCCGTAGAAGTATGTGAAGCGACTGATGAAAAAGGCGCCTGATATACCGCTGATTACCACATAGACGTTCTTGTTTGCGAATCTGCGAGACGGTAAGTGAAGAACCACTTGATTTTACGGTAAATATTTTGATTGGATATCAGGACAAATAAATTAAATCGCAGTCATGGTTTCACAAACACTTTTCCTTCCACTCAAAAATTATATATCTTGTCTGTTTGTGACGTGATAAGGAACGCGTGGTTTCAAGGATGGGAATTAATTTCCATGCCACATAATATTGAAATGTCACAGAGCAATTAGTAACGCGAACTGTCCAAAGGGAAATAGAGCATTATTCCAGAAGATCTTCCCATTCACAACTGGTTCCATACAGACTGCCACAATCGCACTGAGGCACTCGTTCAATCAATTTAGCGACACTTCAGACTCCAGATTGTGGTGTTCAACCAATGATATCACCTAGTTGATATTAATATCTCGGCACACAATCAAATCGTATTGTATTTCAGCTGTTTGATCTTGTGCAACTTAGTGGAAATGACGCCGCGTCGAATTGCGAGCTTACTTTTGGAGGAATGGCCACTTGAACGGGCCCAGGCCACACGTGGTGTCCTTGGTCAGCGGCAGGACCTCATCCTGCTGCTCAGCGCGACTGGGATTGCCCGGAATGAAGCGCCCCCGCTCACTTTCACCACCTTCCTGCGTCATGTCGCACTTCTCGCCCGAAGCACTCTCCCCAAGCGACTGATCCAATTATGCTTTTCAGCTGTGTCGGAAGCAGTTTTCACGCACTTATTATCTTGATGACCATTAAAACACTTGAGTGGAAGATTAAGCTTGTTCGCTTATTAGATAATGCTATCTAAATATTTGCCGCTGAGATGGATGGGATTTTCGGTGATGCGCATTGTTCAGTAGTATTTTCCTAAGTAATTGTTGCGTTACCTTCTTATATAGTAAGCTTTTAGGAATGCTGTGTATAGGAAAAGTTATATCAGAAAAGCGTAAATACATAGTGCTATCATTCCTAAAAAGAGGAAAGTTTCAGAAACAACGTAATGAAAATTTACATTTTGTTAGAATTTTCACTGCGGTGTGAAGAGCTTCATCAATAAATTCAAATAATATATTTCAACAGTACCGCTTATTATATGCAGTAATATATGGTATATGGATTGATATGTGATTTTGTCACCAATTACGGATTTTGCTCACTTTCAATGTCTCCAATTGCAAATGATGCGCATTTTTTTCACACTGCACTGCTTTGTGGCGCATTACAATTAAAATCCCACAATTATGGTTCCAATTTTCAATCAGATGAATTTTCATAATGTTTGAAGAGAATGACTTCAAATATGAGCAAATGTTCATTCCTGGAAAGAATTAATTACACACAATAAAATAACCATAATGAGTTCAATATGCGTATTTCCAATTTCACACCTCAACAATATCATTTAACAGGGAAATTTATTGTCACGCAAATTTTGGATAAAGGTATTTCACATTTTTACGGTATTGGCCATCAAATAAAATGTTCAGAAAAGAATTACTTCTTCACATGTTTAGCGTAGAATGAAGCAAAATTTCCTCATATTGCATAAATTGTTCGATTCTGATGATAAAGTGAACAATCCTCATATATTCCACGTTGTAAACTGATAAATCCCCTCAAAGTATACAATTAGCTAAGAGAATTTGTCATACCACACTTAATGGCAAAGCAATCGCACTCATTTCTTTTCCCATTCCTGCCATTCTGATTCACGTGAAGACTTCAACTGAATCACATAAAATTTATCACTGCAGCAACGGGGAATTCTGTTAATTATTAAACTGTGACGCAAAATGTGTGAATTAGAAATGTGGCAGTATTATAAGTATATGAAACTTTCTCTGTAATTACAAATATAGTTATACATCAAACAGTACAATTTTCTAGTGGAAAACCGAGGGCTACAGATTAGGAATTCAGCAGAAAATTTCCTTTCAACTCTTTTCTACATACATATTTGCAAGGACAAATGTTTTCCAACTGGACAATTTCTCACCAAAGAAAGACAGACGTTTCCTTTATTAAAAACAGATTTATGTTACTTATTATTTAACATGTTAACGTTCACTGTTACATAGAATATAAATATATACCAATGGATGGTTTTTTAGGCATTCAGTTTCACTTTGTCGGTGCATCAAGATGGAGGTAGAACTGATTCCTGAGGAATTCAGCACAAGCGAGAGATATTTAGCTCGCTGCTTCTACTGGATTTACCTTAAGGTTTTGCCCAAGTCCAAGTGGAAAATTGTCAATAGCATTAAGCTGAGTATTTTCCCTGGCATCGTTTTCATCAATGGAATCTTTATCCTCAACGAGCTCTTTAAGATTCTCTCCGCGAATATTTTAGAAAATCAAATGCAGTTCTCAAACTTGTTAGTTTACATTGGAGGATTTTATCAATACTCGTGGAAATATTTCGTCTTGATTGCCTATCGTGATGAATATAGAAGAATTATTGACTTCATCAATGACATTCGACAATCATTTCTGGACAGAAATTCTCTTGCTGAAATTCGAAGGCCGAAATTCAAGAGAACACTCAAAATCGTAAATTTATGCATTAGGCAAGACGTAGTCATTTCTTAGAACAAGATAAAAATTATAATGATATTTTTTTTTCCTAATTTTAGGCTTTACTTATACTTCACAATCGTCGGTGCAAATTTTGTTCTTGGTGCCAACACATTTATAACCAATTTTACCTCACCTCTAATGTACACAATTCCTTACTTATCTGAGGAAAGCTTCTTCTATCATCCAGTTAATGTAATTTTTCAGTGGGTGGCCTTTGCTATTCTGTGCATTGTGATTTTTGGATTGGATTATATCGTTATGATTTTCGTTGGCTCTCTAGAAGCTGAACTGAGTTCAATTGTGACAATAATTTCTCAGGTGAATGATGAAAATGTAACGAGAAAAGACAGCAAGAAAATTTTTCAACAAATTTATTTATCGCACGTAAAGATTCTGAAAGTTATAAATCAACTCCAAACCATTCTTTGGCACCTCAGTCTTCACATCTTGCTCTCCAACTTCATCTTCATTTGTATGAGCATTTATATAATCAGATTTATATCGATTTCCTTTCCTATAATAATCACATTCAGCAACGGTTTATTCCAACTCTTCATCCTCTGCTATCTGAGCCAAGTAATCCTTGACAAAACCGAGGAATTCGCCGACGCTCTTTACCAAATTGCCTGGTACGATTTGCCGATCGAAGACCAGAAAACTTTGCTGATTATTCTCTGCATGGCGCAGCAACTGAAAGGAATCAACGCTAGCGGATTGACGACCATTTCCATCAACACTCTCCTGCAAGTGGTCAAAACGGCCCTTTCTTATGGCGCCTTTCTCTACACCCTAATCAACTAATCTTTGCAAATTAATATTCGCATCTCGCAAAGGAACGACAAGGCTTCAAGATTTCAGCTTTGCGCACTTTTCAGATTCTGTAACCTTCTCAAATAAATTTCTTCGCACAAGACACAAATTCAGCATTTATACTAAAATATAGTTTGCTTAAAGAGGTTCTTTCCACTAAGTTTTCCTATTTTGAACAACTGATGATGTTTCATGCAACACAACTCCGAAACATGAAACACCAACGAACTCCAGGAAATATCTTTAATATTGAGATAAATGTTCGATTCAATTTGCATATGTGAATAAAGTCGTAATTAGATGCATAAAAGGCGAGACGAGTGTTTTTCTTTCCAACCAACTAACACTTTGCGCCAAATTCCAATGTTTTCTCATTCATGTTTCATGGTTCGAACGTGACTCATTTTCAAATAAGCTGGGAATTTTCTTTAACGACTTACTGGATTTTTGAGCTATTTGCCATTGCTATTTGGGTGCCAAATGGACATGATTTGAGAGAATCTTTGTTATGCGAAATCCCCACCTGTCTGGGCAGTGGCTTTCTGTTGTCTTCGCGACAAGCGCATGAATCAGTGGCCCAACACATTGACGAGTTGCAGTGCGATTGTGGATATGGAAAAGGTGAAGTGTCGCTCATTTCGATATTTGTTGAGCCATACTTGCTGCTGGGAATTAAATTATTGCTCGTGACACAGTGATACAGTGACGGTGTGTTTGGCGCGAAAAAGGAGGGGCTGAGCTTCAGCATTTGGAACAATACCGTGCTGGAGATGACGATTCGTAGTACAAATAGTGAATCATCCGGCGCACAGTGAATTGGGGAGAGCAGTTCTCATTTACAATTAATCACCCAGCATTCCGTTGCTCACTCTTGACCAGTGCACATCGTGCTCAAAGAGTATCCGGCGGGAGTGCACTTCAGTGAGATTGTTTTGCGAGTGTTTTGCCCCACGAATAGTGTTGTTATCAGCATGAAATAGTCACAGAAGACGATAGAGTGTGTGATTTTACGCCAAAATCGGCGAATTTCTGTGGAAATCCGGAGTGTGAGAGTGAGAACAGCGTCTTACAACCGCAATGATAACTGATAACACATCGGGCTGAAGCAAATATTGATAATATACTCAATAAATACACAATCTAGAATCGATATGAGAATCACGCTGTAAAGGAAACAGTGTAAGTTTAATTGTCAATAAGAAAAGGAGGGAAAAATACCTCTTTTTCACTATAAGTTTCACCCTGTGTGTGTTTGCTTAAAAAAAAGCCAGCCTCTTCGTGAATCGATGCTGAGGCAAAAAATGTGAATTAGTTTCAATTAAATTCAATTAGAAATTGACCGGAGGGTTAATAATCATGCTGCCTCTCATATGTGCATGTGTTGGCGATTAGGGAATTTCCAGCGCTCTGGCGCGAGTGTGACGGCGATATGATCTCTCTCCCGTATTATTTTTGCCACTGAACATCCCAAAAGTGATCCCAGTGAAGTTGAAACGCGCTCTCATCTCTTGCAGGCCGAACAAAGAGTCCCTCAAGCGAATTTCACAATGAATGAAACCAGCCCGGAATCTGCAGATCCTCTCGAGGGAGAATTCACGCGATTCTCGAGGACACTCTTGACTCTCGGAGCGGTCTTCACCATTATCATCCTCGTTGTGGGGGTGTTTGGCAATCTTTTGACCATCATCTCGCTCATACGATGCCCGAAAGTGAGAAACATTGCAGCTTCATTCATTATCAGGTGAGACAATTCACTTTAAGTGACTGATAATCTCCCGCTCTTTCTGTGTATCACAATATTTGTGGTGTTATCCATCAGTGATTTAATTAAGAAACACAGAGAAACCACACAGAGAAGGAAAAGGCAGTTTATAAGACAAAAACCGTCAGTTTCATGAGTCGATATCATATCTGTGAAATTCAATTATTTGTCAAGAAGTTCTCCTGATTTATTCACAGCTAATTCACTTCAACTCTTAACTCAATGTTACACTTTTCAATATGTACTGAAGTAATAATGAATTATGCAAATGTCTCCGAATTGTTCACACACTTGCAGCTTATGCCTGGCTGACTTTATCTTCTGCATCTTTGTCTTGCCATTCAACGCCATCCGCTTCATCCACGGCTATTGGCGCCTTGGGAGCCTCCTGTGCAAGCTGGTGCCCTTTGTGCAGTACGGAAGCGTCGGCGTGTCACTGCTCTGCATCGCCATGATCACAGTGAATCGCTACGTGATGATAGTGCATCACAGCGCGTACGCGCGAGTCTACCAAAGACACTGGATCGTGGCGATGATCCTCTTCTGCTGGTTCTTCTCCTACGGCATGCAAGTGCCCACGCTGCTGGGCGTCTGGGGCGCCTTCGGTTACGACCCGAACCTGGGAACGTGCTCAATTCTCAAAGACGAGTACGGCCGCAGCAGCAAGACGCCGCTCTTTGTTATTGCCTTCATCATCCCCTGTCTCCTCATTGTGCTGTGCTACACGAGGATCTTCTGGGTGGTGCACAAGTCGGAGATGCGCATGAAGCAGCACGCCTCGGTGGCCAACGCCGTGCCCAACAACCTTAGACCCACCATAGTCAGCAGGCCAGCGTCTTGCAGCCAACTGACGGACTCCGCATCGCCCGCAAGACCGCCATCCACGGCACCGCAGCCGGTGCGCATCAAGAACCAGCGCGACATTAAGGTGAGCCGATGAGAGCCTCATTCTCACATGATGCCTCGTAAAATTCTTAGAACTATATCATTATTAGGCGTTTGGCCACACATGTGCCGCCAAGCATGGATGTGCAAATGAAAGTTGAGTAAAACTACTAATACAGTATGCTTACGCAAATCGTACGGCGCGTAGATTGATTTGTATCATCTGAAGCTTGCGCGCGAAACGTGATAAAGAATTAAATAATATATGGTGAAATTTCAGTCACTCTGTTTCTGAAGCAGATAATTGAATGATGATGCATTAAATTTAAGTGACATCTTATTAGCTCTCATAGCATTATCAAATTGTCAGCTTTGGTGTTTGGGCTTTTTGCTAATGTCCAAGGGAAGGTAGAATGACTGAAATTTGTACACCTCTTTCTAACACTTTTATGTAACTTAAACTTTTGGGGCTGTTTGCATATTACTTATCAGGTTGCAATCAATCACTTAAATTTTCAGTCAATTTTTTTTTAACATCTGAGAGTCTATTATAATGATCTCTTATGAATTCCAAACCTTTTTTTTTTAATAATATTTAAATAATATTTTAAATATTGGAGTAATTCCATGATTACAATCAACTGTACACCACATCCAACCATTATTTCCCCCTTGACTGCTATGAAAATTTTATGTGTTAATCATAGTACTGTGATTTTTAGTAGCTTTGATTGTTCTTTAGAACACGCTAATCCTATGACTGTATTTTCGAAATCACCAGTAGTGAAACAATACTAAAATCAAGCATTATTCGATCAATTATCAACATGCTTTGAACGATTCACTAAAGTTAATGAGGAAAGCGACATGATTATTTTTCATCGACAACAAGTGAGTTACTATTTAACTCTTAATGAGGCGCTTAAGATGGCAAAAACCATTAAATTTTCTTGTGTCTGCATGACGCTCGGGATTGGAATTTTCCTTAAAAAAAAAACCCATGAATATTTCGAGAGAGTTCATTTCTGTATAGTATAAGTCCAATTCTTCACGCCTTCTTCGCAGGCGCGGCGAAATGAGTGGAAGATAACGAAGATGGTGCTGGCGATCTTCATCTCCTTCATTGCGTGCTACTTGCCAATCACCGTGATCAAGATCGCCGATAAGGACGTGACACACCCGGCGGCGCACGTGTTCGGCTATGTGATGCTGTACCTATCCGCGTGCATCAACCCCATCATCTATGTGATAATGAACAAGCAGTACCGCCAGGCTTACAAGACGGTGCTGCTGTGCCGCTCCACGGCCATCCTCACACCAAAGACGCCCGGCACGAGTGGGCAGAGTGGTAAGTTGGTCTTCGACGGCGGCGTTGTCGCGGGCAAAATTGCAGTATGCGTCTTCGTTCTAGAGAAATGGAAGGACGCCGTATTCAGCTACAATCTCAATCGTACCCAGGTCTTGGAAGTGTCCACGGCCGAATAGCAGCGGGCATTCCACTTACGGCAGCCGGCTCCACGGTGCTACAGTGGAAGTATAGCAAGTGAATCCGCAATCCAATTGTGTGAAACCCACCACTTTGGGCATAAGTCACTGATATTAGCAGCTAGGAATGAGGAGAGTGCATTGTGAATTTAAATGCGCATGTGAAGCGCTATGTCCAGTAGGGACAATGTTTGGGTCACGCTGTTCCCATTGGCGACCCCAAGTAGCAAGTAATCAAATATAATGTGCTATGTGTGTTAGAATTTGACGTAGTTTCATTGAGGAAAGTCGTGCGAGCGCCAAAAGCAGCAGAAGACTCTGGCCTTTTTTTTGGCAATGAACTTCAACAGTTCACAGTCAACATTCTCCCTCTGTCGCTCTGCGTAGTCCTCTCTTGGGTTAATTGTGCTCACCTGTGGCACTTTGGCAAACGTGCATTCCTTCGCCAATGCAAGAGGAGTTGCGTTGTTGTGACAATAAAAAGGTTCTTTTGTGTGTTGTGTGTGATGTGAGAGTGAAGGTAAAATCATCAATTTGACCTCCAGGATCAATATTTAACCATCTCATATTTGATGGATATTTGAATTAATTTGAATAATAGCATACAATTATGTGGAAAAATGCGTAGGTTTCACTTCTTCGTCCATCTCTCGTGGACACACTCACAGTCAACAGTTGCGGAGTAAATGAAAGTCAACTTTCCGATTGATTCCAAGGAGTTTTCCTCATCAATTTTTCACATCCAACCTCTTCAGCTTTGACTCCTTTTGCGCCTTCGACCTTTCGCTGTTTTGCCATTCTTTCGCCGCGCACGGCCAGACAAACCGATGGACTACACGAGCACAGGACTCAAGGACAAAAGTTCGCCCATTTCCGAGGACAACTTCAACGTTGTCATTCGCGTTCGACCGATGCTCAGCAAAGAAGTGGAGAGCAATGATCAGATGGTGATTCAGTTCCCAGGAAATGGGCAAATCTACGTGAGTGTGTGCACATTTTACACTTCCCGCCAAAATGTTAACCCATTTCTCTTCGTGACTCACAAAGTGCGACGGCTCGAGTGGCGGAAGCAGCGCTGGAAGCACAGGAAGCAGCGCTCAGAGACCAAAACTCTTCTCCTACAATGTCGTCTTCGAGACAGGTATGGACATTTTCCCACAGCGTTCGCCCTTCCCACGCTGAGTCCTTGACCCGATGCATGAAATCCGACGCAGACATGAAAATTATTCATATTTGGATGACGTGCAAACTGATTCTGTGGGAGGGTATTTGAAAATCCATATGGAAATACGAGAGGATGTCAAAGAATACGGACTATCCTGATGAGCAAACCTCTTGTCAAACAGATTGTGGCGTGCTGGCGTCTCAATGAATGCATGAAATTGTGAGGGTTGATCGAGAATCGAAATTACAATTCAAGAACACTTTGTGTGCTGCATGAAATATTTGTTTTTCCGTTTCAAGCACTGAAAGTGACTAAATAATCATTTTACGTTTTGAATTTTCACTGTCAATTACACACACGTTCACATTGAGATAAAATGCAAAACAAAATAATTATAAAAACAAATTTTTGTAGCATAAATGCAAGACTATGATTATTTATGCTAATATTAAGTGCTTTTAATGACTAATCTACTTTTAGTGACTCTTCTAAAATCATTCCAATATAAGCACCAAAAAGTCCTGAGAACACAAAAATCAATCGACAAGGTTTCAAACAAAGACTATTTTTTCCATTTGCCTGAAGGACTGAAGATGCTAAAAATACTTTTTGTTAAAATTCATTGATCCAGTGTATTTTCAATGTGTTCAAACTAGCTCAAAGAGCACATGATTTTTTCATTGTATTTTCCAGCAATCTCATTGCAGAATATTTTATTTAAAAATCACCCCGGAAATCCATTTCTTTTCTTGGCCATTCTTAATACTTTCGCGCTCTGTGAAAGACTTTCAATCAAACCCTCAAATCACTCTCAATCCATTAACACGCTGGTAATTACAATCGATTGCCCTTTTCACTCATAACTAACGCCTTCCCGTGTGTATTGTAATTTAATTACAGTGTTAACTTTGCTATTTGCGTATGGCGGACAAAAAGTGCCCTTTAAATAGTTTACTAACATAAGGGTGGGAAAAATGATGTACACCAATCAATCGAAAGACTTCCATCATTATCGCGCTCATTTGTCCACATTAAAAATGCGTGTGTGTTCTCTTTGCCAGGCGCTACGCAAGAAGACATTCTCGAGTATTCAGGCATCAAGAGACTCATCGCAATGGCCGTGGAGGGATTCAGTTGCACGGCTTTTTGCTATGGACAGACGACCTCTGGCAAGACCTACACTCTCACGGGTCCACCAGAGCTCTTCATCCGCCGGCCGGATCCCACGGACGAGCGCCACGGGCTCATCTTCCGCGCCTTCGTGTACCTCTTTCAGCTGCTGCGCGAGCGAAAGGACACCAACTTCGTCCTCAAGGCGTCCTTCTTGGAGATTTACAACGAGAAGGTGATCGATCTGCTGAATCCTGGCTCGGCAAGGAAGCCCCTGGCTGTACGATGGAGCAAGAAGTCCCGGGGCTTCTTCGTGGAGAATCTCTTCACTGTGGATTGCGAGCAGCTGGACGATCTGCTGGCGGTGCTTGAGGAAGGCATGAGGAACCGATCGATGGGCGCTCACAGCATGAATGAGCACTCCTCGCGGAGTCATACCATCCTGACAGTGTACATAACGTCGGAACAGCAGGCGGAGCGCGGGGTGTTCCTGTCGAAGCAGGGAAAGCTGAATTTTGTCGATCTGGCGGGCAGTGAGATGACCAAGAAGACGAATAGCGAGGGAAAGACCCTCGAGGAGGCCAATAACATCAACAAGAGCTTAATGGTGTTGGGCTACTGCATTGCACAGCTGAGCGACGCGAAGAAGAAGCACGGGCACATTCCCTACAGAGACAGCAAGCTGACCAAGCTGCTGGCCGATAGTCTGGCTGGCAACGGTGTGGCTCTCATGATAGCCTGCATCTCGCCAGCGCGGTCCAACTTGTCTGAGACGCTAAGTACGCTCAGGTATGCGGCGCGCGCCAAGAAGATCCGCACGAAGCCGCTGGTGGTCATGGATCCGCGAGAGGCCATGATCCTCAGCCTGAAGCGCGAGATAGACAGTTTGCAGCAGGAGAACGAACACCTGCGCACAGCCCTGTATGTGGAGACAGAGAAAAAGTTCGACTCCAAGAGCGGCAGCAGCACGGCGTCCGCCAACTCCACTTCCGTCTCCGCTCCGATCATGAACCTAGACGAGAAGCAGGTGACGGAACTGGACGGGGCGCAGCTGGTGGAGCTGGTGAAGCTCTACATGCTGGAGAACCAGTCGCTGCGCACGGAGAACTCCGAACTCTATACTGTCCGGGACATGGTTCTGCGCGATCAGGAAATCGTGTGCCGCGAGAATGAGAGATTGCTGAAGAAATTGGAGGATGTGAATTCGTAAGTACACTCAGAGAAAAATATGTAGATATTAGAAGCAATTTAAGCTCATTGCAAGCTTTTGCATGGAACTCGCAGCTTTGATATTGTGCAAAAATTGTCTTTAACCCTTTCTTTTATGCCTAACAAAGTTAATAATGCTTGAAATTATGACAAAAATAGTATTATGACAGAAGCACTTGAGCACAGAATCTTAAATTTTACAATGTAGCAGATCCATGATTTCAAGAATTCTTATCAAAAATATATGCATAGAAAACTACAAATTTATCTCCCAATTTCTTCCACAGCGTTTGCTGCAGATCCCCCATAATTCCCGCCCGACCGACATTTTCCGCGGAAATACTGAACATGTCAACAGGAAGTGATCCTGAGCAGCCAAACATTTGGATTGCGCCATCGTCAACACACGAAAACCCCTCGACATTCTAGTCAATTTGGTATTATTTGTGCAACATTATCAATTACATGAATGACTGCAGGAATTTTTTTTTCACGCAAATAAGCATCACGGAAGATGAGAGTTCGTGATAAAAGTGATAAAATGCCGAGGCTCTTCAAACAATATTTTATTTAATGATATATATTTTAGGGAAAATTTACACGTAGAGGAAATTTTATCGAATAAATGGTTTCCATGGAAATGCCTTTGAATCTAAACAAAGCGCAGCGCATATTATGGTGTGGATTTTTTTTTCACAGCGCAAGGAAAATGTACGCGAATAACGTGATAATTCGTGATGGTGAATACACAAGAGTGATTTACACCTTCATCAAGGAAGAGAGATTCCACGAAGCCATCAATGCGCTCAATAACATCGAAGAGGTGTCGAGTTCGCGCGCAGGACTCTCCCTGCTGGGACACTGCTACTTCCAGTGCCAGGACTTCATCGAGGCCAGCAATTGCTATGAACACTTGACGGCCATTGCGCCAGAAGTGCCTGAGTACCGGCTGTACTTCGCGCAGAGCCTCTACCAGGCCGGCCTGTTCGACGAGGCGCTGAAGGTGAGCCAGCTCGTGGACGCGCCCCACTTGGCGGACAAGGTGCGGCAGCTGCAGAGCGCCATTCGGTACGGCAATGAGGACTACGCTGGGGCGCAGACACTGCTCCTGCAGCGGCCGCCAGGCACCGAAGCCACCCTGAACGATGAGGGATGCTTGCTGTATCAGGCCAATCTGTTCGAAGACGCTCTGCAGCGCTTCACGAACTCCCTGCAAACGGGCGGGTTCAGCCCTCTGGTGGCCTACAATGCTGCGCTATGCCACTTCAAACGCAAGGAGAACTCCCAGGCTCTGAACTACATCGGAGAGATCGTGGAAAGAGGTATCAGGAATCACCCAGAGCTGGGTATTGGCGCCCAGGCGGAGACAGAAGGTAAGAGCCAATCGATATGTCTATGGGGTCATTAACTGTGATTTCTTCATCAATCATTCAAGAAACCAAATCCAATTGTCACCATAGACTTGCATTGTTAATTAGTAGACAGAAGTTATGAGTCAAAACAGAGTTTCATTGATGAGCAACACAATGAAGCCAAAAGTAGATTGACGCGCTTATTTGCTTAGGTAATTGTAGAAATATTTGACTAAATTTCCCAGTCAATGATTAGCAGTATTTCATAGAAAACATATCGCAATTCAACACAATGATCATACGATAAAGATGATAATTTGACGGTTTTTGACTCTATTCAGGTGGAGCTCGAAGTGTTGGAAATCCACCATCTTTAGCAATATCTGGACTGGCTCAGGCGCTAAATCTCAAGGCTGCCATTGAGTATCAAGAGGGAAACCTCGAAGGCGCCAGAGAAGCTCTCCTGGATCTTCCGCCACGAGCTGAGCCCGAACTTGATCCCGTTACGCTTCACAACATGGCCTTGACCGATCCTTCAGGAGCCGGAGCTGGCCTGAGACGCCTGGCCTTCCTCATGGAACTTGGCCCACCGACTTGCCCTCCAGAGACATTCGCCAACATTCTATTGCTGTGCTGCAAGCACGAAATGTACGACACTGCGGCGGATTTGCTGGCCGAACATGCTCATCTCACGTACAAGTATCTCTCACCCTATCTTTACGACCTCCTGGACGCTCTGATCACTGCCCAGACATCCTCAGACGACGCTGAGCAGAAGTTGGGCGCCTTGGCTACTGCTCTGGCGGGAAAACTGCGCTCTCTCGCCGCCAAGGTTCAAGACGCTCGCGGATCTGGGGATCAGAGCGTCCTCCGTAGTTCTCTGAGAGAATACGAGGGCGCTCTGGATAAGTAAGTTGATACTGAACTCACCTGTTCGCCGTTCTGACTCTCCCTTTTGCAGCTACATTCCCGTGGCGATGGCGAGAGCGTGGCTTCCGTGGCGCCTGGATGACTTTGCCGGTGCCGAGCGTGAGTTCAGAGCCAGCGCTGAATTCTGCTCTGAGACGCCCATCTGGCGTCTTCACGCCGCTCACGTGCTCTTCATGCGCGGCGACAAGTATAAGGAAGCCGCCGCGTTTTACGAGCCCATCGTCCGGCAGAACTACGACGATGTGAGCCACAATAGAGTTCTTATCACACTTTAACCATTTACTAAACTTCTGTCAATCTCTCATGCAGATTCTCACGGTTTCGGCGGCCGTTCTGGCGAACTTATGCGTGGCTTACATCATGACGTCACAGAATGAGGAAGCGGAGGAGCTGATGAGGAAAGTGGAGCGAGCTGAGGAGAGAAAAGCCCCAGCTGCGCTCGCGGCGGGCAACACGACGCCTTTTCTACATCTGTGCATCGTAAATCTGGTCATCGGCACGCTCTACTGCGCCAAGGGAAACTACGAGTTCGGCTTGTCCAGAATCGCTCACGCCCTAGACGGCGGATCTGGCACACGTCTCTGTGCCGACACATGGCTTCACGTGAAACGCTGCGTTCTGGGCTTACTCACGTGTCTGGCAAAGCAGACTCTTGTCTTGCCCTCAACGGCTGTCCAGGAAGTGCTGAACTTTCTGCGCACTTGTGAAATCTATGGTATTTCCATCCCGTCGATCCTGACAAATCCCTTCGACGACAACGCAGATCAGCCACCCACAATTGGCATGGAGGCGAGAAAATTGCGCGTTTTGCTACTGAAACTCATGGAGTACCACTAATTAAAGGCCCTGAACATGCAATTCACATTCACTCTCTTAATATTTGCCCATAATGTCATTGTCCTCCTGCTTCTTCATGCCTCGCATCATCCCTCGATGGCTGTTGCCCAGAGAATTGGGTATAAATCTCTGCAGAGGCGCTCGAATGTCTTTCCTGATAATCGCCGGCGGCGGTGATCGTGACTTGGAGCGACTTTTGCTGCGACTCTTCGATCGATAGCGTCGTCGCTTCTTCTTCTTTTTGAACGAATTCATTTCTATCGTAATTGGACTCGGAGATCTCGAGCGTGTTCGCAATCCCTGCAGAATTTCCTCCTCTTTCTGCTTCCTCGACTGATTCTTCACCTTGTAGTATTCGTACAGGCCAAGCTTTTCCCAGCCTTCGCTATAATATAGCAAAGGAAAAGAGGTTATTCTGGGCATTTTTGTTGCTTCACACATGCTTCACTTACCCATCTCGCGGTCTATCGTGACTGGGCAGAGAGTAGAAAGCATCCACAGCGCCCAGGAGTCGCTCACTGGGCGGCGTCGGCTGCGGCAGTTGAATGAGACTGGGATCCAGTGGCTTGTAGCTGTAGTCCTCCAGTCTGATTAGCGGCACAATCAGGCCGGCTGGCAGATCAAAGTACGGCACGGATGGCGTGAGATCCACCTCCTTCTCTGCCACTTTCGACGGCGGCGCATTGAGATTTGGCGGTGGCTTGGACAAATCCGGCAGCTGGAAGCTCGGCGGTGGCAGCGAAAAGCCACTCTGATCACCAATCTGACCATCATCCATGCTCTCCTCCGGTGCCTTTAACCCACCAAAGCCCTGACTGTTCCTCACCTCCTGCTGAACACTCTGCACACCGGTTGGCACCGCACCTTGCACCACTCGACTACTCGGGTAGTCATTGGAGTTGTCGCTGTAGTATTGCGCATCCGGATTGTGTATCTGTCGCATATTCTGCTGCTCCAGGCTCTGCTTCTGCGCCTCTAGCGTCGCGATCTGCTGTGTTGCGTGCGCCACAAAAGCGTGATGCTGCTGTTGGTAGTTGTCAAAGGCATTCTTCGACGCCATGTTCACAGAAGACACAACATTGGGATGCTTCACGAGGAGATTCGTCCGGTATTCTTGCAGTGATGACTGAGGTGACTTCAATTTCGATATGACACATGCATCGAAAAAATTCCCTTTCGACTCCCACAGCGACAGCAACTTTGTCAGCTTCGCCACCTGAGTATCATTGGCAACTATAGGGAAAACGTATGATTAAAGTAGAATAATTATCATTGATTTCCATGACTCACTCAATTGTGCACTGCAAAACATAGGAATCACGACATTCTCCAGACATTTCTTCAGCTCACACGCATTCTTCCGTATGCAATGATGCAGAACATCATTCACCAGATAGATCAGATGGAGCTTGTGTGAGAAATCCACTTCTGGCAGCAAAGCTTTCTGCAGCAAATACTGCAGAATTGTTGTACACTTTGCCTGGTCGCTCGTGTGCTGCAGAATCCAATTCTTCCCCGTCGAAATACTGTCTTTCGTGCACGATTCAATTATGGGCACGAGAATCTCATCGAAATCCTTGAGAATGATGCCATTCGCGTCCGCCTGACTCTGCAGACTCTCCAGCTGTGCCTTGCGCACTGCATCATCAACGTACGTCTGCTGTTGCCGCACCAGAGCGGCGTGCTGAGCGGACAAGTTTTGCTCAGACTGCCTAATCTGGCTGCGCAAACTGTTCTGCTGCAGATTCAGCGACTTCAGTTGAACACTGACGGAACCCTGGCCGCCATGAGACGCCGATGAGTCGCTGTTCATCCACATTTGCTGCATGTTCTCCAAAGACGTGCCACTCGGCAGACGATAGCCGGGCTCACGGTGATCCTCCTCACCCTGAAGCTTAATTCCTGCAAAGGAGCAAAAACGAGAAACTTTTCCTCATAATTTTCCGCATGGTTCAGAAGGCTATAGGAATCGACACGTGTCGCTTAATTATTTTCTCCATGAATCTTTTAATACAGGTGATGAAGTTGTAAATATTTCGTATCGATTTCTAATTTATGCGCATTTTATCATTTTCCTTAAAGTCCTGAAAGCGTCTTTAAACAACGCACGTTTTCTATATACATTAATCAACTGAATAAAACATAATGTTACAATGTTATCCCTCTTGTAAAACAAATTCAATCGTTTGAATATTTTAAACAAACAGCATAAATTTATAATGTTCACTAGAGAGCGTTGTTTATCATGTTATATATTGTTTTATTTCAGAACTTATCCAACAATCAATCTTTATCGCCCTCACACAAGAGTGCGAAACCTTTCACTCAGTGTTTGAACCTTCTCAAAAATCTCACTATGGAAGTTCCTGAAGAACTCATTGCGAGTGAAATGTATTTTAAACTGATCTTCAACTGTATTTTTCTTAAAATATTCAGTGTTGAGAGAAGAAAGCTCTATCAAAAGATCTTACTGAGTATTTTTCCAATTGTGATTATCATGAAAGGATGTTTTGTGATCAGAGAATTGATGAACATGGATAACTTTGAGGATCAAACGAAACTTTCATATCTAATGGTCTATCTTGGAGCATTTTATCAACTCGAGTGGAAATATTTTGCTTTTCTGTGTCATCAAATGGAATTCAAGAACATAAATAATTTTATGAATGATATTCAAGATTCTCTCACGAACAGTGATTTAATTTCGCACACAAGAAGACCACATTTACCGAACAGAGTTAAACTTTCAATATTCTTTGTGAGGTAAGAAACTATTAAATAGAATTGAAAATTTTTTTATCAAATTTATTAAACTTTGATGTGTTTTTAGATGTTACTTCGTATCCTCAGTGATTACAACATTTCTAATGTGTGCAACAAATTCCTTTCTTACCAACTTCACATCGCCAATGCTTTACACCATTCCGTTTCTGTCTGAAGAAAGTTTTTTCTACAGACCCGTTAATATGTGCTTTCAGATAATTGGTCTTATCATTATGATTATAGTTCTCATCGGGACAGATTTCATTCTCCTTATTATTGTTGGCTACTTAGATGGGGAATTAAGAACAATTATTGCATTGACTTGGAAATTAAATATGAATAATGGTGACGATGATGAGAAAAGAAAGTCTAGCAAAAATGATGACAATCAAGTGTTAAAAGAAATTTATCTTATGCATGTGAGAATTCAAGGGATTTTAGATGATTTACGAAACATTTTCTGGCAATTGAGTATTCATATTCTTATCTCTAATTTCATATTCATTTGCCTCTCAATCTACGTTATTCGCTTTGTATCCGCATCGATGAGTATTGTTTTAATACTGACAGATTCGACATTTCAACTCCTCTGTTTTTGCTATCTCAGCCAAATCCTTCTGAACAAGACAGAAGAAATTTCGCATGCTTTGTATCAAACTTCTTGGTACGATCTTCAACTTAGAGACAAGAAAAATTTCCTCATAATTTTCCGCATGGCTCAGAAAGCTAAAGGAATCGACGCGTGCAGCATAACTAGTTTCTCCATGAATCTTTTAATACAGGTGATGAAATTGTAAATATTTGGTATCGATTTCTACTGAATGCACATTTTTTTTCATTTTCCTTAAGGTCCTGAAAGCGTCTTTTACCTACGCAGCTTTTCTATATACATTAATCAACTGAATAATAAATAATGTTTCAATCAATTCAATGTTTTAAAGAAACAGCATAAATTTGTAATGTCAATATAAAAGCATTACTCAGCATTTCAAGTTCAGGAAACAATATCAATTTTTATCTTCTTCACATAAGACAAGACAGTGGAACCTTTCACAGTACTTAATCATCTCAAAGTGAGTAAAATGGAAGTTGCTGAAGAACTAATTGCAAGTCAAAAGTACTTCAATCTGTACTTCAATTGCGCTTATCTTACAATGTTTCGCGTAGAGAAAAAAAAGCTCTATCAAAAGATCTTACTGAGTATCTTTCCGATATTAACCGTCATGCAAGGATGTTTCGTGATTAATGAATTGATTAACATGGAAAACTACAAGGATCAAACGAAAATATCATATCTAATGGTTTATATTGGAGCATTTTATCAATTCGAGTGGAAATATTTTTCCATTTTGTGGCATGAAAAGGAATTCAAGAACATAAGGAATTTCATGAGTGATATTCAAGATTCTCTCAAGAAAAATGGATTAATTTCGAACACAAGAAGACAAAATTTGCCGAACCGAGTTAAACTTTCAATATTCTTTGTGAGGTAAGTAAAAATTGTATTTTCTCAGTTTGTGAAAAAATAAACTGTGAATGATTTTGCAGATGTTACTTCGTATCAACAGTGCTTACAATATTCATAATGTTGGCTACAAATTGCTATCTGACAAATTTCACATCGCCAATGCTTTACACCATTCCTTTTCTGTCTGAAGAAAGCTTTTTCTACAGACCCGTTAATATGGGCTTTCAATTAAGTACTTTCGTTCATTTGAGTATTATTTTCGCTGGGACAGATTTTATTCTCCTCATTTTAGTTGGATATTTAGATGGAGAATTAAGAACAATCATTGGTTTGACTTTGAAATTAAATGTGAATGATGATGATGATGATCTAAAAAAAATAAGAGACAGAAGTAAAGGGAATCAAGTCTTAAGAGATATTTTTGTTACGCATGTGAGAATTCAGGGAATTTTAGATGATTTAAAGAACATTTTCTGGCACTTGAGTTTCCACGTGCTTCTGACTGATTGCATCTTCATTTGCCTCTCACTTTACGTCGTTCGTTTTGTGTCCGCATCGATGAGTATAGTTATGATACTGACAGATTCGATATTTCAACTCTTCTGTCTCTGTTATCTCAGTCAAATTCTTCTAGACAAGACAGAAGAAATTTCGCTTGCGTTGTATCAAACTTCTTGGTACGATCTTCAACTCAGAGACAAGAAAAATTTCCTCATAGTTTTCCGCATGGCCCAGAAGCCTAAAGGAATCGATGCTAGCAGCTTAACCATCTTCTCAATGAACACTTTGATTCAGGTGAATTATGTAATATAATTAATATATCTGTGGGTGTATAATTTTCCCTTTTTCAGGTCCTAAAAGCGTCTTTCAGCTACGCAGCTTTTCTATATACATTAATCAACTGAATAAATTATAAGAATTCAATGTTGTAACACTTAAACATCACAATTCTCTCAATTTTCAATTTCAACAACTCTTAAATATTACAATGAACACTTAAACGTCTGGATGTTTAAAATTAAATGGACAAATTTAGAATTTTCTATGTAAAAATGAATCTTTCAAGTTTTTCACTAAGAATAGCGGGTTATTGATCATCAATAGTGAACATTTAGAAATAAGCTGCAATTTATGTAAAGATAAGTAGAAATTAGAAATAAATAAAAAGGAAAACATATTCCGTATTCAAGTTTCATACAATTATTTCATACAACTTATGAGTTTAATGCAACTATTGCATATGACGAAATTTTTCAAGCTTCTCATAATTAAATAAGGAATCTTTTTGGTCAATGAGGGGAATAAGAAGCGCGTATGAGATTTAACAATCTCAAATTCATTTCTATGCAGAGAAAGAAGGCAAATAACACAGTTTGTGCGCTCATCAAATTCTATCTATACTTTTTCAACTCACTCGCTTGTTCTGTTGTAACGCGATGCTTGTAGTATGCAAAATAGTCGCCGCCAAAGAGGAATCGAAAGCGGGGATTGTCGATCTGCTTGGATTTAATCATCGCCTCGAAGTCAGGTCCATTGCGTGCCACAAATTCTGCCAATTTATTGATGATCTTCCTTAAATCGTCATCTGCAAAAACAACGCACTGTGCATGAGTTTCTGCAGCCCAAACAATGGACATTTCTCACTCACCTTCCGGACACTGAGGCGTTTCCATTATGCTCTAGCACGGGGCGAATCACTCATGATCGGCCAAATGGGGCAACGAGGTGCGGAGACTTGTGCTGAACGCGGAAAAGTGTGTGAAAAAGTGGCGGCGCGTGTGATGCCAGTGTGAAAATGTCTTGTTGACACCCGGGCGGTTTGCCACACTCCTTAGTGAAGAGCAGCGCCGCTGTGCGACTGGGACGGCCAACTGGGCGAACGGTGTGGGGGGATTTTATTGACGGACGATTGAAAAAAAGTGTCTGTTGGCAGCACTGCGTGTAGCCATTTTCGCGTTTCTCCGTGAATTTTGCGTTCCCGCAAGAAGTTCCAAAAAGTTTGCAAAAGGGACACTGTTGGGTGTCATTGATGTTATCGCCCGCGAGTGAGACGCATCAGTAAATAGTGTGTGCTACTGTTTTATGCGTAGGTAAATTGGTGTGTATGCTGAGCGTTGCAATACCTTCCTGCGGTTGATTGGAGTGCTCTTGTGTGACTTCTGTGGGGCCACCATCTTTGTGTCTCCCTCACTCGCGAGTGGAGAAAAAAAGCTCTCGCGGGCCTTTTCGCGGGCCTCCTCCGCACCCGGTCAGGTGGGCTGACGGTGCACCCCGTCCGGGAGGCAGTGGCCGAGCGTGTGGCACGAGGGGGGCGCGCGCAGAGGCGGGCGCGAGCCGAGCAGAGGGGAAATTTCCCGGACTCCGCACACATCGGTGGAGGTGTGAGAAAAGTGGATGGAAATTCCGTTGTGCGGCGTTTGCGAGTGTGTGTGTGTGTGCCCCAAGTGTTCCGGGAGGCGCCGTGCCGGAGGTCTCCAGGCCTCCGCCCCGTGTCGACCCAGCGCGGGCCTAAAATTAATATTCCTCTGTGTGGAGGCTATATTTGAACTCGGGAGACACACATTCTCGTCTATTTTTACCCCACAAATGTGTCGGTATTTTTTTTATTATTAATTTCAATATTCTATATATTGTAGAAGAGAACAGGCCAGAGGATAGAAGAGTGTAGGAAAAAAGGCTGTGGCCAAGAGTGTGTGAATAGTCGGATTAAAGATCCGAGCAGACGACACATCGCATCTCTCTTCCTGTCTCTCCCACTCCGGCAACCGCCGTCTCGGTCCCACAGTGCCCGGACCCCCGCAGCGCCTGTGGCCAATATGTCTTGTGGCACATCAGCCGCCCGCCCACCCACACACAAACCACCCCAACTCGATGCACATTCTGGTGCAGCAAGCTCGCACTCACTCTCTCACAACCCCCAAAAACCTCCCAAATGCAACCGCACAGGATTTCACTCCAGCATTCCAAAGCAAGCCCATATCGCACTCATAGGGTTTTCACCCAAATAAGCAAATTTATGCAAAGCAGGAAAATCAATCTGTGACGAAGCGATTAAGGAAACACACTATTTTACTTTGTTGCAAATTTTTTTTATCTCCACATGCTGATTATCTTATAATGCACAACAATGATAATAAGCTCTGTGATATCATAGTCTGGCCCTCTGGATTTTGGTGTTCAAGGAATAATGTTTTGTATGTGGCGCGTGTTTTAAGGGTAGCCGAGTGGGAAATACATAAATATTTCATTTTATTCCTGAAAGATTCTTATCAAAGAGACTGGGAATTCTCAGAAATAACAGTCGTACATAATTTTCTTTAATTTGTCCACTGGCTTCTGACGATGTGTGTATGAATTTCATACGATTGTCAGCCGAACATTCGTGTGAACACGTAAATTTCCAGTTAAAAAATATGTGAGATGCAGGATTCTAAAAATAATACTTGAATGGCATGATTATCACCTGTACAATGACTTAAATGAGAATTAACTACAATGCGGAGTTTAAATATAGACAATTGCTTGCGTGATGCAAGCTTATCAGTGAAGGGTGTTTGCCCTGATTTTCCTCTTCCTCTCGCTGATTTGCATCCAGCGTGCGCTTCCAGTGCGCGCCTGACTGTCAACTGGTGATGGTAATTTGAGGATTCCAGGGCATCAATGTAGGCAAAGTGTGTAATGGAAAAATTTGTAACAATGTTAATATTGTATGAAACTGAGTTTTATAGATTTTCCCTGTATAAAGGTATTTTTTTTAAATGTATGTGGGGAAAAGTTCAGTGGAAAAGCACTATAGAGATGCTGTAATTGATAAAGTGTAGAGCAATTTGCGATACTAAATGGCCTCTCTCATCCTCTGTCTCTGTGTCTCTGTTGAGGGCTAACAGGAAAGTTGTGTGAAAAGTCCAGTGTTAAATAAGTTAATCACTCCTTTTGTGCCATTCCTTAAATTCAAACCACATCACATACAGTCCCTCTTTCACGCAGTTCTAATTCCAATTACTCCACTCTATCTCTACATTATCTCCCACTTTTCCCCACCCACACGCTGGGCGATTGGACAGGCTTCTGGATGCGTGGCTCAAAGTAATTCCCTGGGATGTGAGGAAGAGCGAGAAAGTCCAGGGAGAATTTCACTCTTGGATGCGAGACAGGTCTGGCCACTCGCGATTCCCGCCGTGTTTGTTTGAGGCACTTCTCTTGTGACACCGAATTGTGTATATTATTATTATTATTATTATTGAGTGAGTGTGTGAGAGTGTGAGGATGAGAGATTTCAGCAGCATGAGAATTGATGTTGGGAGCGAGTGAGGAAGAAGAGAAAAAAAAGAGTGCTGTCAAATCGATAGCCGTGTGAAAAAAGTCGGGAATCCGAGTAATTATCATATAAGCAACACATCCATAACAGAGTGTTGTGGAGTTATCGAAGGAGAATACATATAGATGTACAATAAAAGTGCGCGATGTGGAGTGAGTGAGAGTGAGAGAGAGAGGAAGAGTTGATTGAATGAAGTTGAGAGACTCTGCTGTGTGTGGATTTTATATGACGAGATTGTGTCAATTTGTGTGTTTGGAGATAAATTCCCTCTTTAGCTCTCACTTTTTTTTTTTAACTTCCACCTGCGCGAGACGATCTTCCGTTCTAGTCCGGATCCTTCTATTTCCACATCCTGTGCATACAGATTCCGTCATAACTTCTTGAGGCTGCTCCTGGGAAGATAGATAGAAAGTGTGTGTGCAGTTGGGGTGTGACTGGCGAGTTGTGCAGACGTTCGCGCGCGCGGCATAGACTAATAACAATTGGGTGAATGTCCATCAGGCTGGCGCATAACGGTGAGACAACAGGAGGCGGTGGCGGCGAGACGTCTCCCGAGAGATCACCGGAAGACGAGGCCTCTTGCTGGTGGACTTCCTGGACGACTATGGGCTGCTTCGGTTCGGCGGGGAGCAAGCAAACGGACGCCGGTGGCTCTGAGGATTCCAAGAGTCAGAAGAGACGCAGTGATGCCATAACGAAGCAACTGCAGAAGGACAAGCAGGTGTACAGGGCGACACACAGACTCCTACTCCTGGGCGCCGGTGAGTCCGGCAAGTCGACTATTGTGAAGCAAATGCGAATTCTACATGACGCCAATGGGTTTTCCGATCGTGAGCGGAAGCAGAAGATTGAGGATATCAAAAAGAATATTCGTGATGCCATCTTGGTGAGTGTTGTGATGATGATAATAATTCCCTTTTCTTCACCTTTATTCTCAAAGCGTGAGAAATATAGTCAATTGACAAGAGGGAGGAGTGTGTATATTCAGCAATTTATCACTCAGATTGTCTTTAATCAATTTATATTTGTGGTATATTTGGCACAATTTGAGGTGTTTTGTCAACATGGTATGAAACTTGACGAAGATTTATATTTTGAGTATTGAAGTAAAGATTCATAATTTGGTAGTTGTACAAATAAATTCTACAATTGACTGTCTGCTATCACTGATCATTAAATATAATTTCTTGGTGTAACAAAGATTTGTGAAATGTTGTTTTCTAAATAAATTCAATCCATATTTCAGCGATTTGAAAAGCTTTTTGACGTGGAATTTTAAAATCTAAATTTTCCATTTTGATCTTGAAATCTGGATATTCTTGGTTAATATATCGGCTATAAAGGTTTTCAGTTATGTATACTCTTGTCTTTAATTAATGCCTTTAATTAATTTGCCAATTGAGAATCTTATAATTCCACATTGTTCCACATATAGAGTTATTACGCTGCCAATACAATCTGTCAATGCGATTTTACCTGGTGTAAAAGGGATGGAAAGTGCATTGAAGAGTAAAGTGTATTATGATAAATTGCTGAAGTTCTTCCCTTATGTATGATGAAATGTAATGGGATTTTTTGTAGCGCACTTTTATCTACTTTTCTATCTCTCTCTCTTCTCGCATTGCATTTTCCACCCTTGGATGCTGTGACGACAAATTCAATGTGCGATGCGGTGTGCATTGATAGACGATAACCGGAGCCATGAGCACACTAAATCCGCCGATTCAATTAGAGAGGCCCGAGAATCAAGCAAGGGTTGATTATATTCAGGATGTGGCATCAAGTAAATTTCACAATTATTATATATCCTGCATTCTCTATATAGAAATTCCCACTCTTTCCACCGCACAGTATGCCTCAAATGTAATTGGGTGATTTTTGTGCATGATACATTTGTGTGTGTGTGTGTGTGTGTGTTTGTGCGGGAAAAGAGGATAAATTGAATTCAAAGGGCTATCAATAGAGTGTATGTAACACAAAATATCCTTTTCACGTGAAGAGGAAATTGCACATTTTCCAGCAAAAGAGGAAGAGAGAAAAAAATGATTTTTCATTTACGCGTCTCTTGTTGTTGATGAGACGATGAGGGAGGAAAATATGTGTGTAAACTTTTCACCTTTTCTCCCACATTTTACAGTGGTGGTTATTGGTTGAATTGGAAAAGTATTAGTTATTGTAATTAGTGAAAATAAAATGGAAAAATCGTACACATTCTAAGAAAAATAAAGTAATTGCATTTTCTCTCTCTCTGAGGTTCAATCATAAAGCTCTCAAATTAACATGTTACATGCAATTTATGATATCTCAATGAAATTCACATGTTTTGATTTTTATTTGCAAAATGTGAGAACCTTTTCTTTCACTTGATATCTTAATACAGCGTAGGAAAGAATTGTAGTTTGTATTTTACTCCCATTACACATTTTCCACTTCTCTATCTGTTGCACACTTTGGGAGTCAATTGAGCGGATGGTATTTCAGGATATTGAAAATTCTGTAGTTGATATTAAGGGAAAAATTCACTTTGCACTTAACCTAGGATTCTTCCTATTCACTTGCCATGAACTTACGCCTAGTATTTTGACATTTAAATCCTTTGAAGTTGATAATTTAGTTGTTAAAATGAACTCAATGGTATTGTTTTACTCGGCAACAATTAATTATACATATTAATAATGTTGAACTATGCTGTATTATATTTGTTTGAATTACATTTAGTAAAGTTAATTGAGATGGGATTCTAAATGCGTTTGTTGCATAAGCAAAAGTTGCACTTTCCACACATCCAGTGAATGAAATTGTTCTCTGAATTTTACCAAGTAAACATTTTAAATGAGATACCTTTGTAGATAATTAAACTGCAAAACCACCATGTTATAAAACTCTCTCTACGACATTTAACAATAAGGATTGCGAATGGAGGAGGAGTGAAAAATACTGAAGCAGCGTGTAAATTGTTTTAATATTGCAGATCCGGATTTCAACTATCCACCAGAGTTTTATGAGCACACAGAGCATCTCTGGAAAGACCGTGGTGTTCAACAAACATTCGAACGTTCGAATGAATATCAGCTAATCGATTGCGCTCAATAGTAATGTTTATTTTCTCAATTCTACAATAGCCTGTGCTCAGTTGCATATATATGTCTTCGCATGTCAATTAATATTTCATACATGCCTTTTCTCTCTCTCCCTCTCCCGACAGTTTTCTTGATCGTGTAAGTGTAATAAAGCAGCCGAATTATAGTCCAACAGAGCAGGATATTTTGAGGTGTCGTGTCCTGACCTCGGGCATTTTTGAAACAAGATTTCAAGTTGATAAGGTCAATTTCCAGTAAGTATTGCTCCTGATGTGATTTGATTATCCACAGAGCGAGACAGTTTTAGAAAGATATTTCTAGTTACTCTCGACTTTGACTCTATTTTTCAAGTGGCTGAAATGTCGGAAACATCTTTGTTGGCGTTATAGTTTTATCTCTCGCTCTTTAGGAGACTAAAAGGGAAAAACTCGTTGTCCAAAAGCTGTCCCGTTCTCATTTATTGATCGTGAATGTCCTTCTAATGCATCTCATTCCTTAACAGTATGTTTGATGTCGGTGGTCAGCGAGATGAGAGACGCAAGTGGATTCAGTGCTTCAATGATGTTACTGCAATTATTTTCGTAACAGCCTGCTCGAGCTACAACATGGTGCTGCGTGAAGATCCAACACAGAATCGCCTGCGGGAGTCCCTTGATTTATTTAAGAGTATTTGGAATAATAGGTAAAGAGACTTCCACTTTCTCATATACCTCCAATTGTGACCCTTTGTGTGCATTTTTCTCTTTGTCTCTTTGTAGATGGTTGCGTACAATTTCCGTGATCCTCTTCTTGAATAAGCAAGATTTATTAGCAGAGAAAATTAAAGCGGGGAAAAGTAAATTGCAGGAGTATTTCGCAGAATTCACCAGATATCAAACTCCGGGTGAGTATTTACAAGTGCATATTGAATTTGTACAAAAAGTGGGTGGATTTGCAATGTAGGGGCGTCACTATTGGCGTATTTAGCAGTGTCAAAGGAAAAGCTATAGTTAGAATAGAAAAGAGATGAGTAGAAAAGTCCTTGCAGTGAACTCTTCAATCAAGAATTGTCGATCAGAGCAGAAGAGGTGTGATTAATTTATTATAAGATATTATATTCAAGGTTTGAAATTGACAAATGGACAACAAATAAGTAAAACCGCAGTGCAACATTTCTTGACAGATGAACAAGTATAGTATCGATTTCATTGGCAGAAAGGCACTATAATTTCATTGAATTTGTGGTGAATTAGCTGAAGAATTATACAGATTTCATTCAGATTTGCTTTCCTCTTGGTGAAAAATTATTGGCATTAAGCTCTAATTCAGGTAATAATGTATGGAAAATGTTAACAATGAAAAGAGGAAGACAGAAGCAATTTAACGTTTTTAGCTCGTCTGACATGAAATGAACTCTTTGAGAGTGACAATTAAAATGAAAACGCAAATCGAAAGACTTTATCATAGTTAATTTCCTGAGATGAAAGTTCTCAAAGAGCAAAAATGATTATCAGAATCCGGAAACTAGAATCATGACAAGATTATTTACAATATTGAGCCTGAATTTCCGGTTAATAATACAATTGGCACAAATATTTCAATACATATACCTAGTTGTTTCTCAGCTCGTTCCTTTCTCATTTTCATATCGGTATGATCTCAATTGTAACGTCTTGATCAAAATTTTGTGCTTTAGATCAGATTTCCAATAAAAATAACTTGCATAATTGCACACAATATTGATATTTTAATGATGCACAACTTCAAAAGTTTCTAAATACACGTTGTCTAAATTAATTAAATTGTCATGCGGGAGTCCTTTGATATGTCTCTATGTAATTAATTTTCTCTTTGAACTTCGAGAGAGATACATATATAGGTATTGGCTATTCCATCAGCATTCATTATTTTCTAGCTCGAATTCGATGCACAATATTGCAGTAGTGGGTGGTCAGTGCGCAATTGGTGGGTGTGTTTTCAGGGCAAATAGAAAATAGGTGAGAGGTACAGAAAAAAAACAAGGTGAAAAACATGAGGAAAAGGTGCGAAATGAGAGATGCTGGCGAGGGAGATAACTACAGGGTGGGATGATGGCAAAGTGAAAATTGGTGTAAGCTAAAATGATAAGGTAGTGGCAGAGAGAGAGAAAGAGTGGAAAAACATAGTGATGTGTGCAATCTACCTGTTTTTTTCTCCAATACAAGTCAATTGCATTATTGATTGTAATTCACTTTTCCTTCTAGCTGATGCAATTGCTGAGCCCGGAGACGAGCCAGAAGTAATTAGAGCCAAATATTTCATCAGAGATGAGTTTTTGGTAAGCAATGTTGTTGTTTTTATATCAATCTTGGGTATGAGTTGAATTTATTAAACACTCTGGAATGGATTGATGGATAGTTTTGGGGTTAATTTTTTTTTGCTATTGAGGGAAACAAAAAAATTTTGAATTGTATTTTACAAAATTGTCGTATTGAAATAATATTGGGGTGCGATGTTGAGGAAAATGGGTGGTTTTTCACGAGTGCGAGCGCAATAGCAATTAATGAGAATAATGTATGAAAAGCTACAATTTTCGCTCACTCTCTCCCTCTTTCTCTCTCTCTCTCTTGTTGTGCATTGTGTGCTTCCCTGGACATAACATTTTGTGTGCCATTTGGTGGGGATGAAAATTCCAGAAAAAGGCTGAATGCGTGGGCGTGCAAAAGGGGATGTGTTGATGCACTTTCGCCTTTTTCGGTCAAGTGCCACAGAGACTGAAATGTCACGATTGTTGCACATGAAGAGAGCGCAGGAAATGAGAATTCTTTTGCACAAAAAAAAACCCCGAGACGAATGGGTGTTTTGTTTTACACATTTTTTTTTTAATCTAGATAAATGGTGTGAAGACTGCTAATCTGCTAATTGATACAAATGTCTTGTTTTCTTTCCTCCCTTTTTTCCATCTCCTTTTTGTCATGGACACGGATGTGAAAAAAAAACTATTTTAGCGCATATCAACTGCTAGTGGCGACGGAAAGCACTATTGCTATCCCCATTTCACATGCGCTGTCGACACGGAAAATATACGGCGAGTGTTTAACGATTGCAGAGACATCATTCAAAGAATGCACCTCCGGCAATATGAGCTTTTATAGGTAAGGAAGTGGATGAGCGCAAAGAATCGTGCAATCCGAAGAGAAGAGAGATGTACCATGATGCTTATGTGGATGACGGGGAGGGGAAATGCAAGTTGCAGGAGGAGGAAGATGAACATCCTCTTAACATGTTTCTCCCTTCAACCTCCTGGCCAACTTCTGCACTTCTTTCCTCTTATCCTCAATTTACGCTGTGCGTCTTCCTCAAGTGCAAGAGCGCGAGCACTTTTTTGTGCCACGGGGAAATTTCATTGTCTAACTTGGGGGGTGTTTTATAATAAAATGTATATATAAAATGCCGGAAGAGCGAATTTCAATGTAATTCAATATCAACGGTTTTGCGCTCGGGTGCGCGGTTAGAGAGAAAAGTGCAACAGCTTTTTTTTCTCCTCCGTGAACTTTTGAACTTGCAATATGTCACACTCTATGGAATCGATCGATGGGGGAAATAAGAAGAAATCTCTTTTTGGGTTCATGGCATGAAAGCGCAGCTTTGACACGACATTATAAATGTAATTGCGTTTTGGGTGTGAAATTTAAAGTATACAATATTTATAATTTGAATATGAATTCTAATTCAAAAGTAAAGTATTCAGGAAAAAATTGGAATATATTAAAGCAAGAGAAATTTGACATAATTCAAAGTTCTAATTATCTGATTTGAAATCTGTTGAAAAGCTCTTGGAAAGATCATCAAATGTTAATGGCAAATTCTGTGAACATTCTTCAACCACTCTTGATTTATTTAAATCCGAAGCTCAACACTTAGTTTCCTGTACAGAGCATGATAATATAGATTCCAATAATAATGCGATTAAGGGATAAATGATTGAAGAACTGTTTTAATGAGAAGATTAAACTATATTATTGGATCTGATAATAGCATAAGATGTCCACCAATCTCGTTACCATGATAGGAAATTATTTTCTGATTAAAGATATATAAAAGACAATTCTAGACTATATTTAATTGCATTTACACGAGAAAATATAAAATTGCGCAGTAGGAAAAGGTGATTTATACTATCCGAGCAAACATAACTAGATTTATGTTGAACATTCCGAAAGCTTTGAGTACGAAAGGCTTTTGCTTTTCTTGCATCAGCATTAGCATGAGTTTCTGATCACTTAAGCTCATTTCGCACTGACTTGTCGTGTAGAGTTGGCGAAAGATGCTTTCGATATTGAAGAAAATTACTTTGCCGCAGAAACCAATAGCGTCAAGTTGATAAAATATTGCTAGGCAAGTTATATAGGCTACACTGTGGCCGAAGATAATGAAATTGAAGAACAGTAATACAAAACTGGATGTAAATGTCAGGATTTTCTCTCTAATTTCATGATAACACAGATAAATTTGGATAAGGAAGTGCTTCACACTTCGATTAGAATTTAAATTATTGAGTGTCTATCATGTCGTGAAGATATTCAGGACTTCTGATAGGAAGAATACAGTAGATAAGAAAGGATAAATGACAAAGATGATTTTAGCAACTCCAATTGTGAGCACGATAAACTCATTCATGTAGAAAATATAGTTATATTCAGTTTCTTGGAAAGACATTTCTGGAATGATGAGGAAACCTTTCCATAGAACATAAAATGAGCGATATCAAATGTATTTTCAAATGTGTATAAATCGGAGCTAGAACTCTGCGAAAAGGCACATTGATTAGTGATACATTCAGAACTGCAAATTTAGGATTACCTGAGAAGTATTTGCGTGATGAATAATGCAAAATATCATGGGTTTCGGATGAAAATTGTGGTGAACGTAGAAGTGCTGATGTAAAGACAAAACGCAGATATTACAATGTTTCATGCTTTCAATGCTCTGATGTTAGGCATTATGTTTTTCTCTAGGTTTCGATACTTTTTGTAGCAGATTATAAATTTGACCATGTTCGCCGTGATGTTAAAGTCTTGAGTGCCAGAAGGAAACTTTTTAACTATACTATTGATTTCAAGTCAGTCAAATATGAATAAGAAATGAAACTCAAGGGAAAATTTCTTTATTGGAAGATTTTAAGTATTTAAGTGACAGATAACATTTCTTTCATATACTTATATATAAAAGAGCTTCTTACAATATAACTTATTTTCTGCTCATCAACTTAAAGTTTATGAAAGTTGTCGGTGTAATTGAGAAATTGATGAGAAACCTTCTTTTGGATGTAACTCGATTCCATTTGCAAGATTAGATAAGTTTTACAAAGCCCAAATGAACTAAAAACAATACAGAAATCAAACAATTCAGATAATGGATGAAACAGAAAGAAAACGTATCAAATAAAAACGGAAACAGAGCAGAAAACAAGTCAGGATTGAAACTGTATTGAATGAAAAAAGTTTTTTGAAAACACACATCAAATCAGGGTGGTAAATTTTTAAAGAAAACAAAGAAATCAAGGTTTTTTGAAAAAAAAAAAGATTCCAATTACATTAGACGCAAGTCAAAGAAGATGAGTTTCTATTGAGGAAACGAGGAAAGAAGTCTCATTCATTTCATGATCACTATAAGATGAAGTTCTTTTGACTAATGTTTGTCTTCTTCCTTCCTTTGCAGATCTTATTAGTAACGGAACTTTTTGTCGTCGCCATTCTACTGTATTATGTTAACAGTTTTCTTTTACTAGTGAGAGAAAGAGTGGTGGAAGTGAGGAAAAAAGTGTTCTAATTTGTGGAAATGTGTGGAGAAGCAGTGAGGATTTTTCATAGGTATAAAATGCATCCATCACATCTGATAGAGTCTTCAAAGAGAAGAAGAGGCAAAAGTATAGGAGAGTTAGGAGGAAATGTATGAAAGTAAATTCATTGAACCATTCACATTGCGTTGCAAAAGGAGTCAAAGATTGAGGGATGACGAGGATGAGAGACACCAAATCAAATCACATAAAGCAGCACACAGTGAACACACATTGATACACACAAGAAACTAGCCAAATAAGGTATGAAATACACATTAAAAATTTAATTATTTAAAAAAAAAGAGAAGAAAATAAGAATGAGAAAGAGAGTAATATTGTGAGTTTAAGAAAAGAAGAAGAAGAAGAAAAAAAACTAATCTAGGGATAAAAATAAAATGTGAAATGGAAGCATGTGCGAAGGGAGAAAATCAATTGCAAACCAAATAAATTATTTAAAAAGATGATGAAGAGGAGAAAGAAGCGCACGGAAAAGTCGCGGTGAAGAACAATTCACTGGGAGAAAGAAAAAAGAGAAAGGAGAAGTGGAGAAACGCTAATAATTCGTGTAATTAATTAATAAAACTATGGAATATAAATTCTTCGGGATGAAAGTGAAAAGAGCCTCAAACACGAGAAATAGACATGAGAAACAAGAGGTGTGTACTAGATGGGATACAATGTGAAAAGAAGAAAAAAAAGAGGATTCTTTAGAGTGTAACATTAAATTATAGAAGAAAATATAATAGTGCAACATCTGTGGAAATTTGTATTTACATGGAGGAAAAAGTGAAGAGATAAAAGAAGAGCAACAATTATGAAAAGCTTTGCAGAACAAGGTGTAACGGCAAGAAATAGTCATCGGTTGAGAAGAAACTTAAGTTATTTGTGGTTGATAGTGAAATTATGATAATTGTATATAAGTTTATTCTCTTTATTCTTTGTTTTAATTGCTTTTTATTAATAAACGATCGGAAGGAAAAGAGAAACAAACAAACAAAAAAAAAGATTGCGATAGTGAAGTCTTTAAAACAATGCAGCAAAGCGTGAAAAAAAATCTACGGCATATTAATTTTATGGTAATTTATTTTTTAGGTGATAATGAAATTTTTTGAAATTAGTCGAAATTATTAAGAAGAGGGAGGGGAGCGTGAGGGAATGGGCAACTAAAAGATATACAGTAATTGCAACAGCTGTTCAAAAAAAGAAAACAACAATGTATTCATTTTAAATGTGAAGAAAGGGGTGGAAATAACGAGGAAAATTTACCAATTTAGAAGAAGCAGGCAAAACAAAGCAGTATATGAAAAAAAGCACAAAGCATTAAAGGAAGTGAAAATAGAAGGTGTTAGAGAAAATTAAGAGAAAGAGCGTGAGAGAAAAAATATTACAGTATCTAATTGAATAGATCTAATTACAAATGATTTTTTTCTCTCCTTAGAGCTCTGTTATTTGCAATGTCAACACAAACCTCCAAAGTCAAATGTTGAAGAGCCTCTGTCCTGTGACTTCCAAAGTATATATTTGTTATGTCTGTGAAGCAATTTTTTTTCTGTTTTGAAGAAGAAGTAAAACAAGAGCATAAAATGAGCATTAGAAATTCTTCTATAAGTCACGTTGATTTTGCACAAATATTTCTCATATTTGTATTGCTATTTGTAAAGGGATTTTTATCCAAACAGAAAAAGAAGGAGAATGCTGTCTTTTATTTGATGCGTCACATTTTCTATTGTCCACTTTCTCCTGAGTGACCATTTTCCTTTCACAAAAGGAACTATACTTATAGTAATAACAAGAGAGAAAAATTTAGAGGGAAAATTAGCAGCGATAGAAGCGATGGAGAGAAACATGTGAAAGAAATCTGTAAAGCAGAAAAATATAGCCAATATACATTTAAAGAAGAAGAAGAAAAAAGATGAAAACAAAGTAATTGGGAGAAAATTGATAAATGAATGAAGAAATTTAGGTAAAACTAATAATAAAATTATATTTGTGTGTAAATACATAATTCTATTATAAATAAATATATACATAACATAATGGCAACAAAAGGTGGATTTAAAATATTAAATTAATTATAGAATAAAAAGAACAGTAAAAAGGACAGACAGAAGAATATTGAGAAATAGTCATTAAAGCAGCAAAAATCAGTTTCAACTTTAGAGAATGAATTGAAAAAGAAAAAAAAACACAGTTTAGTGAAATGGAACAATGTTTATTTGATGGAACGCAAAGTGAAGAAAATGTAACACAACACAATGACGAAGAAAAGGAGTGTAAACAGTTTTATTAATAAATATATAAATATATATTGATTGTGATAGTGGCATATAAACATAATTAATACATAATTCTTTTTTTTTAAATTAGTAATGGAAATGGAAAAGTTTTAAATATGAGCGACCATAGAAAATTTTCATTCATGCTTTATTTGTATATTTATACGTTGTAAAGTGAAGATGTTTTTATTTTATATATTTTGCAAGTTTTTACAGCAAACCATCCATACAAAAATTTACATTATTGAATGAATTTTTGACGTTATACTGTATGACTTTCTTTTTAGTTTGGTACAAATGTAAAAAAAAGAAGAAACTTGTTTGGGTGTTTTTACAGTTTTAAATGCAAGTGCATAAATTTGACATGAGACAGCATAAAAGAATTTATCTTTGTAGGGAGAAGGAAATTTAGAGGGAAATCATTGCGAAATTACCTGCAGCAAATCGTGAGAGTGTTCAGAAATTATCGCACAAGTTCATAAGTTTGTCTTCTCTGATTGCTTGTCAGTGATTCCAGTAGCAAAAGAAAGTTTTAAGACAGCAAATTTTCGAAGCCGTCAAATCATTTGAAGAATCAAAAATTTTATCATGACATATTTGTAATTGCTTTTAAAAATAGAACAACAAAATTATGCACAGATTCCATGCATTTTCTAAATTTTCTTCTCTCTTAGAGTGTCTTTTTCCGATGTGAAAAAAGGAAATTGTTGACAAAGACGAGTGTCAGACGAAAGTTGTTTTTTGTTTTGTTAAAGGTTTTTTTTTATCTCTCTTTTTGAATTTGTAGAATGAATTTTACATCTACTAGATCCACAATGTTAAATAAAATATTGATTTTTTATGCGTATCAAATATATTTCTTCATTGGAAAATGTGTTAGAGAATCTCTGAATGTTATATAGAAAATCAGCCAGAAAAATATAAATGTATATTTAAAGAAGTCCTTCAAAGTGATCTTCAAACTGTGCGCATAAGAAATTGTTGGAAAAAAAATATATAGAGCAAGAGGAATTATTTAATGAGAAAACTTTCAATGCAATTTTTAATGTCTATGCAGAATAGAGAAATAAAAAAAATAATAGAAGATATGTTAAAGAGAATTAAACGTGTGGAAGATCACTTGAGGATGCCAGTAGATAACGTTGCTAAGAGACAAAGAAAGACATGAAATATACTTCTTAAAAATAAGTCCACTTCTCGAAAATTGAAATACAACCACATACATTTATTTTTAATAAACAGTGAAAAACTGAAATTGCACACGAGTCTTGAGATACAATTAAAGAGAATCACATTTGTTTTCTCACCTCATAACATTTTTGAAGGAGTAGAGAAAAGAGGATCATAAATAGCATATTTTTGAACGAAGCCCTTGCTAATCTTTACACAATTTTCACTGAAGGAAGAAAGGAAATAACATAAAGAACATTCTGTTGTTTAAAACATTAAGGAAGGTGGGAAATTAGTTTTAAAAGAAGAAAATATAGAGAGTAAAAGAAAATGAATTATCGAACGACTAAATGTAAATTATACCTTGTAGTGAGAAAGTGAGACAAAATGAGGGAATGGCACATATATTTCAGAGCTAATTTATTTTCTACTATGAATAAAGGGAGGAGGAAAAAAAAATGGTGGGTGAAGAAAAAAACTATTGAGGAGGAAAATATCAATTTTTATCCCATGAGATAAAGTGCAGGAGAAGATGATGAAAAAAAATGAGAGACAATGCTAAAGAATGAACAGAGAAAACTCATAACATTTCACACAGAGCTTTTAATTCCTACTAATGCAATTTCTAACACATCCATAATAACTGTATTGTATAAAAAAAAGAGAAGGAATATTGTGAGAAGAAATAGCATAAAATTAAATAAAGAAAATTATAGAACATTTTTTGTCTCTTTGTTTCATGAACGATGAGAACAATCACAAAGAAAATGCGTTTTTAATTGCATAAGAGAAAAAGAAAAGAGAATTAAGAGTAAAAATCCATTGACTTTTTAACAATGAGACATTGGTTTTGAATGAAAATAATAAAAAAAACGAAAGTTTCCAATACAATTTAAGGAAGAAGAAAATGATAATGTTTCTGATTTTACCTCTCATTACCAGAGAAAATGAAGAAAAAAAACATTGAAAATGTGGCGCAGTGAGAAAAAATATTTGGATGACGAATAACTGCAGATGTAGAAATGCAAATAAAGAAAAAAAGAACATTGGTAAAGATTTTTTCCTTTGAACCAGATTTTAGTCAGACACACAGTCAAAATGAGAAGATGATGAATAAACAGATTTCTGGTAATAATAAAAGAATTATATAATTATTAAAAGAAAAATATTATTGTAATAATCTTAGAGAAAATGTATTTAAAATAAAAACAAAAAATATTTATATTAAAAGCTCTTTGACATTTCATTTGATCGGATAAACGTCGCTGCAAACTTCTAGAAGAGATTTGTTTTTTTTTTTAAGTCAAACACGTAAATCTTCCCTTCTAGTGCGATGAATAAAGTGATGAATTTACTATTAGCGATTACGAAAAAAGTGAATAATATTGTGAGATAAAATATTACAGATAATATTTTTATCTGCAGCACTGCTTTCTCCACTTTATCGACTTTATCGCATTAACTCAGCTGATTGTTTCGGGCTGAGTGGATTTTTCTGCTTTTGAACTACTGATAGAGTGTCGCGATATGAGGTGAAATCATCAATATTCCAGCGCTCTTCTAATTCATTCAAAAACATTTCGCGCGCTGTGAGCTTTTTCCGGAAGGCGCACACTTCTCAGTGTTTCCGCCAGAGGCGCGGCGCGCAGTGCTGTCAAAGTGATAAAGGAACTTTTTGTCTGCTGGTGTTTTTCAGTGAAATTGTTGAATTTGGTCGTGATCAAAGTGCTGCTGAGTGTCTTATCAAGGTGGACCGATTAAATGTGGTGGAAATGAACAACCTCTCATCGCCGGAGGATGAAAACAGCTGCTGCGAGAGCGACAGTCAGCTGGTGCGCAAAGGCAAGCGTCGGGGGCGCTTGCAGCGCGACCCGTCCGGGAGCACGTCCAGCAGTGGCGTGGAAAATGTGCCCGGCGTGCCGCTGGTGAGTGTGGACGGGGGCCACATCGAGCGCCCCGTGGGCTCCACGCCAATGGCGTCGTACAACGAGGAGCGGATGCGGCGGAAGCTGCAGTTCTTCTTCATGAACCCCATCGAGAAGTGGCAGGCGCGGAGGCGCTTCCCCTACAAGTTCTTCGTGCAGGTGGTCAAGATACTCCTCGTGACGATCCAGCTGTGCCTCTTCGCACATTCCAGGTGCATCTCTTTGATTTCCCTGACCAGAAATGCCAAATGTGCTCTCGAGAGAAGCGCAATCAGTGCTCTGATAAGGCGCTGGATATCTTATCAGAGCTTATCATTGATTTCTGTTCTCTATTAATATTTGATGATCAAGAAAACGAGTTTTCGATCGAACTTGGTGTAGAAATACACTTAAAATAAAAAGACAAGACGCGGATGAGTCAGAAAGAATGGGAAAAACCAATTCCTAGTTTCGCCAATCCGCGGGTTTTACGTAATCTTGCGATTACAGTGGAAGTAAAGAAGGATTAAAAGAAGTGTCAATTGCACTAACCATCCAAAAAGATTAGTGAATATGTATTAGAATCTATTGAATTGCAAAGAGTTAAGAAAGTAATGGTTTTCTTTGCAATTTCAACTATTATTGAGTAATGAATGCTATGATTTTTTTCAACATTTTCCTCGTCATTTGGATTCGACGACAATGAACTCAAAGAATGAATTGTTTGCTGAATTGGATTCTTTCACTTTTATCTTTCGGAAGAACAAACGACCTTTCCCAAGAGATTTAGCAAAATATTACAATGCGAAACGATGACCTTAAGGAATGTTCTTTAGGTCAAAGTGAATTAATTTCTAGTGCAATTTAAGGAATCTCATCAATGTGGAAATTCCGTAAAGGATTCATATGAATGCTTGATAATTACGGTAATTTCTTAACACTGAATGAACCTTTTTTTATGTGAAAAACGTTAACAAATTATTGAAACATTATGTTTTTCTCTCTATTCTTTGTAATTTTTGATCATTGATGCGATTTAAATTGTCTTCCGAATGTGTGACAAAAACATTTCCTGCTTCTCAGGTACAATCATATCAACTACACGTGGGACAACCGCGTGACGTTCTCGCATCTCTTCCTCAACGGCTGGGACGAGTCCAGGGAAGTGGAATCTTATCCGCCGAGCGTCGGACCGCTCGCGCTGTACGTGCAGAGTGACTTCTTCCAGACGATCGACTACGCTATCGAGGGCTACCAGAACCTGAGCCAGGCCATCGGGCCCTACTCCTATCCCAATGAGGACAACACGATGGCGCCGATGCACCTGTGCCTGTATCGCTACAAGGAGGGCACAATCTTCGGCTTCAACGAGAGCTACATCTTCAACTCGGAGATCGACACGCTGTGCCTGAATCTCACGGGCAACGTCACGGACATCGGCAGCGAAGCGTATCTGGCGAGCAAGGATGTCGTGGTGAGCTTCTCGGCGCTGGTAAAGGCCACGCTGGAGATGTCCGTGAAGACGGTGAACTTCAAGGCGGCGGGCCCCATTGCGCCGCCTGATTGTTATCAATTCAACATCCAGATTTTGTTCGACAATCGCGATCACGACGGCCAGATGCTCCTGTCGCTGGACGCCGAGCCGATCAGGCTCAACTGCAAGGGCAACATTGAGTACACGACGGAGTCGAACATCGACGACACGCTGCGCAGCATCCTCAACATGCTCGTCATCGTGATCTGCATCACGTCGTTCGCGCTGTGCACGCGAGCTGTGTACAGGGCGCAATTGCTGCGCGTGGCCACCGTGCAGTTCTTCCGCACGCACTTCGGCACAGAGCTGAGCTGGGAGGGGCGCATGGAGTTCCTCAACATGTGGTACATCATGATCATCTGCAACGACGTGCTGCTGATCATCGGCTCGGCGCTCAAAGAGCAGATTCAGCGGCGACACTTCGTTGCCGACGAGTGGAACACGTGTTCAGTGCTTCTGGGCATCGGCAATCTGCTCGTGTGGTTTGGCGTGCTGCGCTACTTGGGCTTCTTCAAGACCTACAATGTGGTGATACTGACGCTTAAGAGGGCGGCGCCCAAGATCTCACGTTTCCTGCTCTGCGCCCTGCTGATCTATGCGGGATTCACGTTCTGCGGCTGGCTGATTTTGGGTCCCTATCACCTCAAGTTCCGCTCGCTGGCCATCACGTCGGAGTGTCTCTTCTCGCTGATCAACGGCGATGACATGTTTGCCACGTTCACCACGATGTCGGGCAAATCGAATATGCTGTGGTGGTTCAGTCGCATCTACTTATATTCCTTCATCAGTCTCTACATTTACGTGGTGCTGTCGCTCTTCATTTCCGTCATCATGGATGCATACGACACGATCAAGAAGTACTACAAAGAGGGTTTTCCCGTGAGTGATCTCAAGATGTTTGTCGGCACGGTGAATCCGGAGGAGTACATTGCGGCTGGTGTGACTGAGGAGGACTCTGAGGAGTCCTTCCTGGACGTTGTGTACAGATTCTTCAAGTGGAGACGACGCAATGCAGCGTCTGACGGACCAACGGGCTACACAAGCCTCCATCCGAAGCCCTAACACTTCTTTTGCTGCTAAAAACATTTATTTATCCAAATTATCGTCATTACAGTATTTCCTATTCTAATTTATCAATCTTCCCTCTTGTACAACTTCTCCACTCTTCATCATCCATTTTTGTCCTTTATTTGTACTGTGATGTTGCTCCTCTGCTGAATCCAACACTTCTACACTCAGCAGAGAAGCACACTTGCAATGGTTGAGGGTGAATTGTAACAATAATATTAATAATAACGAATAGATATTGTAATTTATATTTTTCCATGCTGTTTCGAGAGGGAAGTGAAAAACTGCATGTGTAAATAGATTTAAAAAAAAATAATGCGCATTACAAGGATATTAGGAAAATCACGGAAAAAATGTATTTTGTAGTTCGATGCCTAACAAATAAAGTGTGTACACAATTCATTGTTAATTCTGTGATCAATTTATCAGACGACATAATCTCAGTTTCACTTTTTAGCACTTTGACACTCGCTTAGCAGTCTTCTCGGCAATATTTGCATGTGTGATTTCTTTTTGATAAAAGGTAAGTGGGTTCAGTCAACAAGACATGTTTTTCTGCCTCAAACACACAATGATCTGTTCTGGGTGTCTTTGAGATGTGTAGAAAAGTGCGAAACAGCTCAAAAGAAGGAAAACAGCAAATAACTGCATCATCAAATGACAAATGAAACTATTCATAAATTAACAATAAATTTATAGTTTGATAATTGAGACACGTGGAATGATATACTCTGTTTATTTTTCACAAAATAAATTGCTCAGTCTGTAATTGAACTTTCCGGTCTGTAGAAGCTACTTGACGTGCTGTTGTAATCAAAATTAGTGAAGCTATTTCAATTGGATTTGGCACTAATTTTATTCATCATGTAAATATTCCTTCAAAGACTGCGATAAATGTTATACAAAGGATATGCAATATTTTATAGAAATCGAGTCTAAATTCAACACATTTCTAGCAACTGGATAATAATATCTGGGAATTTCCCTCACATTAAAGCCCAACCCAGTTAAAATCTAAAGCTCACAAAAATATCATTTGTGTTTACCATTAATAATGTAACATATTTTTGCCTAACAATGATCATAAATGTATCTTTCATCATTTCTTACACAGTTAATCACTCGAATCATGCTCAAGTGGCATGTTTCGCCCATTCAATGGGAGTCTTTCTTTGGTATGTCTTACACAATATTTTCCTTTCTCCTACTGGCAAATAAGTGATCTCATACGTGTTTCTTTTTAAGTCTATTACTGGACTTATTTTGGTCATTCGTCGTCTTGTATTGCACGAATGATTGAGGTGGAAGACTGAAAAGATCAGTTCTTCACCTCAGACTCACTCAAATTGCTCACAGTTGTTGCCGATGTGGCGTGATTCACCTGACCAGTCCTGTTGAGGATGTCCTGAATCTCTGACAGGGATTTCCCTTTGGTCTCCGGCACCATAAAGAAGACAAACACCAGACCGACAATGGAGAATCCGGAGAAGAGCCAGAAAGTACCACCAGATCCCATTGCGTCGACGAAATTCGGGAAGGTTTTCGTGATGATGAATGCCAGAATCCAATTGGTGGTGCCCGCAATTGGTCCAGCGAATCCCTTCACGTCCGACGCGAACAGCTCGCCCATCATGAGCCACGGCACTGGGCCGAATCCGAAGGAGAACATGATGATGAAGACACAGAGCGACACAATCGGCAGCCAGCCGAGATTCGCCACGCGCTCAGCGTCCTGATCCTTGAGGTAGAAGTACACACCGAGCAGAATTGTGCAGATGGACATGACGGAGATGGAGGAGATCAGCAGAATCCGCCGTCCGAGACGATCCACAACGATTGACGAGACGAATGTCGCCACAACTTGCATCACACCCACGATGATTGTCGCGATGCCGGCCTCGATGCCCGTGTTGGCGGCCTGAAAGACAGAGAAAGGATGAGTAGGATCTCGAATTGGCCATTTCTGGGCGAAATATCGAGTGCGTGCGACTGAATTCCCAAGAGGACAATTCGAAACTAACCACAGATGGCGACTGGCAACCTGTCAAGATGGTATCTAATCGAAAAGCCTGCCAATTAATTAAATTGCCAAGTGCTTTAATCTCCCCTGTTCATCTGGTCCCCAAATATAAATAGTCCGAATGCCTGACTGGGACTCATGCATGGATCATTTTGCCTGCAGTCGACCGCCAACTCTGGCCAGAGGCAGAGCGACTTTGGGGAACGAGCGAGGGCCTTTATTTCAGCATCTCTTGGATCTCTGTGAGGGACTTGCCCTTCGTCTCGGGCACAACAAAGGCAATAAAGAGCACGCCAGCAAAGGCGAAGCCAGTGAAGAGCCAGAAAGTGCCCGGAATGCCCAGGGCGTCTTGCAAATTCGGGAAGGTCTTTATAATGAGGGAGGCGAACAGCCAAGTGGTCATTGTGGACAGGCCCGATCCCGTGGCGCGCACATCGGGCGCGAACAGCTCGCCGTTCATCAGCCACGGCACGGGCGCAATGCCAAAGGCGAAGGCCGTGCTGTAGAGGCTCAGGCAGACGAGCGGCAGCCAGCCGAGTCCGTCTGCGCGTCCATGCTCCGCCAGATAGAAATACACGCCCAAGAGGCAAATGGTCGCGCACATCACGGACATGGAGATGAGCAGGAGAACGCGGCGCCCAAAGCGATCTATCATGAAGACGGATATGACGGTCCCAAAGACCCCCATCGCCCCACTTATGATAGTGCCAATACCCGCCTCGATGCCAGTGTTAGCAGCCTGAAAGAGATGGCATCTCAGTGAGTGTGATTGATCGGCAAACGGCGAAGAACATTGACAGATTACCGCGAGAGTGTCTACCTGACCTCTGAGAGATAAGGACAATCACAGACAAACACGAACACTGACGTATGCTGTGTGTAGTAAAAGTGTGTTTAGACTCTGGGCGCAAGATAGCAGCTCCACACAAAACACGGTCAAGATCGCGCGGAGCTTCAATTGCCCATGAAATTGCTCAAGAGTGTCCTAAAATTTTGGTGCATGCATGATTTATTGCTAAACATCGTCACTAAAACATGATTGAATATGCTTAAAATTGGGTCACAACTTGCTTTTGAGAAAGCAGGTCAAGGACATTAATCGAGATTTTGAAGTGAAGACGTGTAATAGTAAATAGTTCAGCTCAAATTTTAGGATAAAATCGAAAAGATCTCAAAGAACCAGTTGCCGAATCATCAAGGAAAATATCAATTAAGCGAGATCAACTTAAAATGATCGATAGTTTCATATGAACCAGAAGAGAACATATCGCATTACCTAGAAAGCTAACTAACTAGTTTAGGTATAGAAATCTATCGTGTTTATATTTTGCAGAAAAGAAATCAGGCAGATGAATTTTACTGTTTGCAGTGCTATTATTTTGCATGACACTAAAATAATCTAGTCTAAAATATTTCTTCATTCAGGACTAATTCTTGGCACGTAGACGAAATCATGAGAAGAAATCAATTCAAACACACATCTTTACACTATCAATACGATTTCTATTGTAACTTCGTCTCTTATAAATAAGGATGCAGCCTCTTGTTCATGTAAGCAAATGCGTTGGTCAGGGGTGAAATGCTGTGATTCGCTGTCGTCTATTTCTCAATGAGGCTGTCATCCTGCTTCGGGGCGATCGATTGAGCTGACGACGATCGCTGTCCGTTGAGGAGGAACTGAATCTCCGCCAGCGATTTGCCCTTCGTCTCGGGCAGATAGAACACGAGGAAGACGGTGCCGAGGAAGGACAGTCCCGAGAAGATCCAAAAAGTCGGTCCGGACCCGATGGCGTCCAGGAGACTGGGAAAGGCCTTCGTGATGACAAACGCCAGCGTCCAGTTGATGGTCATGGCCACGCCGCCGGCGACGCCCTTGATGTCCGATGCGAACAACTCGCCGATGATGATGAAGGGAATTGGACCGAAGCCAATGGAGAACATTACAATGAAGACACAGAGCGACACAATTGGCAACCAACCGAGATTCGCCACGCGCTCAGCGTCCTGATCCTTGAGGAAGAAGTACACACCGAGCAGCAGCGTGCACGTGGCCATGGCACAGTCAGATGTGATGAGCAGCACGCGGCGTCCGAGGCGATCCACCATGAGAGTGGCCAGGAAGGTGGCCACGACCTGCATCACGCCCACAATTATCGTGGCCACGCCGGCCTCGATTCCTGTGTTGGCGGCCTACAGGAAGAGACACAAGACATTCAGCGTCTTCCTCAGTCTCACGCCCGTGCTCAAATCCTCTCCGCAAGCCAATTTATGTACAATTTGGCCTCCTTCTCGCCAAAGCAGCCAAATTAATCCGCGCAAGAAAACACCTTATCAATATGTTTAGTCCAACTTTCCAATCTGGGTTATTCATACACTCCATCGCGACCTCATCTTCATGGCAAAAATCATCATCATGCACCGCAATAAAGGCATTGTCTGGGGGAGTTTCCATGCAAAAAGGGGTGAAAAAGCACACAATGGAAATCAATATTGGCGGCAAATCATGCATTTGGAAACCATGCAAACTCAAATTTTGGCACTCATCAATATTTTGAGCATATTTAAATTGGGTTTTGTGTAATAGTGTTGTTTTGTGTGTAAATAAACGTATTAGGTAGAAGCCTAGAAATAATAATAATAATAATAAATCAGTAAAGATTCCACGATTAGCAAAAGCCCACTTCTTTTGCCAACATTCAGTTAACGTTAAAGCAAAAGCTTGGTGTCCTTGTATTGCATTTGGTAGTATTTTATAGATAAATGACGATATTTATCTAAGCTTGCTTAACTTTGGTCAGAATTATATTCCATTTAGTTAGTAAAAACGTAAAAGCTACAGTTTTATTGGCATTTTTCTCAAAAATTTAAATGCTTCTGTCGCTAAACAGACAAGAAATTATTAACACATTTGTTTGGGCTTGAAAATGCAGCTCAACACTGATGCTTCTTGTCTCAGAATCACTCTATAAATCTGCGCAATGATCGCTTGTGGAGGCGTTTTTGAGAAATCAATTAAATTGCACAATTATTAAGTGCATTGTTCTACTTCAGTGGCCTTCGATAGACTCGATAAACCATTGAGATTATTCACCGAACGCAATCATAGCACAAACGCATCTTCACGTCGAGAAGCTCAGTGTGAGAGCGTGAATTGTTGGGTATTTACAAGGGCAGAGCAGAAGTCTGCCGGCCATCACCAAGAGTGTTGTGTGCCAGACCAATTGAGTGTCTGTTATCGGAAAGCAATGCAGGGCAAGAGCACTCACCTCGAAGATGTCCGTGGTGTAGAAAATAACCGCATTGATGCCGCACGTCTGCTGGAAGAACATGAGCCCCATCGAGATGACGAGAGCTCTCACGGTGGCGCGGCGACGCATGGCCGCGGCCAGCGAGACGGGATGCGAGCGGATCTCGTCGATCTGTTGCTGCAGATCCGCCAGCTCGGCGCTGTGGTCATACTTGTCGCCGCGCAGCCACTTGATGGCGTCAGTGGCGCGGGACGTGCGATCCTTGGTCACGAGATACAGCGGCGACTCGGGCATGAAGAAGAAGATCAGGCCGAAGACGATGGGAATGACGGCGCAGATGATGCTCAGCGTAAAGACATTCACGCCATGCCCCACAGCGTACACGAACAGGATGCCAATGGTGACCATTAGCTGGAAAAAGCTGCCCAGAATGCCGCGGATCTCCTTGGAGGCGATCTCGCCCGTGTACATTGGCGCCGTGACGCAGAAGGCGCCCCCGGATATGCCCACAAGCACTCGCCCGATCAGCATCATAGGCACACTCGTGGCCCAGATGATGAGCGTCCAGCCGATGGTGAAGGGCAGCACCAGCATCAGCATCGTGGGCTTCCTGCCGATCAGGTTGATCAGCAGCCCGATAGGGATGCACACGGCGGCCGCGCCCAGAGTCATCGCCGAGCTGATCCAGGAGAAGGCCTCGCGCGAGATCTCGAAGCCATACTCCTGGTTGTCCACCAGAGCGAGCTGCGTGGGCGACGTCCAGCCCAGCACCGTACCAGCCGCCAGGGCGCCCCCGGCCGCCGACAGCGCGGCCACATATTGCGGCAGCTTCCTGTAGTTCTGCCCCGCAGGCTCAGTCACAGTCATGCCCGTCATGCTGTCCACCTCCTCAGGAACCTGCAAAAGACATCGTTACGGTGAGTCAACAGCCCTCTAATCAATAGCACAGCGATAACACGGACATTCTCCTCAATGCCATCGTATGTCGGGATGGCAGCCGTTGCCGCCCCCAAAAGACGCTGTCTCTCGTCTGCGGACATGATTTTGCCTCAAATACTGCTCAAAAACACTCTCAATACGCTAACGTTGCGAAATACTAGTCATTTAGCGCACAAATATTAGCTAAAATCAGATAAAACAAAGAGAAATACTGAGATCGCGGAGTAAACAATGAAGATTCACGTATTTTTGTGTGGAATGACAAACACTGAAGCTTTCCGGAAAGAGTCCGGAAAGCTGCACAGAAATGTAAACTTTTGCTATGTGTAGAAGTAAGATTATTTTTGCATGAGCAAAAGCTACGAAAGGTAGAGATAAACATTTCTTTTGATTTTAACTCTATAAAGCGAGATTTCTCTTATCGTGGTATTTATTACCTCTTATCAGACTTTCGCAATTTGATTTAGTTGGAATTTACCGGAAAATCCGCGTGAAAAGCACAAGTCTTTCCGTACAGAGGTGTAGGAAGGATTTAAAATTATGTTATTTTGTTATATTATTTGCAAAAAAAATTGGAAATCTATTAAATTTGTCTAGAAAATTGTGAAATTTATATTTCCCTTAAAGATTGTCATAATCAAACATTTGCAAATTTTTATGTGAAATACATTAATTTTTCAATTAAATAATAAATTAAAGCAAGAGAAATGCTTCTTTTCATAATATAATTTCTCCACAAATTGACTAATATTCAGTACGAAGGCGAAGCTATAATGAAAAATCCACTTCTGTTTGCCATCATTTCAAAATTCAACTTGCGCTGGGATCAATATATAATGTTTTCAACATCGAATTGACTACCTTTCGGCTGTTGATGCTGAACGCAGCTCAAAGGTATTTGGCACAAAATGTTGCACAACAATAAACAATCATGCGGCAATGCAAAAAGTCTTGGAGGCTCGTCTCTTATTTAATTTAAACCTGTATGTTTCACATGCACATAAGGTGGGGATCGATGTTTTTTTCTGATCTTAAATGTGCGGTTTTGCATCAAAGTGTGGGTATTATGAGTGGAAAAGGTCATAAATCTATTTGATATGAAGTGAAATCCCACTTCTTATATTGATTGACTAAGAAAAAATGCCAATAATGTGCAAACATTGGTTTTTTCGCTCTTTCCACACCTTGAATTCCCAAGAAATCACCTTTTTCCTCATTGCTGCTCAATTGATGCTGCATAATGTGAAGCCACAGTAAGAGATTAAATGGTTTCTGAGAAGATTAGGAAATTTCCCGAATTCTAAGTGGCGAGATAAAATTATATTATGGGGAATTTTTATAATGCTTCAAGTGCGGTAATTATTTGCAATTACATTTCTCTTCGCATCGCCGGCGCGTCTGTTATGTAAAAACATTGTTGTTATTTTAGTTTTCGTCACCTGACGTGTCTTTCCGGTGAATCACGTGGCAAAATGGGTGATTTTTCTGGACTTTATGTCATTGTGGTTCTCATTAATGGCATTCTCGTGTGTGCATAATATTAAATAAATTGTCTACTAAACCAAAAAGCCGAACGAAAGATTACTTGATCTTTCCGAGAAGTGCTTTTCGCTGGATTTTTTGATAACAATTAAGATGATAAACTTGAGACCTGATAAGCTTAATGGACTTGTCGAAGATATTGGAATTATATTGTAGTATTCAGATAATACATTACCATTTTACATCCATTAAATTCATCTGATTGTCATTAACAATATTCAATGGAATGCTTCTCGATAAATCCGTGTGTAATGATTGGAATAGAGGCGGAAATTAAAGTTAATTCGCAGCATTTCATTATCACTCATGACTTAATATATATAAGAGATAGATAATGCTCTTCCCCGAATGAAGAGACTCCAATTGACCAATATTTACTGTCAATTTGCCTTATCTTATCTCACAAAGTCAATGGCACTTCATTTGTACATCTCACTGATAAATTTCCCAGTATTTCTATCATTTCATTGCGCTCATAGTGAATCTGTGAAGCATCGCTGTTTGCGACGGTTGATCGAGGCAATGAAAGAGTTTTATTTCACGTTTTTAGGAGATTTTCAGACGCTTTTGCATATGCAAAAAACTGCCCCTCATAAAAAGCACTACGCTGAATTTTAATTTAAAGTTCGAGGACAAATTTCAAACAATTCGCCCGTTCCACCATATGTACAATGACAGTACAATGACTGTGGTAAGTTACTTTTTACGAAATTCAAGGAAAAGATGTTCATTATCGTCTGTTCATCTCGGAAAGTCTCAAAAAATAAATTTTCGTGAGGATTGTAAGTTTAAAATTGATAAATTTTTTTTCATATTTATTGCGTCAAAACTACAATTTCAATCTACAAATATTCATTTCTTATCTTATCACGAAACACTTTTCACTCTCTTATCTTCTTAATCCTCAACTACCTGTTTCATGTGTAAAATATAGGACATTTCCTTCAATTCCCTCCTAAACTTGGAACTACTATCAAAGTGTTCTTCGATAGTACTGCACTTTTTAATCATTCAAACCAATTCAAACACATTCAAGTGCAGTGCATTTGTGAATGTGAGTGAAATAAAAGTGTCGCTTAAGTTTTCATTTGGCAATGTTTGAATACAAATCAGTATCCGCTCAGCTAAAATTACTGGGCGTGTTAAATACTTTCAATACCTTGCCTTAACACTCATGATTACAACATATATTTTATCGCCCGAAGGGTTTACGCATTTTTAATAAGACCAGCAAATGTGTGCCAAAGTTGCATTGTCGGAAAGACTTTTTTGATTCTTTTCCTTGGACTTCATACTGCACAGTAAATATTTCAGGAGCAATATATTCTTTTGCATTATATAAAATATGGATAAAATATGTGAATGTCCGTGAGTATAGAAATAGGGAAGTGCTGGGAAGTTCGTGGCCAAGGCCAGCAGTTACACATGTCTCACTTCTTCAGCTTGCTCTCTTTCCAATTTTACATAGTGCCACTGTGATTGCACTGGGAGTCAAAATGTCAATTGGCACAATTAATTTTACGCTATGTAATTAAATGCATGAGAGTCACAACAAACGTACAGGAAGGTCGTGTGTGTGTTATGATGAATTTCTCGGGTTGAAAGAGACATTAATGCAAGATCACCTGCATTGTTTATTGCCTTCTTCGTGCAAGTTGAAGGTGAGGAAAAATGATAGTGAAAATACTTTCTCTGATATTTTGACTACACAAGTCTTCCAAGATCGTCCAATGACACTAATATCAAACACTTCCGCAGTGTTGAATTCACAGGAAAATTGTCAATCTTCCGCAAAAAAAGCGTCGTGCAATGAATTTTAAAATTGATAAATTTGCATTGCACACCTTCGAATTGATCAAATTGGCGAATCGCACGATCAAAAAAGTCTGTCGAGAGACACGCAATTAGAAGCGTATCACAGAAGCGGAATTTCCGCAATGTGGCAAGTCGCATTGGCACGCGTAAGTGCGCTTTTTTAACACTTCAGCAGCCTGTGATACTAATCAATAAATCACATATTTACATTACTTAGAATTCTTCTCACGCAAATGGTAATAAACAGTGGCGATGATTGACTAAAAAATGTCTTATTTATAGTATTTCTTCATGTTATAATTCACTATGTGGTTCACTGAAGGTTATCTCAATTATTCACATAAATTTTGCCCCACCTTTTGCCTTCCTTATAAAAAACTTTTAATAATATAGTAAAAAGTATAGTCAATTGAAAAGTACATTGCATAATTATTACTATTATTGCGTCGTTATTTTTGCAGCAAACACATTTTTTGAGTCACACAACTCGCGGTATTTGATTGAAGAATCTCTAAAAAAAAAATACCAGTGAACCTCTCACTTGATGTTCAAAACATGCCTCATTGTTAGTTCACAATCTCTTGCATTCTCATCCACATAATGGACACTTGATGTTTTTCATATCAGCGCGAGATGTCTTGCGTGGATCTTTTATTGTTTAATTGAGAAGGAAGTGGCATTTAAATAAGATGACCATTAAATCCAATTTGACCTTTTAACCAGTTTGTGTACTTTGTCAAGCGCAAATACTTTTCGAATAAGGCAACAACATTTTTACACGTACTTTGCATTCTACCTAATTATTGTTCATACTGAATTTGTAGACAGGCTTTGCTGACTTTCTAATTATTGAGTCGCAAACTAGAAGGCATTAAGAGATGAGTAGATAATTTGCTGCATTTTTCCATATATTCTGTTGCAATGTAAAATTTTCTCACGTTAAACAATAAAGAAATATGACAAATTCAACCATAATTTTAATCATCTGATTATTGATAAAAATTATTATGTGTATATAAGAGCGTGATTTTGAACTTCAAATACATTTCCTGAAAATACTCTAATTAAATATACACAGGAAGAAGACTAATTAGCCAAACTTTGCACTAATAAATACATGCTAAGTGCAAAACCGAAAATAGCTTACACGCAACGCTGGATCGGGTAAAAAATCCCCTCTTTTGTCATAAATCACTGCTAAGAACAATACTGCGTGCCAGTTCTCGCTGCGACTTCCAATATGTATATAGAAAAAGACCAATTCATCTCATTAACAATTCACTTTTGATCTGAGTAGAAATACCTATGACAAAAGTGGAAAACCTGATGGAATGTGCGACCTTGTCTTTCACAAAGTCGCCACTAAATCGAGAAGAGACTGATCTTTTCGGATTGGTCGCTTTTTCGTGCTCTGTCTATGAAGTGATAATTAAGCGCGTATAGAGAAGGGAGTCGAGCCATTAATTTCAGTTTTGTACCTCTGAATTGTGCTTTTCTATCGTTTTTCTCGATTCAGCTTAATCTCGTTGATCCTCCGCGTCAATAGAAAAACTCACGCTGAGTTATTTATTCTAATGCATGGAGGAAGAAGCAAAGAAAAAAAAACTGTGGGCTTTTTCTCCTCGTTTGTTTTGAGATACAAATTTTATGGCAATGTGTGATTTCGTCACATGCATTTTTAGGCCTTTTAATATCACGTTTTTTTTTACTCTTGACTTTTTGCGCAGAGCTTGAATAGCCTTTTTTGTGAAGTCGTGTGAAAGGTGAGAAATTAATGTTTTCTTCTTTGCAGAAAAAAAACACAAAAGGCTTGCCTATTTGGACAGCATGACAGGAGAAGTGAAAAAAGACAGTGGGTGTTGTCGAAAAAGGTGATGATCAAAAGTGGCAACAATTGACTGGCTTGATGGAATGTCGCAGATTCGCAAGTGTGAATAATTTACTGTGCGCTGTAAAATTGAGTATATCGCGCAACAAAATGCCAATAATGCTGCAGAGCAGAATGATATTAACACCGAAATTGACCATTTTCTCCAATGGCGAGCGGTTCTAAGCGTGGTTGGGCGCGAAAAGTAGGTCGTTCAAATTGAATTGCGCTCAAAGAGAGTCATATTTCAGTTGGATATTTTCACTTTTTATAATTTGATAAATACCACACACTCACACTCATTTTCGTCTGCAACTTTCTATGACAAATGCGTTGAGGTGTTATATATATATATATTTCAACAACTAATTGGCAATTTGTAATTTCTTCAGACTCTCCTCCCTGTCTTCGAGTCTGCTTTGATTGATTTTTCAATTGAAACACAGAGTGAAATCATACAGCAGGTCTTTCACCTTTCATCTCAACTTCTTGCAATATTGGCGAACAATTAGAAACGCCGTATAGAAAGTAGCAAATTATTTAGCGTAAGAAGTGCATCTAAGCATATTTTCTATTTTTCTCGCTTCTTTTAATGAATGAATTGCACGGCAGAGATACTAATGGGCGTATAATTTTATGTCCATATGCAAATTTTGTTGGCTATGATCGAAAAAAGATATGGTAAAGTTATGTGATGGCTTTGGAAGCTCAAGGTTTGCCTCAAATTTACACCCATCACAGTTTCTTAGCACAAATCTTTTGCGAATGATGCATTTCAATTGAGAAAAATTGACGTTTTGGGTCTTTTAAAGTCACTTTCTACCAATACTATGCAATTAAAAGCTTATAGTGCAGCTTAAATGATTGGAAAATAAATATTCATCAAAGAAATACTTCATGTCTTCTTGTATTCTTATTTTCAGGACAAAACACTCTGAATTTCCATCACTTGATTCAAGAAATCTATGATAAAAATTGCACTGTATTTCTCAAAAGCAACCAACGAATAACTGTGAAAGCACAGAGTGATTATTTACTCCGCGGTCACTGTGTATTAAATTAGTCATACCGACCCAGGAATCAACAAAATAACCGCGAAACATTTTTCTTGACTGCAAGCTGTCTCGGGTAGTTTGGCTCCGTCACTTAATGAACACAGTTGTGCATTGCATCGTCTGGGAGAAATAAAAGCTCGAAAGTGCACAAGAAGCAAGAATGTACTAAGTATTTTTTATTTTACCTCTCAGTATTTATCGGACATGGTTAGTGTTCAAAAATTGGTCAGAGCGATAAAAAGTGTCATTGTTGCACAAGTTCTTTTTTTCTCTTTACCTCCAATGTAAATTAAATCAACAATAAAGTGTGTGAAATGGATGGAAAAGTCCAATTTTTTGTCACACTTTGGATGGTAAAGTAATATTAAACGTGATTTTTACATGTTAATTTTCTCCCGCTTTTCGAGGTTCTATTCTCGATGTGACACACAATGGACTTCACATAAATTGAAAAAGTTGTAACATGAACACGTTTACGTGATGATAAGATGTTAAATTTTGTAAAATATCACTCTGGGTTTTCACAAAAGCCGCATTAATGGTAATTCAAATCAGAATGTTTATTGCACACTGGTTGACTTCTATAAAGACTATAAGTTTATATCACTTATAATTTGTCACAGCAACTTTGAAATGCATATTTACCTAATTTTTCAAGTTTGCCTCTCTCTCTCGCGCTCTCTTTGCTTTATTGTCCACCGAGATTGCACCTCTTGGCGTGTGTGTTGAGCAATTTTCTGCGATGATAAGAGAAGTCACAAGAAAATCACGCGTGAAATTTGCTTATTTGCCATGCGAGTGAAAAACTGTCACTTTCGTGATGTGGAGAAAGCCATAAAACTATACCTTCAAATTCACTCTTTATCATGGAGAGTCCATGCAGAAGTGCGCGCGCGGTTTTCCTCTCAGGTCAATTTAACACGAAAGCACTTGAATGAATTAACATGCAAAATTGAATGGTCAATGTGACTTCAAATAGCACTGGGATCTCTTCTTAGCCAACAACAGAGCCGATGAAGAAAGATGTTGATCCACTCACGACGGTGTCCAGACTGTGAATGCGTTTCTGATTAAAGTGCTGAATGGGAGTTGGAGAAGGAGACCGAAGCCCAACACAGACGTAACTTGAGGGGGTCTCGTCGATATCGCCGAGAGACGTTGTCTTTGTGGGGTTTTACTGTATTATATATGCGGCAATAAAGAAATAAAGCATTAGGAATATTATGTACGGCGCATTGTATGTGAGTGGGCAACGATCACACGCCGAAATTACAGCGCGCGCGATAATGCGCTCAATAAGAGCGATTTAGTGCAAAAAACCGCCACATTCCACAGGTTGTTTTCAACAATCAATACAACAATAAAGAGAGTCACAGCGTTTGCAGGGCGAAAACAGGTGAAATATAGATGGAAATACATCAGAGTATTTAATTGGTCAATACATAGACACATTGCCAAAAGCACCCACCTTTTATCATATTGCATATTTACATAAATTCGTGGTGAAATTGAACTTGTGGTGTTTGTGAATTCAACACGTTGAGATACGATGGTATATATGATGTTCTTTTGCCGCCCATTGAATGTTGGTTAAAAGTGCGTTGAGCCCAAAGGGGTTTACACGTGTTGCAATCGCGAACGATGACTTTCACGCTTCAATCAGACGCAAAGAGATGTTGAGAAATGTGTGCTCATAAAATGAAAGGTGTCTATCGCAAATTGCGAAGGTTTATCGGCTGTCGAGGAAACACCGAGGAAATTATTAAATCAATTTCCAAGAAATGGATTACACGGAAAATAGGGAGAACAAACAGAACTAACGTCATTTGTATTTAAATCATACTAATAAAGCAATCAGAAAATGAAAAGAATTCCCATAAAATCTGAAGATAAAAGTGAACAGGTTGTATTTCAACTGACATTCGCGAACTCTTCAGTTGATGAAAGTGTTAAAAGGTGCTTGCAAAACCATATCGTCTTTTATTGAAACATATCCGATCAAAGTGCTTGGCAATGACAGTGAAAATATCATTTTATGACCGCACACGTTGAAAATTGATGAACCTCTCATTGAATTTCTCCTCTCAACTTCAATATTTGATTAAAGTCCAACTCTTGGGGAAATTTATGACTTGGTAATCATATCGCAATCGGCCATTTCGTTTTGCTAAAATATTGATTAGTGGAAGTTTGAGAGAAAAACGCCAAGGAAAGAAGTAGGAAGGGAAATACAGACAATCATATTGATCATTATATCTTATTCTGAGAATTCTACAGTTGAAAATCCCAATGATTTCATTTCGCACTTCTCAAAAGCTATCAAACACTATCTTCATCATGAGGGAGCACTTGTCGTGGTCTTTGATAACAATTTCAGCCAGTGTACGAGCAAGAATCTGAGACTTTATCAATGTATTTCCAATTGGGCAAATAAAATTGTGTAAATGTACGTGAAGTCTCATGAAAATGGGTTATTCTGATCTTATCATTATTTATTGTGGCTTCAATTTTCAGTTCAAGCTGTTGAAGTTGGAAAGCCGCGGCGTCAAATAGATTTTCAACACACACAATAGCGCAATTTCAGATGAAAAATCCATTGAATCTTTAGGTTTTTCAGCAGTTTACTTTCAATTTCTGTGTCAATGGCATGAGAAAATTCCATGCGTTGCGATATTTGATAAGAAACATTGGAATATTGATCAATTCTCAAGGGATTTCATCTCTTGCCACGAATAAGAAATTGTTAAATGACAAATTTTCCCAAAATAAGATCTGAATTACTCATCTTAATTAATGTATTTACTATTCCAAAGAGTGTAAAATAATTTACTCATATTGAATAATATTTATTCATCTGCTCAAGAAGCTTTTAAAATCGTTAAACTTAAGTTAAAGCGAAGTTTTGACTTCATTCCACTACAGCGTGGGCACTAATTATAGGTCCACTGCAGGTATCCGGGGGTAGGTAGTCTGGGGCAAAATCAAAAAATATCAAATATGGCGTTTGATTGCCTATCCATTGCCAAAACAAAACCCCCAATATGAGGCCCCTCCGCCGGATCCTAGGGATTCTAGGGAACTTTATCACTTTCTGGGCTGGCACTAATTATAGGTCCACTTGGGAATTTTCACTATATCTTAGCGAAAAAAAATCGGAATATTCTGAAAATCATAAGGATCCTTCATTTTGAGCCCAGAGACCATTTACCGTCGCCACACCCCGCCTCGGTCCTCCGTGGACCGCACTGTTAAAAGTCTTTGCCTAGTACTACGTGATCGCCCAATATGGCTCCTCCGCATTGGGGCGGGGGGCCCAATGGCCACAAACTCCTTCATAGGGCTTGATTGAAGCCTCTTGAGCATAATTGGGATTTCTGGCGCCGATACCCTTTCTGAATCCTGGCCTTAAGCACTTCTTCCAGGGTCTTTTTCTGCTTCTTCGGGCCCAAACCACCCCAACCCCCGGACCACCCCCAATGAAATGGGGCGAAAAGTTCTTGGGACACTTCTAGGAAACCCGAGGACCCTAGATCCGGGGACGGGTAGCGCCTCGAAGGGAGCGCCACACCGTGGAATGAGACCCATTCGAAAACCACCTAAAAGTGTATGGTTTTTCATTGAATTTCAACTGGCTCTCGTTCTACGTTAGGGCGCTCCCTCCGAGGCGCTACCCATCCCCGGATCTAGGGTCCTCGGGTTTCCTAGAAGTGTCCCAAGAACTTTTCGCCCCATTTCATTGGGGGTGGTCCGGGGGTTGGGGTGGTTTGGGCCCGAAGAAGCAGAAAAAGACCCTGGAAGAAGTGCTTAAGGCCAGGATTCAAGGCTGGTATTGGGGTCAGATAGCCCAATTATGCTCAAAAGGCTTCAGTCTTGCCCTATGAAGCAGTTTATGGGCATTGGGCCCCCCGCCCCATTGCGGAGGAGCCATTTTGGAATATCGTGTTATGCAAGGCAAAGACCTTTAACAGTGCGGTCCACGGAGGACCGAGGCGGGGTGTGGCGACGGTAAATGGTCTCTGGGCTCAAAATGAAGGATCCTTATGATTTTCAGAATTTTCCGATTTTTTTTCGCTGAGATATAGTGAAAATTCCCAAGTGGACCTATAATTAGTGCCAGCCCAGAAAGTGATAAAGTTCCCTAGAATCCCTAGGATCCGGCGGAGGGGCCTCATATTGGGGGTTTTGTTTTGGCTATGGATAGGCAATCAAACGCCATATTTGATATTTTTTGATTTTGCCCCAGACTACCTACCCCCGGATACCTGCAGTGGACCTATAATTAGTGCCCACGCTGTAGATGTCTCGAAAAACGGTGCTGTTCGTGGGAAACAGAGCAGAGCTTTCAGATCATGTAGCTTCCAAGTATCTATCAATGAACTTCATGGCGACGAAGAGTAAAAAACTCCAACTCGCATGATGACGATTAATTTCATATAAAGATATGATATACATTATATGATTTGGTGACGAGTGATCATCCGTTTTATCATCTGATTAAACACATTCATCTTCCAAATCCTGGAACAAGCGAGAATCCGCCTCGAGTTGAGGCTTTAACAGATGATCAAACATCATCCGCAAATTTACGTCGTTGAAATCAAGTGACGAAAAAGAATGACGATTTTGGGATTTTTTGGAGCGAATAAAAGGTCGGGAGATCATGAAGATCTTCACTTGTGAGAGAAAATCATTCGAAGTCGCAATGATGTCTCTGCGTTTCTGCGTTCTGTTCCTGGCTCTAGCCGCATCTTCTCTGGCCGCGTCTTCCCTGACCGCCAAGACTCCGCGTCTGCCCATCTTGGCCGGATTCTACAACACTGGGTCGTTGTCCAACAGCATCACCGTGATTTCCTCCAATACCATCCTGGTTCCTTCCTACAGCATGATGTCTTCCTCGCCAGCGGAGGTTCGCATCCGCTCCAAGGACACGCCGCCGAACGATTCCGGCGAGATCTACCGCGTCACGCGCATCCTGTACGATCCCAACTCCGACCCCATATCTTCGATGAACAGTTTTGTGGTTGCACGTCTGGACAGGGATATTGAGCTGGGAAAAGACCGGAAGGCACCCATTGTGTCCCGCGAGGCCGTGGTCGTGCCCGAGGGTCAGGTGTGCACCACTGTGCGCCGGTCCTACGACACTATCGGCTACCCCTCCACGACCTCCTTGAAGCACCAAGACGTGGTCGCCATCAGCAGCGATCAGTGCCGCGAGCTCAATCCCGAAATGTTTAGCGACGACAAATTCATTTGCATCGGGCCCATCAATCCCAATGGCGAGTCGCCGGATAACGAGTGCCAGGGGGACACCGGTGCGCCGCTTGTCTGCGACGGCCAGCTCGTGGGCATAAACTCATGCGGTAAGACGTCGGTGAACCCCTCGCATCCCCGTCTCGCTCTCTTCCTTTGCTTTCCTTGCAGAGATCGCTTGCTACGGCCATGCGTGCGCCTTCAGGAGAATCTCGAGCGTTGGAGACTTCGTCTTCGACCTGTAATTCCGATCCGGCAGCAACTCGCAGCGGCAAACGGACTTCAGCTGACAACACCCGAGGCGGAAAATCCGCCATTCCGGCTTTTAATGCGTCTTCGAAACGCTTTTGATCCAATAAAATTAACTTGAGCATTGCATTTCCTGCTTTTCCTCTCCGAACCACATAACCGCCCTCGAAAGATCTCGACGAGGATTTAGGGAATGAAGAGAACTTTTGTTTTAGCGCTGGGTAGAATTGCAGTCTCGTAAATTCACTGTGGACCTTTTAGAAGGAAGGAAAAACAAGTACTTGACCTTAAAGAAAAGTTCGTGATAACATTTTTAATACAATGCTTTTTAAGTCTGTGAAACTCACTTTTTGTTGACGGGGTGATTCTCTGGAATGCATTTCTTAGAGATATCATGTAGCGACTAATCAAAATCTTTTTGTCGTATAAATTATTATTATTTTTTATTTCGTAAGAGGTGGGGGGAGATAGGTTGTGCAGCCCGTGAAAAAACTTTTCCGCCGTGTTGCTCTAGAGGTTTGTACCATCATCACTCAGATATCGGTGGACGCAATCTACGCTCGCAAAAGCATGTTCTTATGAGCGAAAATAAATATATTTTCTATTCTATTCTATAATGCAAGAGAATAATACACATTAGAATTCACAAATTGTCCTCAAAATCAATGTCTGCAAGGGAAGACATGAAAATGAAAAACAGTAGAAGAATTCAGTGAATCAACAAAAATAGTTAAAGCTGTGCAACCAAACTTAAGTCTATAAGTTTATTGAATCCATCCATTCTGAAGTGAATCATTTTTGATAAACAATGAATTTTTCACAAACATCCGAACAATTCGGAGGCATAGAAATGTGTTAAAACATTTAGATTGACATTCAAGATTTCCGTGAAAGAAAAGAAAACATACAAAGTTTACATTTTTTGAATGCTGCGATATTTATTTATGTTTTTCCAACGACACGTGTCACTACATATTTTTTGCTGTTGCCAAAGTCCATTGTCGAAAATATTCTCTTCTTAGTGGCCGATAAAGTCTCTGAGATTGTCCAGCTTCCTGTAAGCGCACGCTTCGCCGAAGCACGAAAAATCTGCAATTGATAAAAGAACAGCTTATAGAGCTTCACAACTTTGGGCTTTCGTGTGGGAAAAGCTTACCGCACACGTTGATGGCCACGATGTAGCCGTCGCACACGAGCGGCGCGCCGTTGTCACCGTTGCACTGATTGTAGGGCGAAGTATCTTCGGGATTGAGGCCCACGCACACGTATTTGTCAGCAGGGAAGTCCGGATTGAGCTCGGCGCACTTCGAGCTGCTGATGACCTGCACGCGATGGTGTTCCTGCTCAAACCACGAGCTATGCGCAGACGTCTGCTCCGGCTTCCTGCGAACGGTGGTGCAGATCTGGCCCTCGGTCAGCGTCACATTGCCGGCGGGCAGCTCGGCGGGTTCGAATCCCTCCTCAGCCTCGATGTCACGGTCGACAGTGTACAATACATAGTCCATCTTCTGTTCGTAGTCGTGGATTTGCGGATGGTAGACGATGCGATTCAAGAAGTAGATCTCACCAGAGTCGTGGGATTGAGTGCCTTTCTTGATGTCCACGCCTCCTGTAGACCTGTTGAAAAGAAATGCAGCATCTTACCACGTCTGTCGATTTGTTTATTTGTTTTATGAACTTACAGAGCGCATTGTCCGACAGATAAGATTTGATTCCTGGACACAACGACTCCGCTGCAGCCGTAACCCACGGACACCTTGAAGGGAAGTCTCGACGTATTGTCACCCAGGGATGATGCGGCCAAAGCCAGGAACAAAACGCAGAGACGCAGAGACATCATTGTAACTTCGAATGATTTTCTCTCACAAGTGAAGATCTTCAAGATCTTCCTTGCCTTTTATTCGCTCCAGAAAACTCCGAAATATCGTCACTGAACCGCCAAACAATTATCCTTCGTCACTCATTTCAACCATTTCGTCAGTTCGCAGACGAAAGTGTTTTCTTGATCATCTGCTGAAAACACACCCACTTTTCGTCATCTCGAGGCGGATTCTCGCTCACTCCAGGATTTGGAGACAGAAGAAAATGTTTAAGCAATTGGCGAATCACAAGATTTGAACATTTTTTGGCGCTGACAAATATAAAATGTATTTTTACATTAAATTATATATTTCTCAGTCAACACACTTATTTGATAAGCAAATATTATTGCTTGGTTGTAGGAAATTCTCCAATGATATTAATTGTCGTCACCGTGGAAAAGAAATCGTCAGCTCAAAGTTTTGCCGTCATCAGATAATGATGGAAATGCGTCAGATGATTAAGGATGTATATTTAATGCTACTGTTTAATTAAATTATGATGAAATAAAATTCTCATCCGGTTCATATTTATCAAATCAACCTTCTTTAGTGTAAAATACATGACTGAAAATTGTGCCAATCTTAAGTTATCAATTGCAATTTGAAACGAAGACTTTTTACTCATGAGAACCATGTAAAGATACTGACATATTTTTGAAATCACAAGCATTCGTATATAATCACGGATTACTAACTTTAGTTCTCTTCCAGATTATTAAAAAAAAATAATTTCAACAAGCTAAAACTATATGTCATATTCCTTATTTATTAATTAAATTTAACTTTAAAAATTCTGACATAGCGTTTGTAAAATTTGCACAGAAAACATGAAGGTCAAGTGACTCATCACTCAGTCTTGAAAGCTTTTATTATATTCTGTGACTAAATAAGAAGATTCACTTCAGAATGGATGGATTCAATAAACTTATAGACTTAAGTTTGGTTATACAGCTTTAACTTTTTTTGTTGATTCACTGAATTCTTCTACTGTTTTTTATTTTCATGTCTTCCCTTGCAAACATCGATTTTGAGGAGAATTTGCAAATTCTTTGTATTATTTTCTTACCATATATTCACAGACTCAAACGCTATCATGAACTTTTCTTCAAGGTCAAGTACTTGTTTTTCCTTCCTTCTAAAAGGTCCAAAGTGAATTTACGAGACTGCAATTCTACCCAGCGCTAAAACAAAAGTTCTCTTCATTCCCTAAATCCTCGTCGAGATCTTTCGAGGGCGGTTATGTGGTTCGGAGAGGAAAAGCAGGAAATGCAATGCACAAGTTAATTTTATTGGATCAAAAGCGTTTCGAAGACGCATTAAAAGCCGGAATGGCGGATTTTCCGCCTCGGGTGTTGTCAGCTGAAGTCCGTTTGCCGCTGCGAGTTGCTGCCGGATCGGAATTACAGGTCGAAGACGAAATCTCCAACGCTCGAGATTCTCCTGAAGGCGCACGCATGGCCGTAGCAAGCGATCTCTGCAAGGAAAGCAAAGGAAGAGAGTGAGACGGGGATGCGAGGGGTTCACCGACGTCTTACCGCATGAGTTTATGCCCACGAGCTGGCCGTTGCAGACAAGAGGCGCGCCAGTCTCTCCCTGGCACTCGTTATCCGGCGACTCGCCGTTGGGATTGATGGGCCCGATACAGACGAACTTATCGTCGTTCCACATCTCGGGATTGAGCTCGCGGCACTTGTCGCTGCTGATGGCGATCACATCTTGGTGTTTCAGGGTGCTCATGTAAGGGTAACCGATGGTGTTGTAGGACTGGCGCACGGTGGTGCACACCTGGCCTTCGGGCACGTCCACGGCTTCGCGGGATACCTTAGGCGCTTTCTGGCCCTTCTCCAGCTGAATATCCCTGTCCAGACGCACAGCCACAAAGCTGTTCATCGAAGATATGGGGTCGGAGTTGGGATCGTACAGGATGCGTGTGACGCGGTAGATCTCGCCGGAATCGTTCGGCGGCGTGTCCTTGGAGCGGATGCGAACCTCCGCTGGCGAGGAAGACATCATGCTGTAGGAAGGAACCAGAACGGTGTTGGAGGAAATCACGGTGACGCTGTTGTACATCGAGCCCATGTTGTAGAATCCGCCCAGGATCGGCAAACGCGGAGTCTTGGCGGGCTTGGCGGCCAGGGATGATGCGGCTAGAGCCAGGAACAGAAGGCAGAAACGCAGAGACATCATTGCGACTTCGAATGATTTTCTCTCACAAGTGAAGATCTTCAAGATCTTCCCAGCCTTTTATTCGCTCCAGAAAACCCCAAAATCGTCATTATCTTTCGTCACTTGTTTTCAACCACGTAAATTTGCGGATGATATTTGATCATCTGTTAAAGCCTCAACTCGAGGCGGATTCTCGCTTGCTCCAGGATTTGGAAGATGAATGTGTTTAATCAGATGTCTTATTTTTTTTTAATTCGTACTGGAATCATAATTTATTAGAGAATGCGTGAAAAGTGGAAAAGACAAATCAAATAATTGTTCAATCGTTGTTCGATAAGAAGTTCTCATTTTCCTTATTAAAGCTGCGAACTTCAGAGGTGTTAGCCTTTCCCAGCTTCGATGGCGAAGGACTCGAGAAAACAGGAGATTGCTCAGAGTTCTCTTCGCGAGACACCACTGGAGATTTTACCGGGCAATCATCGCTTGAGAGATTGTTGGACTTCCAGAGGAAGAGATCAGCGTTGCTTCCTCCGGAGGCGAAGTAGGCGCCATCCTTGGAGAAGGCCACCGATCGCACAGCGCCTGCTTTGGTGTCCAGGGAGTAGATGTACTGGCCCTCGAGCAGATCGCACACTTTCATGGTGCCATCGTCGCTAGCCGTGAGCATGTACTTCCCATTGGGATGGAAAGCCACAGAATTCACTGCGTCGGTGTGATTCCTGTAGTATTGAATCAGTTCGTTCGAGCGCACGTCGAAGAGCTTCACGGTGCTGTGAGACAGAGCGATGGCGATCATCGGCGTGTCCGGATGCCAAGCGACGCTCTTCGGGAGGCCTGAATGAAAGGAAGATCGTTAGTATCGAGAAAAAAGAGATGGAAAAGATGATTTCTCACCAGTCTTCTGCTGGAACGTGGCCAGACACTGTCCAGTCTCCATGTCCCAGGTCTTCACGGTTTTGTCATCAGCGCAGCTGCCAATCAGACCGTTATACGGCGCCACCCGGACGCAGCGCACCCAATTTGTGTGGCCCGTGAAGCTCCTCATGAACACCATGTCCTTCAGTGTCCAGAGCTTCAGGCATTTGTCATCGCCGCCGGTGACAAAGCTCTTCCCCGTTAGGTCGAAGTCCACCGATCTAACGGGCGATATGGGGATCCGGACGCCCCTTGACTTGCCGCAGAGCTTCGGGGACCAGACGCGAACGTGCTGATCCGTGGAGGCAGTGGCGAAGACGCTTCCTGTGGGTGACCAGGCCACGTCGTGGACAGCCTTCGTGTGCCCCTCGTACTTGAACACCCTCTCGTGCTTCGTGTAGTGCCAGAGAACGACACTGCTGTCGCTGGACGTGGTCACGAGCATTTCCTCACGTGGATGAAAAGCCACTCCTGTGATTCCTTCCCGGTGGCCTCCCTTGAAGTGGCGCACCAGACTTGGATCACTAGTCGAAGATCCCGCCATGGATGATGCAAATGTAGAAAATATCACGGGAAAAGTGAGAAAATCACAAAACAATACAGCACGAAACAAATTGAACAGTGACAACTACGTTTAACGGAAATATCACCTATGCGCTGACTTCACAGAGGCGCTGCTGGCGCTATCCTCACTTTGCTGTTAATAGGTTTTCCAGATACATTTAGATGGATTTTTGTTGCTTTTCACAAAATACACTGCTCTGGAGGTGTTTTGAGTCGAAATTAGTTGATATGGAAAGTCGATTTTCATACATTTGTTCTTGCTTCGGCAGAACATATACTAAAATTGGAACGATACAGAGAAGATTAGCATGGCCCCTGCGCAAGGATGACACGCAAAATCGTGAAGCGTTCCACATTTTTTTGCAAATATTTTTTTACTCTCCAACACAATTCTATCTTAACTTGCCTCTGAGTTAAATTTAATGGGGAAATTATACAGATTTTGTGAAGAAAACACCGATAAAAAATGAGATTTTCTCATGCGTATTGTTTTGCCGGCTGGCCGTGTGTATTGTGAGGGCGACACCTGTTCTCCATGTCAATTGTTTGGCGGCTCCAGTGGATTTCCCGGATTTTGCTCAGATACATGGAAAACACCCGTGCCAGCGAGTGCTTATTGCAGAGTGTTGGTGGAGAGTACAAGGATGTGAAGATCTCTGAGGGAATATCATACATCGGCCGCTCACCAGAGACGCAAATACAGGATGTATTCTGCTCCAGAAAGCAAGGTTAGGTTGTGAAGGAAATGCAGAGCCAAGAAAACCCTCGTAAATGTGTTTTTCTTCTGCACAGTCATGCTGAAGGCGGATTTTTCTCAGAGAGTGATTGAGATTGTGCCTCAGGGCATGAACAACAGCGGACTCAATGGCCAGGAATTGGAGAAAAAGAAGACTTACCAAGGTCGCCATGGAGATGTTCTTGAGGTCGTGTCTGGAAAGTATTTCTACAAAATCCTCTTTACACTGGATTCGGGAGAGACATCCGAGGTGTCAGGGAAGAGAAAATTAGACAAGAAAGCCGAAAATGAGACTGGGAGTTCAAAAACCCCCGCTAAAGTGGCGAAAATTGAGGTGAAAAGCGAGTCCATTGAAGCATTGGATGGCAACAAGTTGTTCGTCTGGACATCATCCGGGATAGTGTCCAGCGCTAAGATTGCGTCCTATGACATCGACGGGACCATTATCAAGACCAAGTCGGGGAATGTCTTCCCCAAGAACATCGATGACTGGCAGCTGGCGTTCGCTGAGGTGCCGGGAAAACTGAAGAAGTTTCACACGGAAGGCTTCAAGATTGTCTTCTTCACGAATCAAGCCGCAATCTCGAAGAAGAAACTCCGAATTGAGGACTTCACGGGCAAGGTGAAGCGTATTGTGGCGAAGATTAATGTGCCGGTTCAAGTGTTCATCGCCACTGGCTCGGGCATTTACAGGAAGCCCATGATCGGCATGTGGCGCACGCTGGAGGAGAAGTTCAATGACGGCATCCGGATCGACATGCAGGAGAGCTTCTTCGTGGGCGACGCCGCGGGCAGACCTGCAGCAGCAGGTCGGAAGAAGGATCACTCGTGCAGCGATCGTCTCATGGCCGTGAATCTGAGCCTGACTTTCTCAACGCCCGAAGAGCACTTTCTTGGATCGAAAGCCGTCTCGTGGACTCGCCCGGAATTCGATCCCAAGGTCAGCACTGCCAAGAACCTCCTCGAACCGTCGGACGCTAAATTGCAGCGTGATGAGCAGGAAATCATCGTGATGTGCGGCAGTCCGGGCTCTGGAAAGTCCTCCTTTGTCAAAAGCAACTTCAAAGGCACCAAATACGAGATTGTGAGTCGCGACAAGCTGGGAACGTGGCAAAAATGCGTCTCCGCGGCTCAAGGCGTCCTGCAGAGAGGCAAATCCGTGGTTGTGGACAACACAAATCCCGACATTGAGAGCCGCAAGCGATACTCAGAGTTGGCCAAGCAGTGCAAATGTCGCTGTCGATGCTTCCTGATGAACACATCTGCGGCCCAGGCAAGACACAATATCGTCTTTCGCGAGCTTACTGATCCAGCGCACGTGAAAGTCAACGATATGGTGCTGAATTCATACAAGTAATGCCGCACGCTTATCAGGAATTGTATACTTGAGAAATTGCGCCTAATCATGCTTCCCCAAATTGTAGATCCAAATTCAGAGAGCCGCAGACTTCGGAGGGATTCGATGAGATTGTGAAGGTGAACGTTGTGCAGAGATTCGACAAGAAGGAACATGAGGAGCTCTACAGGATGTTCCTGCTGGATAAATAAATGACGAGCTCGGTTTCTCCGTTCTTTGAGGTGCTCTGCAATATTCTCGAGGTAGGAGTTATTTCGTTCGCATATTGAGATTACAGTGGTGGGAATGTTTATAGCGCAGCAGTGTGTTGTTGAAGGATTTTCCCGGAATTTTTCCTCCTGAATCTCAATATTTATGTTCAATTTTCTGGGATATTTTCAATGAAGTGATTTATTAGTTTCTTCTGTGAAAAACCTATCGAATAGCTTCAGAAATCGTATGATTTCTCAATCTCCTTATGAAGAAAACTCCTTGAAAATGAGCTAAAAATTGCGAAGAACTTTAATGGAATTTGAAAGACAACAAATTTAAATTGAAATCCAATTTTAACACATTTATTTTCAATTAATTATCATTTTGAATCTATTTTCCAGGATTATTTAACACTTAACAAGAGACTTTTTATTACAATGTGTAACTATAAATAATTATGTGTCTGTGAGCAATTGATTGAGAGATTTTACCTTATCAATTTTTTCTATCAGAGAAGAAGACTTCGAACAGTTTCATCAGAGCGTCTTTAATCCCATTTTCTATCACTCTTTATCAACAACTGAAGCAATAACGTTCCTTCGGCGAGTCTTTATCAGATTTTTTTTCTTCAAAATATCATTAGCTCGTCGTGAGATAAAAGAAGGAAACCGTTCACAGAGCAAAAGCGGCACATTACCATTACCATATGATTACATAAATGCTGGAGAAAGAGATGCAGATTGTAATCTGATACGATTGTGAATAGGCAATAATTCAATTTATAACTATAAAGGTATTTTGTTGTTAAATAAACTACTGTTTCACGACTTTGAATTGCTAATGTTCGCAAGATGTTTCAATGAAATCCATTTCCTCGTGCAATTGCAATGCGAGATCGGCAATGTGATGAAAAAAAAATGCTGGAAGAGTGAGAGCGATATTGATTTGAATCCCTCGGGTTTACTCAATTAGTGTCTCTATGGTCACAACGCGACTCCGGCGCCCGTGTCCTTTCAATAATTCAATGATACTTGACTGGGAGTCGTGTGAGATATCGTGTATACATGAGTGAATGACTGGAGAATGCCGCGATATGATATTTGTGTGGTCATTTTGAATTATTTCTCTTGTGGCATCGTGCTCTCAATTGATGGAATTGAGGAGCATTTAAATGTCTCTCTCTCTCTCTCTTGAATGGCATTTGAGTGAATTGTGATGTGACCAATTAAAAGTTGTATCATTAATAAATTTGTCGTATTACAGAGTGTCACTAGCATTAATAAAGACAATATAGACTTGATTATTTGAATAAATATTTGAGCATGTCCATTTATGTATATGTACAATAACTGAAAAGATAATACACGGAAAAACATGCGATAAAAAACTATTTGCACAGCTTTTTACAGAAGAGAGTTTGCCATGTCAATAAGATTTCTAATAGCTTGTCCAACGCTTCTTTACTCGCGGCACTATGTGAAAATTCTTGCCATAAAGTCGCGTTTCATTGGCGTATGCTATGATCGTGGAAAATCTGAAAACATTCTTGTTTATCATTGCAATAAATGCACACTACGCCTATGCGAAAGCATAAATATTCAATCAATCTAAATTGAATTTCTCTATATTTCCTATTTTTCCCACTTTCCTTTGGTCTAATTTCGTAAAAATGGCTAGAAAACTTTTTCTCCCAAGCACAATGCTAACAATGTAATTATTCTGTAGGTTAGTTTAATTCCTAGAAATGACTTTCTAAATGTTTTATGCTGCGAAAACAACACCAAGGACATGATTTCAGCATTAAAAAAGAGTAATTTTGTAGAGACAATGAAGAATTACACTGAAATGCACAATGAATACTTTAAATATGTTGCTCTTGCAAAATAACATCTTTCAATTTTTTAATCCAATTAGAATATTTTTAGCCATTCTGTTTGCTGTACAAAAACATGTCCAGTGGAGTTTTTCTCTGAGTTCTGAGCATGACTTGTGACTTGGCGGAGAGCAACAAGTGTCTGTGCGTAACAGTCAAGGTCGGAGTTGAAATTGGCTTTTTCACCTGTGGAAAGGTATCTGAAAGAGGCGTAAAGAGTGAGAGCTTTGATTGAAAATGAGTTGTTTTATGCAGTGTAAGGGTAAATATGCTATCCATCCTCTTGCAGCGGAACTTCAAAAGCTGCCAGTATCAAAGTCTGCTTTTCGCACTCTTTTTTACATTAATTGTTTGTATCACGCTGCGATTTTTTGCATCACCACTCGCTCTCGTTGTTTTCCAACGATTTTCCAAAGGGAATAAAAGTTAAAAGTGCGTATTAATCGAGGTCGGAGTTAAAATTGGCTTTTACACCTGTGGAAAGAGCTTTGATCCCTTTGATTGAGAAGAACGTGTTTTATGCAGAGTGAGAGTAAATATGCTTTCAATCCCCTGGCAGAGGAACTTCAAAAGCTGTCAATGTCACATAGAGTTTTTCTCACATTAACACGCATTTTTGCTTATATTTAATTAATGTTTGCATCACGCAGCGATTTTTTGCAGCATCACTCGCTCTTGCTGCGATTTTTCCAAGAGAATAGAGCCAAAAGTGTGTGTGTGTCAGCACGCTGCATCGCGCTGGGGAGGCGTGCAGTGGCTGTGGAGGGAATTGGCATGGAGTGAGCGTGTGTGCACCTGTGTTGTGGCGCAGAGGTGTTGGAGCTTCGGGCACCTGAGAGAGCGAGTGCGACAGAGAAGGCGCATGAGATGGAGAGAGAACCAGTTCAAGTGAGTGCGCGCTCCAATCGTTGTAACGGACAGTTGAGTCCATTCCACACAGCACAGAGTGTAGTTTTCTCAGTTGTGAAAGACAATTCAGCAGACGAAGACGAATTTAACACAGCTTTTCCACCGAGGCATTCACTTGCAGTGAAGTTGGGCAATCTCGCGACTAGAGTTTCTAGTTTTCGCGGTGTCGCGCTGATCTTTTTTCTCCTCTCCTTTCTTGCGCCTTTGAAGAAAGCCTCCATAGTCGGGCTAATATTGAAGCCCGTGTGACAGAAGTGCTGTGCAGTGAATAGTGAAAATGTTGATTTTGATGATGATCTACACATTTGAAGAAATTAATATTTGATTGGAGATCTATACCGACGAGATTGAGGCGCAGGAGATCTTCTATTTGGCCATTTTTGTTAACCCTGTTCTGCTGGTGAGAACGCTGCTGAGGATCCTGATTGTTTTATCTGTTGCGTTCACGTTTTATTATCGCATAATTTTCTAAAAGCTGATTGCGAGCGAGATGGAGAACTTCAGCGACTAAATTTACCGAAGGTGCATAACTCAGGTATGCATTAAAGCGCAAAACTTGCGATGGTTTTCTTCTTTTTGTGAAATTTTGCAATAGATCAACCCATATATACATCATAGTCACTGGTGTGCGTTTTTATTTACCATCATTTTTACTCACTTTGCTCATATTTTGATTGCATTCTCTCCATGGACAAGAAAAGTCTTTGCTTTATACTGCAAATACATACATATGTACGTATGCGCGACGTGATTTAACGTGTGTTTGTTGATCTTCTCTTTCCCATATTCGTGTAAATAATCTGGATAATTTGCCATTTTTTTCCTACCCTGCAGTCGTTTGGTCAATTTTTTCCTATCTGGATGTTTTTTTTCGCGTAGGTGTGGAAACAGATATGCAATTTTCATTAGGGGATGGACGGAAAATATTATTAATTCGCCAAGAGCATATTTAGCGAAAAAATGTCCTCTAAATGCTGAGATGTGATTAATGTTGGTAAATGTGTCAGTAACAGAGTTGAAACAAGTAAAGAAATATCTTGTTCAGTCAAAATAATATCTAGCAAAAATATTAAGAAAGCATTGGAAGGCATGAATTGTTATACTTTTGTAATGTGTTTACTCGCTGTTAAACTGATCTCTATAATAAAAAAAAAGTCGTTTTAAATTTCCTTTCAGTGTAGAGTTTTTTCTGAGAAATGTGTTCAAAAGTCAAGATATCAAAGGATTTTTTTAGCTAAAAATCAATTACAAATAGAAACTGAAAAATGTATTTTTGAAATGTTTTTTATTATCAAAAACGAAGTGCTTTATAAAAGAAACAAAGCATAAATTTGTCTAAGCCAAATAATGTTCTTTTTCACTCGGAAACAAGACAATCAGGAGAAGTGATCGCGGTTTAATCTCAGTGGATTTCCCATCAGAAATGAATTTGTTATCGCGTTAACGTATATTTTCATTTTAGAGAGAACATTAATAAAATACAATTTCAAATTTATAAGCAAATTTCCGGACACAATAACTAAAATCGTCGTATTTCTCTCAAGCCACCTGGCATAATGGAAAATTTACTCAAGTTCCGCTTCATCCTCAAAATCTTCTCAGTTCCAATCAGTTTAATAGAATTGTCAATTCTTGTGCTGTTAATATAATCGGGTTTCAAAAGACAAGCCATCTGCAGGTGCCAAGTGACTTAGATTTATCTCCAAACATGGAAGTCAGAAAGCCTTAATTTGATATTATTGGATGCTTTTGAAAGTGTTTCTCGACTGACCTCAGTGATTGATGGAGCTTTGAAATATATTAATGAAAAAAAAGCATCTCGCCCATCTTGCTAAGTGAATAGCAATTTCGTATGATTGTTTTGCCGGATTCACAATCATTTTCCCTCTATAAATCATCAGCAGCAATTTTAAATATTTTTTTTTTATGGCTTGTCTGACTGAAACTCTGGGCATTTCCATCGCACTAGACATGATGTAAAAAAACAGTCAATCTTGTGCATTTCTCTTTGAAGGTGAAACAAAAAGTCATGCAACAAAGTGGCGAAGAGACCGAAAAAGAAATCTCAATTGGAATTTTATCGTTTGTCGGTCAGAATGATCAATTTTCTGTCAGTTTGCACGTCATTTGAAGTGTATAGAAACTCTGTGGATGAGGAGAGATTGTTTGGGTGAATTTTTTCATCGTGGAATCACCTCTAATCTCAACATCTTTTTTGCACATCCTCAACGGAGTTGTAAAGTGTTTCTCTAATTGAAGTCAAATCCGAAAAGCAATGGCAATTTGAGTGGTGGCAACAAATGGTCGAACTTTACAAGCGAAAGTTACAGTTTCCTGCAACAGGAAATATTATTATGTACACTGTTATAAATGTGTGTATTTCACTTATAAAAAATAAAATAAAATGGATAACTTCAATGAAATACACACACGCGCATTTTTATGTGGTACAAATTCATTTCAGTGGAATGCAAATAAAAGTAGTGCACTAGTTTCAGCACTGCTGTGTTATTTAGATTAATAAATCAGGATTTAACTCTGTTTTGTGTGTGTGTGTGTTACTGTGTAATTCTCAGCCATCTCAATTGTGGATTTCTTCACTTTGTGGCAATTGTCAAATTACTAACTCTTGTGCAGAAAGTGGACTAGGAGTTTTCCTCCAGCTTCTCTGGTGAATCTGTTCATGTGCCACAGAAAGACTTTCCGGATTTGCCTAGTGTCACAGAGAATCACAAACAAAAGCTCTTTTCGTCTTTGTCGGCTTCTCTCTCTCTAGCGTGGAATATAATTAAGCAAATATTTACTTTACGCGTTAAATGATGATCTTCCAAATGGTTTTCCATTGAAGACACACAAGATTGTGTGGCATAATTTCCGCAATGTATTCCCTGCATTTGATTTCATCAACGCTCTTCTGATCGTCATGGATTCTTGTAAATCAAGATTGTATGTTTTGATTGAGAATTAAAAACAAGCAAATGGCCACTTGATGAGCGATTTTGCGTCAATCCCAAATATAATGCTCATTAGTTAATATTCTAGAACCAATCCATAAGATTTAAGCATGGCTTGGGGATTTCCAATTTCATTATAATGAATCTTGAGTGTTTTGTTCATACAGAATATTAGGAGAAAAAAGGAGTAATCAAGCTTAATTCTTGTGATAAAAATCACAACTAAAGTAATTTAGAAGGCTTCACATGCTGTAAAATTCGTTATTTTATTGAGTTAATCATTCTTGTAGAACCAAAATATCTATTTTTTAAATACACAGGAAAGACAGATTACATAATTTTCAATGATGGTCAATCATTGATGGATAGCAGTTTATTGTAGATAATTTTATTTTAATTATACGTCATTGGGTAAATTTCACATTCTCTCTGTGTCGAGAGCGTCGAGAGAGATTGAGAAGACAGCTGAAGAAGTGATTGTGTAATTCGTGAAGATCACCAAAGGTGTCATTTATTGAATGATTATAATGTCTTGGGCGTAATTTAAAATGTGGTAAAATTGCGGATTGCCTCGCGAAGGCACTTTTTAATTTCCATCCGAACTGTCTCGTCGATTATATTCTTCAATTTACAGTGGAGAGCAAAAGTGACAGAGGATTTTTAAAATTCTGTCTGTAAGTCTGCCTGACTAATAAAATGATACAATTACTTATAACACATTCTTTAGTGCAAAACTTTGAAAAGTGGTTCTTCGCGCATCGCACGCAATTTGTCACTTCCTCAAAAGGCATCTTCATGTGCCCAAGAAATTGTCTTGATTGGATATATTCTTCCTTTCTTCTGGGAGTGCAGAACAGAAAGTTTCTGTAATTTATTTCTAGTTAATTTTCGAATGTATTGAACGCAAACTCTTGGAAAAAGGGTGACTAAAACGTTGCAAAAATTACTTTTATTATCATTTTTAGACATCTTCAGAATTAAACTTAAAATCAAGCTCAATTAGGGCGACAAAATAATATTTAGGCATTCAAAAATATGCGTAATTTTGAGCACAAAGCATAAAATGTGTCGCACTTTAGAGCTTTAGCGAATGGTTTGCCGTTCACTGTATGGGAAACACAAATCTTTCTTGTCAGACTCACGTGAATTTCGCATCGGACGATCGTGCTCGAGGGAGAAGGAAGGTGGGAAGTATTAGTCATGGTATAGTCTGTATATGATGCTGTCGCTTCCATCATTATGAAATTTAGTGAAAGTTTTCCGTGGCCAGATGATCATCGCGAGCTCGTTATGCGAGTGAACCAGCGCTACACAAACATAGCCGAAGAGTCTTTTCTCCGGGCATAAAAGACACTCAATGGTCTGAACTTTTCACCGCCTTTTCCCCCATCTCATTTCCTCTTCTGCAAATGAGAATAGACGCGGTGTTTTGTATTGTTGTTTCTTTTTTAGAAAATGTTCAATGAAACTTTTTTTTGTGTGGTGCTGTGCTTTCATGTAGAGTACTTAATGAGTCGTTTGATGATCGTTCATTTGGAATTTACGTGTTCGTGCGGTGTGAAAGAAATCGTGTGTTTTTCAAATGAAATTTCTTCAATGATCTCTCAATGGATGTTTTCGGAGATGATTTTGTGAGATGGAATGCATTGAAAACCATTCGCACATGGAAGTACACAAGCTTACGTGCTTGCCGATGTTTGCGGAATTTAAAGTATAACCGCAGGTTTGCCGCAAAAAATCTCCCTGATTTCTGCGTTTATTTCTTTCTATATTAGATGTTTGCTGATTATTTTAATTGCTCATGATAATATCCTGCAAAATGTATGCAAAATCCTGCTCTTGACTTAATTGCCGTGCTTGAACTTCATATTTGTGTTCAGGGCATTTTTGAGATGAATTTCAAGAGCTTTAGGTCCTCATTAAAATCCTATTAGTAGTTTATAAAATAATGAAAATAATTGAGTGTGTTAATTATTATTAAGGCGAGTGGGAATGAAGAATGATGATTTTGCAAGCGCATTATAGAAGAATACGGAGAGTACTTGAAATTGAGCTCTTGACCTTATCAATATTGCACCAGTGAGGGATGCACACTCGTCGGGAAGGCAGGAATTAATACTTTACATGAATGTTGCGCTATAATGTGGGGAAGGGAAATGCATGCGGTTCAATTGAGTGCAAAAAATGAATGAAAAATACACAGGTTTCCTCTCACACACCCTCAAAGCAGTAGAAAGACTCTGTCTCCAGAAAGGTCTCCCACACAATTGCACATATTGACAGATGCGATTGTACATTTGAATTGAAAATAAGGTAGAATGTTTTGCAAGTGTGAGAAAATTTGATTTGACGGACAGAGACAATTCAGATGTCTGGTGGAAAAACCACGAAAGGCAAAGAAAACTTATATTTTCACCTCTCACTTAGGCACAGCAGAGTGATGAGTGTATGAATTGATGTATTTAATCACTAGTTTCAAATTAAAGTCATGACATGAAGGTGTATTTCATGTTGAACTTTTTGCCTCCCCTGTGAAAAGTGGGAAAACCCGCGACGCACGAGCGTTCCTTCTTCATTGGGTGCATCATATTGATTAGAATGTGTGCCATATTATTTCAATATCACCCTGAAAAATTCACGTCTAAAGATGCCATTTAACTTGTAATATTAGTAAAGGGGATACTCATTTAAAGTCGCTAATCACTGAAGTCGTGATTTTAACAATAAAATCTTTTTAGCACATTAATTTTTTGAACAAAAACTTACATAAGCAATTTTGCAGTGCCGAAAATTGCCACAATATCAAAAGAAATCGCACTTAACCTTAATATTTAACCTTCCTATGTAATTGTTTGAAATTTCGGATTGAGATTAAGTTCTTTTCGTTTTGGTCCCAGTTTTGATACAATTTCCAGGTATAATTCCTGATTCCTTTTCGTAGTTTTTTCTGTTCTTATAATTGTACGTGATTTCTGCCAATGACTGACCCCTTACATCAACGTCCGTCATCTGAAAATCCATTTTCGCATTTGCATCAGCATTAATTCCTTTGACGTGAATGACTGTGTACAAACTCATCGCTGTCTTCAGTGGATTTCAGCACATTTGCGGTGGAGGATCATTCACATTAGCGTCCGGTTAATTAATACATAGAGGTGAATTGGTCAGTTGTATGAATGGCTGCATGTTGAAGGTATGCGCTGAGCTTGTGAGACTATCACCTTATATAAATTCAACTCGTGAGTGCCAAATGGAGGAACGATTATTGTTTCACACGATAATCAAAGTAAATTACCGATGATACGCGATATACATTTAAATGACTCTAGTGAAAAATTTATTGTCCGTTCAATGAATATTTATTGCGAATTGTACAATTACCGTGATTGATTTCAATAAATCACCTTGATCCTCTGTGAACTCCAACACTCCGGCCGACTCCTTCACACGTCATCTTTCTTGTCCAATCATCTAATTATACCGGCTGAATTCCTCTCGTGTTTTACAATAGGTGGATACAAGATTTTTCACATTTTCATCGCTTTTAATCAGAGGAAATTAATGAAATTCTGTCATGCCATTTTGTTAAACATAATAATACATATTTAGAGTTCAGAATATTATCTTTATGCATTCATGGAACATTTCACCTGGATTTTTTTTAATAGAAGCTAATATAATATGTTTTAATCTTCTTAACGCATGTATTACTTCACAAATGCTGGGAATATTTCCTTTATTAATTTCCGTATTGTCCAAAGAATCAATAATGGTGAATGCCCGCCGAGAAGAACCCTGTAGATTTTCATTGAAGCCACCTCTCAAGCTTTGTTCAACACTCAGAGACTCGATAATTCAAGAGCTTTTCAACGTAAACCACATATTTCCAATATAATCATATTCGCTGGAAGCGCGCGTCTCTCTTTTGGTTTATTGTTGTTCACCATTCGAGGCAAGAGTGCACCTCATTCACCTTGACCCATTTCATAATATGCAGTCGCTCTCGTGTGCTTTTTTCTCACTCTTGCCTCAACGCCTCATTGATCAATTGAGTTGGAGAGATGCTAATTATTTTAAATAAGATCGCGCAATCTCTCTTGGAAAATTTCCACAAGAATTCAATTCATTTCTCATTGAGTTGATTGATCTCGATGAGTTTGTCGGCGAAGAGGCACTAAATCACACAATTGGCCGTGATCGTGGCGAAAGATTGCGCGCCAATGCGATCATTAGCTGTGGATTTATTGGCAGTCGCGTGCTGTGATGAATTCCATTTGGATAATGCGATGCTCTTCCACCTTTGCAGCTTGATGAAATGCCCGCTCTCCGACTATTTGGCAGGAAGTGGCTGGCTGCTTCGGATGACCTTGTCTTTCCGGCACTCTTTGAAATATGCTTTCGCATCGTTTGGTAAGTGACTTATGTCTTGAGGAATTTTGCCATCTGTTGTCAACAATAGTGTTTCCGCATCTCCATTTGAGGTCTTTTTTCCATTGCAACTCTTATGTAAGAATCACAGTGAATTGTAGCAACATACAAGCCGCTTTTCAGTCTTTCTCAGGTGTGCCAAGTTCGATAATTCTAGAGTCTTTCAGCTTCAACGAGTGCACATACGGCAGCAACAGTGTTGCAAATTTAATTGAATGTTGCAGAAATAATACAAACAGTTGTACGCAAAAAAATATCACAGAAATCAGTGAGATAAGAATTCTCAGAATTCTTAACAAGAGTGCTGTGCTGAGCTGCTGCATTCCTTGTTTTTTTTATCAATTTTTCATACAGAAAGTTTACTTGGGTGATGACAAGCAATTAATTGCGTATCTATTGAGAAAATCTTAATTATAGGGTTGTTTTAGCGCAAATAATTGATCTGTAAGCTATTATTTGCAGAATAGCATATTAATTTCATTTGTACTTTTCTCACTGCCTTTATGGTACTTGTATTAAAATTCAGCTTCCTGATAATATATAGCAGGAGTTTATATGAAGATTTTCAGAGAATTTTGCAACATTTGATCAGTTCTTTTAGATGTCACTGTAAATGAGGCAATTCTCTTGAGCCAATTTGCAGTCTTTAGCTGACTTGTGCCTTTGCAGGTTAATTTTAATTGGAATTGTCACGGAACACTACTGGGATCAAACATGGAACTGCATAGAAGACGGTTTGGGGGTGCAAATCTACTTGGGCGGAACTCTTGCTCTTATCATTCTCAATTTGCTGCTGCTGATTGGATTGACGAACCGGAGTGCGCAAGGCAGTATCACGGAAACGCACTTGAGACGAATGGTCGTGCCGCTGTTGGTTTTCAAGTGAGTGTTGAAGCTCTTCACTCACCCTATCTCTCTTATCACACTGCAAGTTTATCCGATTTACTCTCACGCACAGGATTTGTCTCATCCTTCCTGAAATTGCATTGAACATCTTTGGCACAATTTGGGCGTTCTGCGATATGATTAAGTGCACGACAGGGCAGAAATTCGCGAGGAATGTGATTGAAGGTGAGTTGGGAGAAGCTTGGCGGGAAATTGCAGAGTGGTGGTCATGCTGCGCGCCCGCCTGGGAAGGTGGTGTGCCGGAGAAAACCGCCAGTGAGGCAATAATTGGTGGGGCATCGTGGAAGCGACTATGTGAAAAACCATATATTTAAGTGGGTCAGCAACTTCTTTACGTCAGACAGGCGACAACCACGCCAAGTTCATTCACACACAGAATCTCACGATTGAGCCTCGTGCCGATGAGGCGCACGACATGTTTGCATATCTTTCCCAGTCCATATTTCGTCAATACAGACAATTTTATTTATACGTACATAAAGTGTACATTTTCCCAAAAGAAGGTGAAACTTCAATTTACAATTCATGAACACTGGAATTATGATACAATGTCTTGAATATATTTTTGCTCTCGACTGTAAAATAGGAAATTTATTTATTCACTACGGATCTTCAAATACATTTTAAAGCTTTATCTCAATTGAAATGGCTTTAATAGTGTGTTTACAATAAAAGTGCGACTTGTTTCTTAATTTGGAGCAAATAACAGAGTGATATTTTGACTGCCTCTCTGTGAAAATTATGAATTTTACAATACATAAATGATAGCAATTGCAATGAATATTAAGTACACCGAAATATCAGTAAATTAAAGTGTTAAGTCATCATAAATACAGCTGAAAAGTTCTCTATTATTGTAATCTCGCACATATTGAAGTGTAGGCAGAGATTCTCACTGTAAGTGTTTAGTTAGGCTCTTGAGTGTGAGAGAAGTCTCTGTTCTAACTGTGAAACATGATGTCATTTCTCAACAGCGATCGTCCTCTTCAATTGGGTCCTATTCGCGCTAATTATCTTCGGCATGGCGATCGTCTTCGATCCACTGGGCTCGACAAAATACAAGCGCAGCCGCGATGCCAATGACAACAATGGGCCAATAGAGTCGGCATTCCACCGAAAAGTGTACAGTCTTTGGATGAGGCGCTTCCGCTGGGTCTTCTGCTGTCTGCGCAAGGATGAGTTCGGCCACGAGGCGTTCGCTCAGGCGGCGAGTCTCTTCAGTGCCCTATTTCGGGGCACAGATCTCGTGCCATCGGACTTTATGGCCGGTTGTGTGCTTCTCCGCGTGCGACAGAAGCGTGAGACGCGCGAAATGCGACGCATCCGGATGCTGAATGACGACGGGCCACGCTACTCCACAGACTTGGCCAGGATCTTTGCCACTGCACCACCATGGATGACGCTGAAGAATGCCAGGCACTTCATGAGATTCGCTCTGGCCAGCTACGGATGGCCTCTAGTCTGCTACATGCACTGCTGCACGGGACCTTATCGTCTCATTAAGAAGTCCATCTGCTGCGCGTGCTTCAGGTGAGATAACTCACTCAGCCGGTGAGAAAGAACTGGCGAGTGATTGAGTATATTGACCTGTGAGCTATAGAATTCAGTGAAATGACGGAAGATTGCTTGAATTGAGATGGAAGAATGAAAATCTTGTTTTTTGAAGATAGATTGGCCATTACAATAATGCTAAATAGATCATAAAGCATTTGGGATCTCACAATTTGAAGTTCAGGATGGGTTTCATTCTAAGTAGGTAATTAGTTCAGTAGTCAAAAGTAACTGCGTGAAAGCTTCTGTTAAAATTGATGTGTGTTTTCAGTGTCAAATTACAAGCATAATTTTATTTTAAACTCTTTCGTAAAACTTTTTTCTCTGTTTCTTAAAAAGAAAGAAAATTTTCTCTTCAAAGATCTGATTATAAGCTTACAAGTGTGTGTTTTTTTTTAAGATCCAAATACAACGTGGTTGTTGATGACAATTGCTGCCTGTGTCATTTTGCCGGCGTGAAGTTCATGTCTCACTTGAGAAACGAGGACGTTCTCTATGCATCGTTCAGGAATCATGTCTTTGAGGTAAGTGAAGAGAAACTATTTTCTGATGTCATTCTTTTGCTCCCTTTGCGAAGGAATATTCAGTTCTGGCGCATCTTCAGCTTCACGATCTTGACCTTTGTCATGTGAATCTCCATTATTGCCATAATCAGGATGCGATTCATATTCTTTGAGCACTGCAAAGTAAGCAATAAATTGCGGTCATACGAATTAATCTATGCCGAGCCGCAATTAAATATGAATTCACCTTCCAAGTGACGCTCGTAGTCTGCGGGCGAGAGCGTTGGGAAGGGCACAGAATCCCGGGTGATTTGAATTGGAGCAGCCTTTTCCAGTGTCTTGACTCTGCTCGCTGGAAAAAGCAAGCATTTTCATGACCACAGTTTGGTGATGCTCTTGAAAAACCCCGGGAAATTTCTTATTACCTTCAGGCGGAACCACATGAAGTAATCCTACACGTGTGTGATGCGTTGGAAATTCATTTGACAAATCATTTTCACCATCCTTCGCGACAACCACAGTAATTATGCACGCTAAGACGAATAATATCGTGGCTTTATTCATTTTTCCGTTGCACACGCTTTGCACAGTGTCTTTCCACTCTAACTTGCGTGAATTCCCGTAAAGAACTGAGCAATATCTCGATTCTCACCTACACTTCAATTCTCCGGTGGTTTTGTCGCTTTTATAGCAACTCAATCTCCGACAAATTACACTCACCCGCACGACTTTTCTGTGACTATTCAAAAATTATCAGAGGAAATGTAAATTAATTTTCGGTTTTTCTACTCACAAACAAACACACATTTCACCGTGCGTCTTTTTGTGTGATAGAATGACAATTTTAGGTGGGCTTTGTATACATATTAATGAGGTTCTAGATTGATTTTGTGTTGTGTCACCTCATTTTCGGTGGAATTGTTCAAGGGTGAAGAATCGTGAGTGTTGTACTCATTGTTTATCTCTAGTTTAGTTAAAGGAAAAGTTCTTGTTCTCATCAACACAATGCGCGTGTAAGTGATAAAGTAACTTTTTGGAAGTTGTAAACTGCGGCAATGGAACTTGAAATTGTGATAATTAAAAGGGGAGAATCGACAATAAAGAAGCTTATTATTAAATTTGTCTAAATTTTCACACTGAACGCGTTAAAAATACTCTGCATATTCTATTCTATATTGCAATTGCGTATGGAAAAGTGCAACAAAAACGCAGCAAAGCGCACTTTTGTGGGCGGAGAGAGTATTTAAAAATAAATATTACGCAGTTTCGCCAATTTTTGACAACGTCAATTTCAGCCTTGATTTCAGGAGTTAATTATTAGTTTTTGTTGATGCTTTACCATTTGGAATATGTATGGATGTATGGAAAGCACGCGGTGCTTTCGCTACACTTATTCTATGGCTTCGAAACAATTGGATTGCCAGTGAAATGCAGCCGCAAATATTGTAATTCACATCATTAAAAGTTAAGTGACGCCATGATGCGTGTTTTTATGGGTGACTATCAATGGAACTGCCAAAGTGGAAGTTTATCACGCATCGATAAATCAAAAATTGAGAAGAGTTACAATGAATTTCACACCTCACGGTGTCTTTTATTATAGTTACCATTTTGTGTGTTGGCGGATCACAGCACGAAGAGCATCGTTCTCTCCATCAGAGGCAGCTTCTCTTTTCGCGACGTCTTCACAGATCTCACGGCCAATTGTGAACGCTTCGAGGCACCGGGAATGCCACCAGATTCCGTGGCACATCGTGGAATGGTGGCCGGCGTGGAACAACTGATGAAGCGCTTGCGAGAGACGAACATCATTGAAAGAGCTTTCACCACATATCCGGAATACTCTCTCGTACTGACGGGACACAGCTTGGGCGCTGGTGTGGCGATTCTCCTGGGTGCTAAGTTGCGGCCCAAGTATCCGGACTTGCGTGTGTACGCGTTTGCGACGCCGGCGGGTCTGCTGAGCCGCGAGGCGGCACGCTACACGGAAACGTACGCCTTCACCGTTGGCGTTGGCGATGACTTTGTGATGCGTCTGGGTGTGGACTCGATTGAGAATCTGCGAGCGATGATTATTGAGACGATTCGCGCGTGCAAATTGCCCAAGTACAGAATAATGCTCAATGGCTTTGGCTATGCCATCTTCGGAGTGCCGTCGCGGGATCTTGAAACAACATTTTTCGACGTCACGCAGATCGAGACGAGTGGTCAGGAGGCTTCCGTGGAAGATCCACCGATATCCACGATAATGCCACCGACAGTGAGTGGAAAAGTGTGACTTGTCTCTGTGCAAAAATTGAATTATATTTACTCATGCTTCTCTCAATGCAGGCCTCAATGCTGCCGCGGGACATTGGCGTTCGTCGCTTTGCCAAGACGCGATTGTACACGGGCGGAAGGATTCTTCACATTGTGCGCAGGAAGAGGACAGAACTGGAGAAGTGTGTATAAAGTGTGCATTTATTATTTTCACATTGAATTTTACACTGTTTTCCATACAGGAAGAGCAACTCCGGCGGGCCGACTTTTGAGATGCGCTGGGCGACTCCGGAGGATTTCATGGAATTGAAAATAATGCCACGAATGTTCCTCGATCACTTTCCTGACTACATCTTTAAGACAATGACGAAGATTCTGGAGGAGCAGAAAGCCACAGCGGAGTCAATCACGTCCATTCATGAGATTTAAGAAGACAAGAGGAGCCAAAGTGATCCTCATTTATCCATTTCATGTGAGTAAAATATTTATTAACTTAACTCTAGTTGTGTCAAATTAAATATAAAAAGTTTCACTCATGATCAGTGTCTATTGTGTAACCATGTACTTTCATTGTGATAAAATATATTTTAGATATGAATATTGTAAAACGAAAAAAGATGGAAAGACAAAAAAAATTTCTTAGGTGTAAAATATTGAAATGTATATGTATATATTCATTACATCTAAAAAGCGGATGATTCTAAAAAGAAAACTTACCTGTAAAAGAAACCCATAGATGTTGTGTGAAAAATCTCATGTTGAAAAAAAAGACAATTTAATCATATGACAAAAGACAATGTTAAACTGTGAGTATAATAAAATATTATTAAGATAATAAATTATGAAACTATTTTTGTGGTGAATTTTTTGTGAAGAGGTGATTTTTCACTCCTCACTAAACTCAACAAAGTCAATTAAAATTATTATAAATGTATTAAATACATAATATATATTTAAAATTATACAAATATAATATAGAGTAAATTCTACAAAGATTTTTTGAAAAAATATTTCCCAAGTGTTGTGCGTAACAATTCAATTGGAACATTCTAATATTCTGAAGTAATATTCTGAAATTGCTAACACGAAAAGTGGAGAAAATCCATGAAAAGAAGATAAATATGTGTCTATTGAGTGAACATGTACTTTCATTGTGATAAAATATATATTTAGATAATAATATTAAACCACGAAAAAATGTGGAAAAGACAAAAATATTTCTTAGGTATAAAAAAAAGTTGAAATATATGTATATATTCGTCATATTTGTAAAGCAAATATTCTAAAAAGAAAACTTATCTGTAGAAAAACCCCATAGATAATTGTTGTGAGAAAAAACCATGTAGAAAAAAGAGACAATTTACGGTCTTGATCATTCTCATAGAGTCATTAATCACGTTCTTGAATCCTTTTCACTTCTTCTTTCATGTTTCTTCAACTTTCAATCTCTTCAAGCTTTCCGGGAACCATCATATTCCCAAAAAGGATACAGATTCATCGAACCCAGAGAAAGCTTCCCCACTTCCACGGTAGTCCTCACATAACCCAACATGTCTATCCTTGAGCTATTCTAACTGACAAAATCCTTTTTGCTGGGAAAATGTGAGCTTCTAGAAACCAGATAATCTTTGTCTTGTAAGCTAATTATGGATATACACTAAGTCAGATCTTTCCAATGTAATTACCGTCTTGACATCTTATCTCTTCAATTTCTTCCATTTCTCCCAACTTTCTTCTGAGGACACTTGTTGGCCAAGTGAGTACTCTCTCCACAGCGATAGTATAAACTTGAAAGGCTCTCTTTCCATGGTCTCTTAGCTGCTTCGGCGATATTGTGTACATTATCCGTCTTCCGCTTCTCTGCTATCATTCTCAAAGCTTTCTTCAGGAATGCTCCAAAACCGCAAATTTATGGACAGCTTGCGAAGCGTAGCAAGAAAAACCATTACAAGATTCTCCTTTGCACTGCTTCCTCTTGTGGAAAATATAAACTTCGACGATTTTCAGGGGAGTTGGGTCGAAACACTCCAAAAGCTTTTTCTCGATCTCAGCATAAGTCAATTCCTCCGTCATTTTTGGGGTAATTCTATCATACAGCTTTTCGAATGGTCCCAGCCTCATGTAATGCAGTAGTCATCTCTTATATATACATATTCATCATCCCCTTCTTCATCCCCATTCAAATTGGTGAATACCTACTCTCTGTCTTCACATATGATAATATAATATATATGCATATATAATATTCACATATAAAATTGATAAAAGAGAAGATTAGTCTATGAGAATTGTTCAAATGCTATTGAGATCAACACTTTAGCACTAGTAAAAATTCGTGAAACTGCGACTGTTTCTCGCGACACCTGACTAGAAGCGATGGTGAGCAAAGAAAACCGTCGATATTGTGTTTAAATCGAATTGTAGTTGTGATTAAGCGTATAATTCATTGCCAATTTATTCACATATTTCTAATAATTTTATCTTTTAAACATTTCTAAGATTTGTTTCCGGTTGCGAATTGTTTAAAGACAGTTTTCGAATCACCGGTTAAGCAGAAAAAGAATATGCATACTTTGCGATCTTTACACAAAATGTCTACAGAAATATTTCCTCTTTGCGCTGTTATCATATATATATATATGTACATATATATATACAATAGCTGATACATATATATTTCAAAATATCCGGATGTTATATATATTGTAGACATATTATCGAATAAATGTTTTCTAAGTGTTGTGCGTAACAATTCAATTGGAACATTCTAATATTCTGAAGTAATATTCTGAAATTGCTAACACGAAAAGTGGAGAAAATCCATGAAAAGAAGATAAATATGTGTCTATTGAGTGAACATGTACTTTCATTGTGATAAAATATATATTTAGATAATAATATTAAACCACGAAAAAATGTGGAAAAGACAAAAATATTTCTTAGGTATAAAAAAAAGTTGAAATATATGTATATATTCGTCATATTTGTAAAGCAAATATTCTAAAAAGAAAACTTATCTGTAGAAAAACCCCATAGATAATTGTTGTGAGAAAAAACCATGTAGAAAAAAGAGACAATTTACGGTCTTGATCATTCTCATAGAGTCATTAATCACGTTCTTGAATCCTTTTCACTTCTTCTTTCATGTTTCTTCAACTTTCAATCTCTTCAAGCTTTCTGGGAACCATCATATTCCCAAAAAGGATACAGATTCATCGAACCCAGAGAAAGCTTCCCCACTTCCACGGTAGTCCTCACATAACCCAACATGTCTATCCTTGAGCTATTCTAACTGACAAAATCCTTTTTGCTGGGAAAATGTGAGCTTCTAGAAACCAGATAATCTTTGTCTTGTAAGCTAATTATGGATATACACTAAGTCAGATCTTTCCAATGTAATTACCGTCTTGACATCTTATCTCTTCAATTTCTTCCATTTCTCCCAACTTTCTTCTGAGGACACTTGTTGGCCAAGTGAGTACTCTCTCCACAGCGATAGTATAAACTTGAAAGGCTCTCTTTCCATGGTCTCTTAGCTGCTTCGGCGATATTGTGTACATTATCCGTCTTCCGCTTCTCTGCTATCATTCTCAAAGCTTTCTTCAGGAATGCTCCAAAACCGCAAATTTATGGACAGCTTGCGAAGCGTAGCCAGAAAAATCATTACAAGATTCTCCTTTGCACTGCTTCCTCTTGTGGAAAATATAAACTTCGACGATTTCCAGGGGAGTTGGGTCGAAACACTCCAAAAGCTTTTTTTCGATCTCAGTATAAATCAATTCCTCCGTCACTTTTGGAGTACTTCTATCATACAGCTTTTCGAATGCTCCCAGCCCCATGTAATGCAGTAGTCATCTCTTCTATATACATATTCATTATCCTCTTCTTCATCCCTATTAAAATAGGTGAATACCTACTCTCTGTTCACATATAACAATATAATATATATGCATATATAATATTCACATATAAAATTGATAAAAGAGAAAATTAGTCTATGAGAATTGTTCAAATGCTATTGAGATCAACACTTTAGCACTAGTAAAAATTCGTGAAACTGCGACTGTTTCTCATAACACCTGACTAGAGGCGATGGTGAGCAAAGAAAACCGTCGATATTGTGTTTAAATCGAATTGTAGTTATGATTAAGCGTATAATTCATTGCCAATTTATTCACATATTTTTAATAATTTTAGCTTTTAAACATTTCTAAGGTTTGTTTCCAGTCGCGAATTGTTTAAAGACGGTTTTTGAATCACCGGTTAAGCAGAAAAAGAATATGCATGCTTTGCGATCTTTGCACAAAATCTCTATCGAAATATTTCCTTTTCGCGCTGATATCTCTCAAAATATGAGTTCAGCATCTCGCGGCAGTATATAGCTAGTTAAACAAACTTGTGTAATGATGCATGGCTTCATTACGAACAATCATCAATTCTGTCCGGACAATAGGAAAAACTGTGGCCAAAATTCACTTGTCATCAGCGGAATGTCTCACTTGTGAGTCAATTTCCAAAAATATTCTTCCATGAGGCCGAATCAGAATGCTTTCGGAATACTTTAACAGCAGTTTGGACTATTCACATTTCAGCCATCGTAAATTGACGGAAGCGGCGTGTTTCACGTCTCCCAATGCATTTATATGGAAGTTTGAACTAGTGCTGGGGGGTTAGTTTAGATAGCAAATTTTAAAATTACTGTTGTGGTGAATTTTTTTGTGAAGAGATGATTTTTCACTCTTCACTAAACTCAATAAAGTTAATTCAAATGACGATAAATGTATTAAATACATAATATATATACATAACATATAGATATATATATATTTCAAAATATCCGGATATTATATATATTGTAGACATATTATCGAATAAATGTTTTCTAAGTGTTGTGCGTAACGGAATGTGTAGAAATTCATTGCAAAAACCAAAATTAATAGTAAATTCGACGTCACTGGTTTGTGGAAGTTGGCGGGAAAACTTGTGGAAGATGTGGAATATATCACGAACGGTGATTCCCCTCATTAATTTTCTCACTCACACACTGTTACAGACACTTTACCAGTTAAATTTCTTCACAAATTTGTCCAGAACAGTTCAATAATTGCTGTGAGAATTCATTTGCAGGAAAAATGTCAATTTTCAGTGCAAAAGCGAATTTAAATTAGCCCACAGTTTGATCGCTTCACCTTCAAATTCAAAGCCGACTCGTCGAAAGTCCGGAAACTGTCGGAACGACCTCCGATGGAGGGGAAGTGGATGGATTTTGTGTGTCAAACGAAGAGTGTGTGTTGACGTGACGACGCGCTACTGAACACAGAATTCTCTGTTCTCTCCGCACTAAAAAGCCCATTTTCCACCTCGAAAACATCCCCAAATCTCTCTGTGTAGTGCAAAATAGTTCACTTTAGTGTTTCTCAGCAGTTCCCCAGCCTCATCCCCACACAAATGGCCCTCAACAGCCGACACCAGAAACTGGAGCAGCAAGTAAGTGTGTCTCCTTGTGCCCTTCCAGCGTGTTTTTTTTTCACCTGCTCGTCTCCCCATCAGCTTCACCCCCCATTCCAACCCCTCAGACCACTTTCACGCATTTTCCCGGTGACCCAAGGTGGCAATTCGTGTGAAACACCCAATGGCATTGAGGTTGAATTGGTGACGAAGTGTGCGGCTGAAGAAAATCGAGAGCTTCTCTTTGTTTACTTTTAATTGTTCACTCTTCGGTCGCATTGAGACGAGCGTGAGAAAACTTTCTCACGCGTTTCAAGAGCACATTCAGGAAGGTGCCAAAATAAGGTGAAGAAATTAAGAGTGCGCCTCACATGTTAAATCAATTCACAGGCTCACCAGAAGAGCTGGAAGAGGCTCGACCCCTTCCAAGGGTAGCCTAGATACTCAATACATTCAGGGTACGTTCAACCAGTGCTTCTCAAGCTTTGAAGCCACTGAGCTTGAAGCCTGCCGTGGACACGGTTTCAGGGATTCAGGGCATTTGCTTCAATTGAACTACTTTGGAACTCAAATGTTATGGGATACATTTTGTTCCAAATCCGTATAAGGATCAAATAGGGAGAAATCTGATGGAAAATATTAAGATTTCATCCTAATTTGAAAATGTCTTATGCAATTCTGATAGACTATCATAAGACAAATTTCTCCTTTCATACACTGTAGAAAAAATGTATTGTGAAACGAAAAAAATATATATTGAAATTAAAGTTATTTCATGGAACTCGAATTACCATAACTTTAACAGTCTAAACTAAACAAATATTTTAGCTCTTGACTCTATTACATTTAATCTTCTGCATCGCATTCTATTGGTTCTAGTTAGTTAATTTGCATACTCGCTGTTTGTCTTCAGCTCTCGCTGAACGAGTGGAAGTCAAACAAGAGTGCAAATCATGCTAACGGGCGCGCACAGAGTGGGAAACACTGGTTGGAATTAAAGTTTGTATTAGCCATGGAACTAGAGTCCTCACACTCGAGACAGCGCTAACAGAGCATTATTGATCGCCTTCGAGGGGGTCGATGAAATATTTCATCAACGAAAGAATTAGCTCAGCACTTTTTTTTCCTGTCGTCACGAGCGGCGAAAAGGTGCTACTCATCGGCCGTACTACAATGTTTCCCCTGTTTGATTGCAGCGTCAGCTGATGGAGGCGTACATCAAGCAGAAGCGTGCATCGCCGGGAATGATTCAGGCCAGCGATTTGCAGATCACGCGGCCAATGTCCGGCGCACGCGGAAGCCGCGACTTGGCGCCGCACGCCTACGATGGGCCGCTGCACTTCATGACACACTCCGCCAATCCCGACGAGATTGTGCCCTCGAGAACTACCCCAACGAGCACCGGCGAAGGTAGGAGAGCGTAAGACACTCGCGAGGGTTCATCGGCTTCCAGCACGCGGCTGCGATTGGGTGGAGGGAGAAAGTCTTTCATTGAATTATTCACGGCCTCTCGATGGGCTCGAGTGAGTTTCGATCCGGAGTGCCTTTCCCATAACGATATCAAGATAAATTAATCCGCGTGTACGTTGAAATGTGTGCGCGATTCTGTGAATGAATTTACATGCTTGATCTCAATCAGAACAGTTAAGTTTTATTAGAAAATTCACGGAGACACATTTCAGAGAGAGAGGCAAATCAGGTGTGATTATTGTATAGATTTCCAAAAGCGGCCAAACGTTTGCGTGTCTGCGATTGACGGCAAGTGTCAATGGATTTGCATGCAAATATTGACTTATGGGCATTTTCCCACTGCCTTCCCAGATTTCATCCAGGACATGGCGGTGACGAGGGCGCAGGAGGACGAGGACGAGGAGAGCACCCCAATTGAGCCCGTGGCAACGACGCCCACGAAGGGCAAACACGGCGAGCGGAACAGTGTGGGAAGCGTGAGGAACTCGGGCACGCCCGTGTCGCCGGCCTGCATTACCAAGTCGCCGCAGACGCCGAGCAATGAGCTGGAGGGTGACGTGGTGGGCCAGGTGGAGCAGTGGGTGATGGCGCCGGCGATCCAGGGCGTACTGTACAAGTGTCGTATCACGCGCGATCGCAAGGGCATGGACAGGGGCCTCTTTCCCATCTACTATCTGCACCTGGAGAAGGACTATGGCAAGAAGGTATTTCTGCTGGCCGGTGAGTTTCACCTCTGGTCGAATCAGAGACTTTTGGATTAGTAAATCTTTTATAGAGATGCCCTAAATCCAATCTGACACTTTGGCTCATCTTTCAGGACGCAAGAGGAAAAAGAGCAAGACTTCCAATTATGTGATAAGTTGCGATCCAACGGATTTATCACGTCAGGCCGACGGCTTCGTGGGCAAACTGCGGTCCAATATATTTGGCACGACATTCTTCGTGTACGACAATGGGAATAAGATGAATACAGATGCGCCGCGGCAGGATTTGGCTGTTGTTATCTATGTGAGTTTTGTACCAATTTTTTGCCGACTTTCGTATTGATAACTGATTGGTATCTTTGCCACAGGACACAAATATTTTGGGTTTTAAAGGACCAAGAAATATGACAGTTCTTCTGCCGGGAATGACAGAGGAGGATCAGCGAGTGAAAATAAGTTCCTGTGATACACACCAGCAGGGCCTTCTAGATAGTTGGAAGAATAAGGTAATTTGCTCTCGTGTGAATGCTCCTTTTCATCCCTAAAGCCACGTTCTATTTCCCCATCGATTCTATAACAGAATACGGACAACATTGTGGAGCTGCACAACAAGACGCCCGTGTGGAATGACGAGACGCAATCGTACGTGCTGAACTTTCACGGGCGCGTCACTCAGGCGTCCGTGAAGAATTTCCAGCTTATCCACGACTCGGATCCCGACTATATTGTCATGCAGTTCGGGCGGACGTCCGAGGACGTGTTCACGATGGATTTTCGATATCCTTTGTGCGCTCTGCAGGCCTTCGCCATCGCACTGAGCAGTTTTGACGGCAAATTGGCGTGTGAATAAGACTTCAGCTGAAGTTGTGCACGACATCTGCTCACGTGTAATCTGGATTTCTTTTTTGGACTTTTCAAGGAGTTTGAGCACTCACACACACACACAAGTTGAATCCTCTGTGTGAGGAAATGTGTATCTTTTGCTTGCCAGTGTGCTGTTTGTTCATATTTTGGAGGTGTTTGCAAAATCAAAAAAGGTTCCACTTTGCGTTGCCTTAAGAAGACGATGAAGAACCCCAAAAATACTCGAATGTTTAAGTGAGGGTTTATTAGATTAACTGGTAATTTCTAGTCAGAGAAAAGAGCTCAATTGTACTTATAGGAATCATGAGGATGGAAAAGGAATTGAAAAAGTTTTTATCACTAGAAACAACTCATGGAATTTAGATGTTCATATCAAGTTCGTCTAACGAAGAGGATAATTTATTGATTTATAGATAAGAGAAAAAAAATGTAATTAGAAGTAATTGTCTTGTATTTAAGCAGAAAAGCTAAATAGTGTTTGAAAAAGATAGCAAAGTTCGTTCTTCGAACAGCAAAAAGAAACTATAATATAAATTAGGCTGAAGAGTTTAGATAGCGATTGTGAAGTATTTTTGCAAAGTATCCAACGATAACAGAGCCTGCATTCCATAACTGTATTTGCCATAGAAGCGCCCCAATTGTCTCCGCACATCGCGCGAGAAGCGATTGAGAGCCAGTCTTGTTCGTGTAACATTTAAATAAAACAGTTGAATACTGATGTGATGGATGATTATTGAAATAAATAGCAGAAATACATCTTTTCATCGATATTCTTTCATTGATAAATTGAACAATTTTCGCAAATGGGGCGCTCAAGGGAGCCGCAACTGTACAAATTGATGCATGACTCGCAGATGCCTTTGCGGCACCACGAGCAAGAGTGACCGCAGAACTCGCAAAGCTGCAGATTGCAATTGACGCAGGCAGAGTGGAATTTCGTGGCACTTTTCAGGCATCCTGAGCAGGCCTTTGAGAGGCTTTCCGGCTGCAGAAGAGTGTTTGTTTGGGCGTCTCTAACCTCACCATTACCATAGAGAAGAACGTCTTGTGGCGCCGACTGTACACTATCACTAGAGGGCTTTCTGTTGGCCCCCTGGAAGAGCATCTTGTGGGTTTTCTCTATGCGAGAAGAGGGAGAAAATTAGGGAAAATGATTGGACAAAAGAATATCCTTTCCCGCCAACACACCATAGATTTCTGTCATCTTTTCCACATTGTTGTTCTCCACAATTCTCTTACTGAGATAGATTTTGCTCTTCGGCGTGAAACTGTCGTCACCCAAGTGCTTTCTCTTCAGACTCATTACTGTAGTTTGGCAGGAAAAACCGCAGAAATATTGCACACAAAGTAGATAAAAAGTGATGAAGACACAGATCCAAACACTAGATTTTCCTACTGAAGAGGGCACTGATCTCCACTGAGAAGTCTTCCGAAGGTTGTGCAGCGCCAGATAGCGATGCGGTGACTGGAATTGGTAGTAGAAGTGACACAGAGAGTCAGAGAGTGGAATTTCGCATCTTCTTGTGACTTTTTGCCCCTCAAATTACATCAAATTGCACAGTAATTCTATGTAAGTGGCACACTGAAAATACATTAGACATCCTCTGTGATGCCGTCGGCATCAAATCCAATCGCTGAAGCACTGTCCGGTGGGGGATTTTCCGCGGAAAAACCCACCCCGAGTTGGCAGTGCGAAACATGGTGGGAGAGAATCACAAAGTGTGTGTGTGAAAAAGTGATTTGTTTTTCGCTGAGCAAAAAATAAAGCCTCGTCTATTGTGCATCAGTGTGTGGCGCAGAGAAAGAAGATAATTACAAGAGAATCTGAAGATGATCAGAGAGCGAACAAACAACGCCTTTGCACAGATGTTCTGCATTTCCCGTCTCCTCAATTGCGCGATCGTCACTTTCGCCCTGAGGCTCAAGTCTGATAAGCTTCGCTCGCGGGCCCCAAACTAGGCCAATAATTACATTGTCGCACTGTGAATTGCGCTAGTGGGGCGCTTTTATTGTCGGCATAAGCGAGGGAGTCACTGATAAGCACAATTGGGCTTTGCAATCGAGAAGGAAAATATTAAGTTGATGAGTAAGAGATTTTCTCCAAACTTCCCGAGAAACTCTCTTGTTATATTTCGAGTGTGTAAGCAATGTTAGTCTTATTTCAGTATATGTCTCAGAAATTTGCATTCCAATTGAATGAAAAACATGCTGAGAAGCGATAATAAATCTTCGACAGATGATGTTGCATCTGTTTCAAATCAGTGTCGTAGTTTGATAAGGAGGATGACTTTTTTGTTGCCCTTTGGAAAATGTCTTCTCTTTTCCGAGAGACATAAAAAAAAATCAAAGAAAGATTCATGTTGTTTCTAATGCGAAAACTTGTCTAATTTCCTTGCTTCGCCACTGCAGAGTGTATCGTAAATGATATAATTGATATGCCTACACTTGAATCACATCAGAATTTCACCTGTTCATTTTCTAAACCACCAATTCGTGCAATCTTGATTTGATACAATTTCTCTCAACGTTCATTCAACTTCTCTGTGCGTTGTTTTCGACAAAGAATAGTTTGCTGCGTCTAGAAGAGAATTTGATAGCTGTGACCGTGATGATGAGTCAGCGAAGGTCTCGCGTATCGCGATGACTGTGAATCAGTCGAATTAAGTTGTTGCCCTCTTTGGCTTCCGCAGGAGAGACGGCGTCACGGAGCGAAGATGCGCGTGAAGGCACTGTACGACTTCTCGGGGGAGCCGAACACGTCTGAGCTGTCGATCCAGGAGGGCGAGGTGCTCACCGTGACCCGCACGGACGTAGGCGAGGGCTGGTGGGAGGGTAGCAACAAGCAGGGCCGCACGGGTCTGTTTCCGGCCGCCTATGTGGAGACGCTGTCGGAGCCGCCGGCCGTGGCGGCGCCTGTGGCGCCCAAGGCTGCTCAGTATCCGGCGCTACCGCGCTACGACCAGACGCCGGACGACTGGAACGAGCAGCAGGACGACTGGGAGGACGACTGGGATGACGATCAGGACACGTACTCGGAGATCGGTCCGGGGACGGGCGCCACGCACAACAGCCAAGCGGCCGCGACGCCGTTCAACAGTGCCGCCGCCTTGCCGCCGCGCCCGGCGGATGATGCCATCTCTGTGACGTCGACCAGTGCGCCGGTGAAGAGTCGCTCGAAGATGTTCTCCAAGTCCAGCGATTCGTACATCATGGGCATCACGCAGGTGTCCGTGCCGGAGAACGAGAAGGTCAGCATCGTGCCCGTGGACCACGGCTTCATGTGGCGCCACACCAAGGAGCCGTACACGGTGCGCGTGGCATCACCGAAGAAGGAGACCAAGTTCAAGGGCATGAAGAGCTTCATTGCCTACCAGCTGACGCCCAGTTTCAACAACATTTCGGTGAGCATCGCTTGCGCCTTGTCACACCTTGCAATGTGTGTGTGATGTTGTGGTGTGATTTCAGGTGTCGCGGCGCTACAAGCACTTCGACTGGCTGCACGGACGTCTTGTGGAGAAGTTCTCGCTGATTCCCATTCCGCCGCTGCCGGACAAGCAGATTTCCGGGCGCTACGAGGAGCAGTTCATCGAGCACCGGCGCGTACAACTACAGGAGTTCGTGGACTGGATGTGTCGGCATCCGGTGCTGTCATCGTGCGAGGTGTGGATGCATTTCCTCACGTGCACGGACGAGAAGAAGTGGAAGGTGGGCAAGAGGACAGCGGAGAAGGATCCACTCGTGGGCGCTGTGTACTGTGCGGCCATCGTGGCGCCGGAGAAGCAGTTGCTGCAGAGTCAGGTGGACATGCAGGTGGACACGTGCGGCAACTTCGTGCACCAGATGGACTCGGCGGTGAAGACGCTGTCCATCATTGCCACGGAGCAGACGAAGAAGTATCAGATGCAGTGGAAAAAGGATTTCCAGCGCATCGGCGAGGGCTTGTCGGAGTTGGCGCGATCGCTGGAGGTGGACGAGAGGCGGGCCAGCACGAGCACGTGTCTGTCGAATTCCGTGGGCCTCACGGCGGGCGTCTACATTGGCGTCGGACAGCTGTTTGGCGACCAGGCGAAGCACGACTGGATTCCGCTGTCGGATCGGTTGCACATCTACAAGGGCGTCCTAGGGGCTTTTCCGGACATTCTGTCGGAGCACAAGAACGCCATGGCGAAGAAGCGAGACTGTGAGAAGCTGACGGGCGACCAGAAGATGAGCAATGCTCAGCTGCAAGAGGTGAATCGGCGCACGGATGTCATCTCCTATGCCATGATGGCAGAATTGTCGCATTTCCGCGTGGAGCGCGACGAGCATCTCAAGGAGACTCTGAGGGAGTTTATTGCCGCCCAGATTGCCTTCTATCAGACCATCGTGTCGCGTCTGCAAGCGGCGAAGCAGTTCTTCGAGTGAAAGTGAACAAAAGAAGGCCTCCAGAGAAGTGCATTTAGATGAGATGATAAAAGAGCTTTATCGCACGCTCATGAGCAGCGTGCGTGAAAAGACCTGAAAGATTGTGTGTCTCTGGGTGTAAAAAAAAAGTAAGATAATCATGTCCTAACTTCCTTCTGCAGAATGTATTCACATGTGGAGGGCAAGAGAAAGATTTATTTTTATACTCTCTCTGTCTCGTTTTCAACAATCATTTGTGTACATTTCCTTCCTTCTTTCTAATGTACCCAAAAAAAAAGAAAAAAAATCATATACACAACAGCACGCAGAGAAGAAAGAAAAGAAAACCCCATTAAATTGTATATCTAATTTAGAGAACAGTTATCGCAAGAAAAATTATACAATACAGGCGCCGATAGGAGAATCAATGGCGCAGAATTGAGATATTAATGACAGGTATTTGAGAAAATGAATATTGTGGTGGAACAAATTCCAAGAAAATTGTTTTCTTTTGTACATTTCGCAAGATTTTGCAATAAAATTTACCAACTTGCAAAATAACACTTCTACAATGATATTTATGGCGTTTTGGTGTTTGGAAAGAAATGCGTTGAAGTCAAATTCATTAGATTGACGGAAGGTAGATAAGGAAAATTACAATTTGTGCCTTCAAAAGCTTCAAAGGCGACAAGGTAAGATTTATCATTCAATATCAAATATATTTGCTCTAGATAAATTATGTCTACGGAAAGTTTTAAGGAAAGATATCAGATATTTGATCAAGTGCGAAGCGCTTTTTCATATATTTTCATAATTGCGTTCACTTTATAATGACGTCAATGCACAAAACTTGTTGTGTTGGCGAAATTGCTGCTGCTCTCTTGCATGGTGTAGCCTAGCAAGGACCATTGGTCAAATGGAAGCAACCTGTGGAATAGTCAGAAATGAATTCAGTTCAGAATGATAGTGATAGAAAGGGAATTAATAATTACGTTTTTTTCCTTCGCACTGAGCCTTTTTAGCATCACAAAGGCTGTCGTAGCAACCGTAAATAAAATCCCACGAACTAGATTCATATTCACAGCAAACTTCTGCTTTAGGACCAAGATCAGGACACTCAACCGCTTCAGTACAGTCAATTGGCACTTCGTCACATGTCACGTTGGGGCCAGCCAAAGAAGCGCAGGCTAAATGGAGAGTAGCGCAATATTTAATGTGATTTAATGGAGAAACACAGTGATTTGCAGAAATCATACTCACTGAGATTATGGGCGCAATTGTATTTTATATATTCGCACTCATTTGTGAATGTTCTGTAAGTACCATCATCGTAAGTACAGCAAACTGGTGAGTTCCCTGAACAGTCTCTCTCTTCCATTTCCTTGCATTGCTGGCTGTTTTGCGCTGAGAAAAACATCCCAATTCTTCTTAAAACCATTTAATATAATTATTGCATTTCCAATCTTACCAAGAGCGACAGCAGCGAAGAGAGTGAAAAAGCAGAGAAAAACCTTCATTGTCACTGAGAAACTTATTTAAAATTGCAGGTTTCGATGCATTTATAGCAATTCCCAGAAAAATGTACAGAAATTGTGAATGAATCGTAAAAAAAACATTCCTGAAAATCTATAAATCTCAATTCTGCATAAGTAAGTGAGGTGGAAAAGATAAAAGCGAAGCTCCTGAAGTTGCATTCACAGTAGAAATGTGAAGTATTTTTTTTTGATAAATGCATTTATTTCTGATATATATTGGAGGCAAATTGGAATTTACAGCGATTTCCAAAGGTCATCAAGTTCATCGTCCGTTTATGCCTGTGGCTGTGGTGGACTCGGGATGATCGGAATGAAGATTTGGGGTCTCGGCATGGGCTTTGCTGGGTAAGGGAAGGGCAGGATATAGAACATTCCGCATTCTCCCTTTGTAGTGGAAGTGGGCGCTGTAAGAAGAGAAGAGCTTAAGTGCATTCTAGTCTCCAAATTCTGACCATATTTGGAAACGCGTCAGTACTTTTCTGCTCGCGACAATTGTATGATCCAGCCTGACAAGAGTTGCCGTGCGTCATGGTGGTTCCGTCAGAATAAGTGCAGCAGACTGGATTGTAATCAGCAGTGCAGAAGATTTCAGGACAAGCAGGTTGTGCTGGCTCCTCAACTGGCTCCTGAGCCTCAGCATCACATTCACCATCAACAATTGCAGTGCGAGCTAAGAAACGAATTCACAAACTGTTAAAGCACTTGGATATTTATCACCTCAAATTCACTTTCGTACTTTTCTTCTCTACGCATTCGTAAGATGCAGCGGCACAGGTGTTGCCATGAGTTTCGCGGGTTCCGTCAGAATAAGTGCAGCAAACTGGAGCGTACAGCATTGGGCAAGCCGTTGCGCACTCATTCTGGACTTCGATGTCGGCTTGTCCTGCGGAAGAGATCACGATTACAATCAAGCAATTGAGTTAGGCAACAGAACTACTACCGAAGACAGCAACGACAAAGGCGAAGAGCAACACGAAAACCTTCATTCTGAGATAATTCCACTTCGATACTGACTATTTTTTCGCACTTTTCCCTCTTTTATTCCATTGGATTCCGCCAAAGCTGGTCCACGTCATAGATTTTTGGGAAGTTGAGGGATAAATGAGAAAAATAAGTCACTCGTGCGACATTTGTTTGAGCAATTGTTGAAATTTGTTGGAATTCAACTGAGTCACATTTAACATTTCCTTAAGATCTCTTCTGGAGCTTCTGTGTTTAATAAGACAACAGCATTTTTCTTGACTTAAACTCACGGAGGTCATTTCGGTATCACATAGCGATTAATGTTTCCAGCTTAATTTGATAATGTTCATACTTAATAATTCCTAAACCTCGAAATTCTGCTCTAAAATGAAAATTCAATCATAAAATGCTTCTTCTATATAATTGAAAATCTATTTATGTTCATATTCTGGATTCCAATTATTCCGTAGATGAACTAAGAAATCACTAAATTATAAATAACATAGAATTATTATTAGAAAATTCACACCATACATTTCATATCATACTGACATTTCTGAATTTTCATCTCCCATAAATGAACTGCAGCGTACTGAAAGTTTTTTCAAGGATTTCCTGAATTTCAAAATTTAATCATGCCTCAATTTAGTTGGTTAACTTGCTCTTTGTCTTGCTCTCAGTTGTCTCAAATTCAATTATTCCCTTCACTCATGTCATTCAATGTGGTATTTCTGCGTATTTTGCAATGTTCCATGCATTTTTCTGACTTTGCTGAATAAAACTATCTGAAATTGCTTTTCGTAAAACAATTTTAGCGCAGACACACTTTTGAGGACAAAAAATTGTTGTCAACATTTCCCATAATTGTTTACTCCCTTCCTTCCATTTCCATATGAAATATTTTCGCTGAAGAAAATTGGAAAAATAAGAAGGACTATTTATGCAATTGTAATTTCTATTGACATGCATTCTCTCTTCTCGGGAATATCGTTGTCAACTTTTCGCAGCATATTTTCCTCAATTTTCTGCGAAAAGTGCGAGAGCAAGTTTCAATTTAAAAAACAACCCCCAACTTTTGGGGTGAAGAATAAATGGTGGAGCGTGCGCAGAGATGGAGTGCAGAATCCTATAAATCGCATCGATTCCTTTCCCAATCTGTCATTCGTGATTCAGGTGCCTCTGAGTGCGCTCTTCACACCCTCTCGACTGTGTGCCCTTTGGAGCTCCTCCAACACTCAGGCCCTCGCAAAGTGCTGGTGATTGTGGACGGCGCGCTCTCCAGGTGCTTCGCGGCCACTCTTCAGCTTCGAGTGACTGGCGGACTTGTGCCTCTGCGACTCTCCCTCAACCCTGAGCAGAGCCATTTTTGTGCTGGCAGAAGAACTCGGCGCGAGGTAAGCAAATGCATGGAAAAAGTGGGCAAAGTCGAGAGAAATCCATTGAAATTCGTGTTTGCGTAACAGACCTCATTTTCCACCCCTTTTCGCCTCTCTATATTTTATTAAACCTTCTGCTTGAGAGACTGTATGGCTAAATGATGCCCCTTTCCATACCCCTCCATTCGTCGCACCCACTCGCGAAAGACCCACTTTGGGGCCGCCTCTCGCCAATTTGGCCATCTTCAGCCCGAGTCTGGGGACTTTTCATCGATTTCCATGACAAATCACGCACTTTTCCACCGATTGAAGGCGCACAACACAAGAATCCTCAGCCTCTGAGCTTCAGACAATCCACGATGGACGTCTTAAAGCTCTCTTTGCTCACACATATATGCATAGCAATGGGCTGAGCAACATCAACTAGTGGTGCACACAGTTCACGCATGAGATTCTCAATTCCCTCAATTATCCCAGATTTTCCTGTTCGGCAGATTTGAACAGGAAGGAAATCTGCAGACAAATTAATTGGATTGGATTGCGGTGCATTTGATTTCCAAGGGAATCTACTGAGGCGTTAACTGCGTTAACTAGCCACATATCTTGATGGTTTGTTTGTAGGAAGCACTGAAAATCAACAGTGTCATTGTTATCCTGTGTGTTCTAAAGGACAGTATACGTACAGGATTATGTAGAAATTTACAATATTCCCACAATCAACTATAGCTTCTGGTTTCTATTGCTAATACGTTGCATTTATAAATCATTTCAAATATGTGCAATTTCAGCAAAACAACCTGTTTACAATTTAGTTTTGAAGGGGATAAAGAAAATACGAGATTTTTAGTTAATAAAATGAAGAAAAACGTAAGAATTCAAGGTAGTAAAAGTTTCATTTAGAGCTGAATATGAGTTGATGAATAAGAAATTAACGAGAACTTAATACATATCCCTTTTAATTCGCGATTTCTTTTTGATCATCTTCTCACTTTTGTTTTCCTATGTGGTTCTAGATTCTTCAACTTTCTTTCAATATTAATTTCCTTCAGTGTGAATAGAAACAATCGACTTAGAGTTGGATTTTTTCGTATGACTTTTTCTCTCAGTATTTTTATAAATTTTGCTCTCCTTCGATGGTCAGAAATTGTTATCGATTTTATTTAATCTCTTCATATTTCAGATTTCTCATATTCGCAAATAAATTCCCAGAATTCCAAGGCAGGGAAAGTTTTCCAATGTTTTACTAGAATTTCACTCAATAATTATGCTTCAGTTTAGTTGGCGAACTTGGGCTTTTACCTTACAGGCCATCTCAAATTTACATCAGCAGCCCTGATGATATTCTATATTTAGGAAAGCCAATATCTTGCAGGATTTGCAAAGTATTCTCGGGTGGATTTAGGGCGCAGAGAAGAGATGCAGCAGATGAACGATGAGTATGGCGATGAGTACGCGGACCACGGCCAGCAGCGTCCGCCGCCGGCGCACTACCAGGCCGCGCGACCCATGGTGGATCCGGAGGCGGAGGGTGAGGTGGACCCGAACCTCTACCCGCAGGCCAAGGAGTCCACGCACAAGATCCGCGGCCGTTACGACATGATTGAGATGCTGTGCGGCTCCGTGGACCAGGAGCTCCTCTTCGTCAAGACTTTCTACTTCTTCTTCTACTCGGCTTTCGGATCACTGTTCCCGCTCATGGGTATAGTATATCACCCACCGCACCCCTGAAGCCCATCGTAATGCAGGCTCTTTTTTTGGCCCCCAAGGCGTCTACTTCAAGCAAATGGGCATGAATCCCGGCCAGTGCGGCCTTCTGATCGGCATCCGTCCGTTCGTGGAGTTCCTCTCGGCGCCCTTCTGGGGCAGCTATGCCGATCGCTGCAAGAAGGGCAAGACGCTACTCATGGCCTCACTTTCCTGCTGGATCCTCTTCACTCTGCCACTGGGATTCATCCAGCCGCCGGCCACAAGTTGCCTGGAGAAGCACAACGACACGGACTACGAGCTGAAGATCCCTCAAGTTCCGCGCATCCTCAAGAGATCCATTCCGCACGAGACCCTCACGGAGTTGGAAGACAGCTTCGGCCGCCTGGCTGACGGAACCAGGAAGTTTGAGCGTGTGACGAGGTCTGTCAGACCCATCTCTGAAGCTGGCCAATCTCCTCTCGACGTGCGCTATGCCTCGAATTACAACGCCAAGTTGCACGGAAGTTGGGTGTCTCCGCTGTTCTCCTCCATTGTCTACAGGACTGAGGACATCCAGAAGGCTTTCTTCCTCCTGATTTTGCTCGTTATCATTGGAGAGTTCTTTGCCGCTCCCGCTATCACGCTAGCTGACTCCGCTGTGATCACAATCTTAGGCGACCAGTCGGATCGCTATGGTCATCAGCGCATGTTCGGTTCCCTGGGCTGGGGTTTGGCCATGTTCTTCGTGGGCATCGCCCTGGATCACTCCACCGCCTTTCCTGACCACCCGTGCGGACCCGAGAAAGAGGAGAAGAACTACACCATCTGCTTCGCCACCTTCTCAGTGCTCATGGGCGCTGCCCTTCTCACGGCCACGCAGATTACCTTCAAGTACGACTACGAGGAGCCAGCACCAGTGGAGCCCCAAGGCGAGGTAAGCATCCCAGCAAGGCCAGCGCAAATTCCCTGCAAACGCGCCTGATTAACCATATAATTTCTAGGCAAAGCCCAGCTATGAGGATGAGATGCAGAACCAGCTGGCCGCTCAGCTGCAATTGCCCTCTTTGGCGGCGCCCACGAAGCCCTCTTCCGGATCCCTGCTCACGTCCGACATGGGCGCCCAGACGAAGATGTTCGCGCAAACCACCCGTGAAATGCCCGAATGGATGACTGTGCTGAAGCAATTCAAGAACCTTAAGTGCGGCAGCTTCCTCTTCGTCGCCTGGTTCATGGGATTCGGCATTGGACTGATCTTCACGTTCCTCTTCTGGCACTTGCAGGACTACGGCGGCTCTCCCACGCTCTTCGGCGTGGCGTCTGTGATCAATCACATTAGCGAGATCTTTGCCTACTTCTTCAGCTTCCGTCTCATCACTCAAATTGGCCACGTCAAGGTTTTGTGTCTCGGTTTAGTCGGCAACATCCTTCGCTTTCTGTACATCTCCTACCTGAAGAATCCCTGGTGGGTGCTGCCCTTTGAGTTCATGCAGGGCATCACCCATGCTGCTGTCTGGGCCGCCTGCTGCTCTTACATCTCTCACAATACGCCTCAACATCTGCGCGGATCTGCCCAGGGCGTCCTCCAGGGACTCCACCACGGATTGGGACGCGGCTGCGGCGCTGTCATCGGCGGGTGAGACTCATCTGACTCCTTCTCAGTCTCCTCAGTTCTCAAACCCGTTTCTCGTTTCAGAATCTTCGTGACTTGCTTCGGAACTACTGCTACATTCAGGGGCTACGGTGAGGATCAGAGGGCGTGGTTTAAGAGTGGGCGGAGCTTAGTAAATTCGAAATTTTTTTTTTCAGGAATCTCATGCATCTTTGTCTTGGCTGCTTTCATCTTCGTCAACTTTTATCGCAAGGAAGGGGGCTTTGTGTCTGACATTCCCATGACCGAGGATCCACGTCAGGTAAGCTTTCAGGCAACTCCGCAGGTATGCTGAGAGACTAATGAATGCAAACTTTCACACAGGTCGCTGAAGACACCGCACACTTGGCACCACACGGAGTCCCTAGCAACCCCATCCCTCGCGCTCTATCCAGCACTCGCCTCAATGAAGTCCACAGCAATGACAACTACGGAACTTCCTACCAGGCTGGCGGCAGTAATTTGGATGTGCCCGGAGGATCTCCCAGGAATCCCTTCCAGCAGTAAATGAACTCATCAAGGTGCGAAGCACACTCATAATTTAATTTCACAGTTTCTATCATTTGAGAAGGGCTAATCGAGGATGGTGAAAACCAGGCATTTTAAGGGAGAAAGTTGAGGTAAGCAAATTATTATTGACTTTATGGTGAGTTGAAAATTCGTTTTTCACTTTTAACTTTTGCAGAAGATACAAGTGTATTTTTTGGGGGAAAATATGTTATACCTGTTATACTCTACAATTTACACACGCTATTAGCCGCGTGCTCGAGATTGCTTTTTTCGAGAATGACACCTGCGTCTTCACGACCATTGAGGAAGGATTTTGGGCGAGCATGGTTTTTCCTTTGTAGATATTTACATTATATACATAGCGTAGGATAAAAAAAAAAACATTGGAAAAAAGATACTTAGATATGAAATTTATCTCAAGATCAGCATTTTAGCGAAACCTCACAACATTCTCGCGCAAACGCGAGAAGAGAACTCTATTTTTTTGAGTACATTTTAGAGAGACAACAATTCCACACAAAATATAGTGATGCAAGAGTGATTAAGCTGCGAATTGTAATTCTAACCTAAGAGCATTAATTACCATTTAGCGTGTAAGACAAAAGAAAAATCGACTTTAGGATTCTCAGAGAGAGAGACTCATGACCATTAACACCAGCACTTTTATGCATTAGCTTGTCCTGCATTTAAAGCTTCGCTGATAAAAGCTCAATTCTAAATGAAAAACTCGCTTCCTATCCCAACACATGAACAGCAATAGTCAAAATAGCAACGATAAACAATGAATTTTCTTTTGCTATACAAGTCCATATGTTAATGTTAGCACAGAAATCTGTCCATTGAATAGAAATGTTATTTCTTATGCTTGCAAAATTGTGCAGTTGAAGAATATTTTCCCTGACAAAAATCCGTGATCAAGAAACACTGTGTCTCGGTTGATGAACCACACAAAGATAGGAAAATACAATGAGGGAGACCTACAATCATCACAATCGCTTATCAATGTCATATCATTAGGGCGTAAGGAAGAAAAAAAAATACTATATATATACACATCTTAAGGATATACAAGTATTATTGACTTATACTATTATACAAAATGAAATTTAAGAAAATGTTATATTTAAGAAGAGATTAACTATAATAGATATTTTATTGAAACATTTACGTTTTACCTCTTGATAGGTTAACCCAAAGAAGATAAAAAAATAAATAAATATCAATGGATTTCAATATTGAAAATCATGGAAAAGATCCAAACGTATTAATCCAAATATAGTGAATAAAATGTACTTGACTAATCTATAGTGGAGAAGAATCTGTGTGGAAGAATATCACTCTTGCTCTTAAACTAAAAACCCTCTAAAAACTAACTTCTGTGTAAACCAATGATAAAATACCCCGCAAAGAGCCATAATGGAGTCTTAAAAACACCCTAAAAAACCAACTCATATTGTTGTGTAAATGTAATCTTGTAATAGTGTATTGTACAGCACTTGTAAAGAGAATTTGATGAAATAAATTGCACTTTATGAAATGTTAAAACACGTAATTTATTCGGTAAAAGTTCAATTTATTGTATTTAACCTTCATAAAAGGACTTTCCACACACTCACACACTTAATCCTTATGTTTTCTCCCTCTTCTTGAAGTTCCTCTTCGACGCACAACGATGAATGATGTCTGACACGTGAGATTTGTGATCGAATATCTTCATTATCTGCCCACGAGCCTCATTCACACCGTCAATAATCACTTTGCTCCTCTGCATGTTGCCCTTCAGCAGATCATTCACACGATCAACGTCCGGACTCTGCTCGTGCGCCTCCATCACTTGCAGCATCGACGACAGCTTGTCGTACACCTGAGACTCCAGCTCACACTGCAAAGGGACAAAAAAGCTCTAGAGCGCCTGTCTCGGGCCACAAAGTCACACTCTTGCACTCACCAGATCCTCCATTTGAGCGCTCAAGTGGTAAATCTTCCAGCCGTTGACCTTCTGCAGGACGTGCGCCTGATTGGCCAAGTCCATCACCGATGGCCTCCTCTCCTCCCGCGGCTTCACGTCCGAATAGCGCTGGAAGTGATTGTTGGCCGCCTTCCAGTTCTGCTTGTACGTCTCGAGGAGAGAACAAGCGCGCGGTTTCTTGATCGTCACCTCGGTCGACTGGCTGTTCTCCTTGTTGTTCACCTGCACTGGCATCTTGGCCTCCGCCTGCGCCGTGTTTGACACCTCCAACTGCTGCTTCCTCGGCTTCTTGCGCGGCGTTATTTCGATCACGTCACTGGCTGCATTCTGCTGTACCGCGGCGCCGAACGCAGCACTCATGCTCGTGTAGGCCAACTCACTCTGCGCCCTGAGCGCCATCGAGAGCTCCTCCGGATCCGGCATCTGTTGCTGCTGCTGCTCCAGTCCTGGACTCGAAGTGGCACTAACAGTTGTCGATCCGTCACTGGACGGCGGCCGCGGCGAAGGCGGTTGCTCCAGCTTTAGCTCCTTCTCCACCTCCACCGACGCCGGCGAGGCCTTGCCCATGGATTGCAGGATGGGCACGAGATTCTTCACCCCCTTCGGCGCCACGCACGCTCCCTCGTTGTCCCTCTTGCGCAGAATACTCGGCCGCGGACTCGTGGTGGGCGCTAGCTTGGCCGGCACAGGAATCAGCATGTGCTGCTGCGCCGTCGACGTGGGCTGCGTCATCGTGATGATCTGATGCGACGCCTGTCCCGCCGTTGAGTTGTCCACGATCAACTGTGGCTGGAAGCGCACGGGAACCGTCTGGACGCTTGTCGCCTGACCAGCTGACGTCGTGGGCACAAGTCCGTGGATCTGCCGGTTCCCACCGACCACGGCGAACGATCCTCCCGTGGCTGAGGAGTAGCTGAGACTCGTTACGCTGCTGCTGGGCGTCGAGGTGATCGCCAGCTGCACTCCGGCCGCTGTTGCAGAAGTTGACACCGCCGGACGCTGGATAAACACTTCAGATGACGACACAGATTGCTGCTGCGGTAGAACCTTGGCAATTGGCGGTACGGACACTACCTGATTTACTGCAGTCGATGGCGCACTTGACACCCCAATTCCCGGAACATTCGTCCTCACCATCCCCGCACTGGGAGCCACCTGTGTGCCTTGGATCCCCGTCGGTCGCGTGGCAATGGCCAGAGGCACCACTGTCGTTCCACCGGCGCTCTGATTCTGTGCGGCTGTGAGGATTTGCTGCTGATTTACTGTCACCAGCTGATGCGGCTGACCTTGCTGGTTCACACTGACAATCTGGGCGATCGACTGACTCCCAGGCGCCGTCTGCTGCCCTCCTGACACTGCATGGTGGCTCTGCTGCTGGATCTGCGCCGTCTGAGTCCCACTCACCTGGGCGAGAGCCGGAGCTGGCTGGCCTGTGGCGCCCGACTGGGGCGGAAGTTTCCCAACGTGAGTTATCGTCAACGAAGGCTGAACTTTTCCCGATCCCAGATTCGTTGTCGCGCCTCTCTGCGTTCCCGTCGGCGTGTTCATGATCACCGGGTGCAGTGTCATGAGATTTCCCGTCAAGCGGCTGGCATTGATCACTTGAGCAGTGCCGCCAGACGGTGGCTGCTGGACTTGAATGATTCTCGTGGCCGGCAGACCCGTTCCACCTGTCGCTTGAGATGTTCTCGCCTGCACAGCCGTGGGGATTGTCGTGAGCACACTCGAGGGCGCCAAAACGGGCACACTCGGCGCCCGAATGCTGATATTCGCCGCACTAACGCGCACTCCAATACCCGCCGCCGACAATCTGGCGTTACTCAGTTGAATGGGTCGCACTTGCCGCGGTCCGCCGAGAGACGTGGCCACGGCCAGACGCTGCCCCGGAAATTGCTGCTGCGGATTTGACACATTGCTGTACACCAGAGTTGCGGTCTGCTGACGCGGCGCACACTGGACGGCCGCTAGGGTGGCGAAGATCTGCTGTTGCGATTGTGACACCACCACGTTTGAACTGGAGGACTGAACAGTACCCGCCTGGCCTGCTGGCGACGCCGCCACCACGTTCGCTGTAATCGTTTGCCCAGCGGTGGTGCTGACAGTCGCCGGGCCACCACTTGGCGTCATCATTCGAGGCGGACGCGGTGTTTGGCTGATACTGGCGCGGATTAATTGCGCTGGAACCTGCACCTGAACAGCTCCAGTGCCTGACATCCATGTCGTAGCGCCTTGAACTGCAAAAAGAAGGAAATTTCATTAGTCTCACAGCGAATATAAGTGCATAAGCGGAGTTTCTCGGAAATAGAGATTGTCAGATTGTAGGAAATCATAGTCAGGGGAGCACGAATGCAGCCCCCGATGATCAGATTCCACTGCTGATGAGGGCAGTGGTGTCGAAACAAATCCATTCTCATCATCAATCTCTCACACTCCCGGATCTGACGTCGAACCTGCGCTCATTCGGTCAAAGGCAGGTGCCTTAGCCAACTGCGCCACTGCTCAACTACCCTCAGCTCACCTGGAGAGATCACTGTTGCCGCCGGCGAGGGCGTCCTGGGCGGGGCGGAGCTCCTCACGAATGTCGAGCTGATATTTGCAGCCGGAGGCGTGGGTGTGCGTGGATTTGCGGTCACAGCTCTCGCTCCTGCCATGTTGGTCACCGTGGTGACACCTGAAACACACCCCGGGGGTACACGCATTAGAATCTCCCGCATCGCCACACTTCCGGAAGCAATCTCACCTCGTGGCACATAAGTTGTGGGCGTCTGTGTTCTCGTGACTGTTATCGATGTCTGCGAGAGACTCCGGGCGGGCAGGGCGGTGATCTGGGTTCTGCCGGATGTGTCGACTGCAAGATAGTAAGCCAAATCAGCACTCAGCTGACCAAAAGTGGGGCGCTCAAGGGCAACTCACCTTGCTTTATCATTGCTTGCGGCATGAGATGAGTCTGGATGATTTGTGCAGTTCCGGACGTCTGCACGGCGCCCGCAATGAGACGCATTTGAGGCTGTCCAATGGTTCTGCCAGGTAGAATGCGGATTTATTGCATTATTAGTGATTTCAGGGTGTTTTGGGGGCAGAACTCACCGAAACGTTTGCTGTGTTTGTGGCTTTCCGTCTGAGGCGGGCTTCACGAGGGCCACCTTGGGTGCCAGATCGATGGGAAAGGCTATCGTCTTTCCCACAGGAATCTTGTCACCCTCCTGGCCACTCATCTCGACACACTTTTGCACTCTTTTCACCTGACGATGGTAAAAGCAACACCAATTCTCGCAATGGCGGCGCGTTGCCTCTTCGCCACTTGCTCAGTTTTGCTCAAAACAGACAGTGGCGCCGCCAGTAGATACGCAGCCGGAAATGCTTTCACGCTGTTTTTGATGTGTTCTCTGTGAATTTTCTGTATTTTCCGTGTGTTTTACGAGCTTTTCCAGCCGCACAATGAGCAAGGATCAAAGATCCGAGAGTGTTAAAGTGGTGTGCAGTATAAATCCGAGTATTCTCAAGCAATTGGGACTAGATGGGCAGATTAAGAGTGCCCTTGCTAAGGCTTCAAGTGAGTTTTCCACGTTTTTCACGTATTTTCCGGATAATTTCCTTGGTTTTCCCTGGTAGCCGGCGCTTTTGAACAGCCAACGGTCAATGGGACTGAAGTGTGGGGCCAGGAGATGTCCAGAATGTCTGGCAGCAGTGTGGCGAGCTCGTCTGTGGGTCAGTGGCGAGGACGACTGCCTGATAACCTGACACTCTCCGGTTCAATCCTTGGAATATTAAGCTAATCTTTTGCCGTTTCCACTCCTTTTTTACTCCGCAGAACCCCGGAAACTCACGCAGAAAGTGTGCACAGCGGAGAGGAAGGAGGAAGTCGTGGCGCCTCAGAAGAAAATTCTGGTGATTAAACAGGAAACTGTGGACTCAAATCTTGCGACGGAGATTCTTCAGACGCTGCCCAAGAATGACAGGATTACAAATATCATCGAGGGAAGGTTGAAAGGCCTGCCGGAGAGTAAACATGAGCTTCCCGAGGCGGAAGGCGATGTTGTTCTGGAGGAGATCTGGCCAGCTCAGGAGCAGGAGTATGTGGGAGAAGTTGTGGAGTTTCAGGACAATTTCTATCAGCCAGAAATTTATCAGGATGGCGAAGTGTATGAATATGTGATTGAGCATCAAGAGGAAATCGAGGAACCTCTTCAGGAGAACTCTCAAGATATCCAGGAAGTTCAGGAAGTTGTCATAGAAGAGAAGATTAACTCAGACTCTGAAGATAGCTTTCTGGGTTTTTGCACACCAGCCGAAAATCCTGAGGAAAATCCCCTTGCGATGCCAAAATCACAGCCTCGTCTCTACAGATCGCTGTCAGACACAATAGCAACTGTGAGATCTAGAATGTCAATCCACAGAGAGGCGAAGGAGCTGGCAAAGTCTCTAGTGAGGATCCCAGAGAGTCCTGGAGAGTCTGAAGAGTCGGCAGAGAGTGCAGAAACTTCTGAAGAAGAGGAGTCATTCAAGGGATTCTCCGAAGAGTCACAAGATGGGAGGATAAGTTTCCTCTTCAAGTACATGGACAAAGAGAGAGTCATCAAGGATATTTTGGCACTCAAGAGGAACTCCTTGGATGGAATGATGGATGAGTCTTTCGAGGATAGCGATGAGGAGAATCCAACAAATCCAAGTCCTGGTGAACCTGAAGGGGAAGAAGATGCAGGAGATGCACTTGGAAGCGCTCATGAGAGTCCCAGGGAAGATATCAGGCATTCCTTCATTATCACTGAGATCGAGGACATAGCGGAACCTCATGTAGTTAAATCTGAGCAACAGGAAATATTTCCGACCATAAATCCGCAAATTCCCATGGAAGAGGAAGTCAGAGAACCTGAAATAGAGACTGAAGAGTATCCAGAAATTCCGGAAATCAGGATGAACAGTTTTTCGACAAGAAATACTGAAATTCCGATGGAGAAAGAAGTCAGAGAACCAGAAATAGAGTCTGAAGAATCTCCAGATGTTCCAGTAGTTCGAGTTAAAATGGAGAAAACTACTGAAGATAATTTCTTCTTGCAGCCTGAAGAGCCTAGCAGGAGTACAAGATCGAGAGGAAAAGTAAAGCTTAAAGACATCAGTGTTTTTCAGGAAACTCGCCGAATTTCCAGAAGGTCTCTGAAGTCTCAAGAGGCTCCGGATGTACAGGCAGCGCAGGAAAGTGAAGCTGTAGAGGAAATTCCCGTGAAAAGGAAGGCCGAATTGATGAAGCAAGAGCCGAAGCGTCAGAAAGTGTCCAAGATCGCGTACAAGACTGTGATTTGTGGTCGATGCCAGGCCTCTGTGGCCTCAAATGCCTGGTATAAACACTTGTTGACACACAACGGCGTGGCGTGGAAGGAGAGCGAAGAGCAGCCCATTGACTTCCATGATGACGATGTGCGAGCCAAAGTCATCCAGAACTTCATGCGGAAACACCGCCTCAGCCAAGTGAGGTGCGAGAAGTGCAAAGACGTTCGCAAGTCGGGCGTTGGGCTCGTGAGTCACGAGAGAACGTGTGGGAAGTCCTCTGACGAGGTGAAGGAGACGATGACGACGTGCGAGCACTGCTCAAAGCGGGTGCTGCCATGCAGCTTGAAGACACATCTGGCCAATCACTGTTCCGTGCTGAGGAAGCTGCAGGCCAGCGAGGCTAGTGAGAAGCAGGCGGAACAGCTCAACACCACGGACACAGAGGCTGAGTACTCAGCTGCTGGACGGCTGAAGAGGAAGAGCAAGAGAGTGGCTGAGGCAAAGTTCCGCAGAGATTTGAGTCCTGACGACAGCGAACCGTTCACGAGGAGTGATTCTGACGCTTCAATAGGAATGGAATCTTCGGATTCTGATGGATCTAGTGGCGTCTCGGAGATTAGTGAAGGGAATCCTAGTGATTCCGAGGAGGGTTCCAGAAGCAAGACGAGCAAGAAGAGGAGATTAAAGAAGAAATCGAGTCTTTTGGAGTCTAGGAATAGGACTCTAAACGATTCTATGAGAAAAGGTCAGTCCTTAGGCATCTCTCCAGCTGATCTAAGTTGGCGGGGCTTTCGAGTGGGAGAATCCTAATTTATTATTTGCTCTAATGACGATTTCACTGTCCTTTTACAGCCTACACTGGAAGATCATGGTCTGAGTGGAGAGCGATGAGCAGGAAAGACTTGATGCTTTACTACAAGAGCAATATTGATCAATTGTAAGTGTAGAACCTAGAATTCCTTGTCATTCTGTCTAATTGTATTTTTATGCATTTCCAGCCGCAGCATAAATCATAAAATTGATCCCATTTTCACTGATTGGATGCCTAAAATCTTGCCTACCGCTGATAATGAGGTGTTTAGAGATTACCTGCCAAAATCCACCACTTCCATCTCCTATGATCAACACAAAGTGGCCAATTACAAAGTGTCCTTCGGCGGAGCATCCAGCAGAAACATGTCGACACTTGAGCGCTTCGAGGGCGTCTGTGACGGCACGAATCCTCCAATTTTCTACTGCGGTGCCCCAATATTGTCACTAGACTGGCTGCCTTGTCCTCCGGAGGCGATTCGGGGAGACATTGTGGCCATCTCGTGTGCCTCCAGCTTTCGCAAGCACTACGAATACTCACACGGTGATGCGGAGAAGACAACTATTCAGATTTGGAGCGTTGAGAGCGATAATGTTTGCTTTCTCTATGGCATCGCATACGATTGGGGACCGGTGTTCTGTCTGAAGTTCTGTCCAAGCGGAGGTTTCTCACCTGCCGGCCGGCTGGGATTATTGGCCGCGTCCTCGTGCAACGGGAAAATCGCTATTTTTGCCCTGCCGATGCCGCCATTGGGCGGAAAGGTGGTGAAATTGCCACCATCTGTGATGCTGGAGAGTCGACAAGAGAGCTTGGTGACGAGAGTGGCGTGGTCGGAGATGACGGGACACAACTATGTGGCCGCAGGTCTGTCCAGTGGCCGAGTGTACGTGTGGAAATTGGACGTTGAGTCGCGATTGCTGAAGCGACAGAGACCAGATCGACAGATTATCTATCCCAATCGCACCATTTATGCGCATCTTTATCCCGTGACGGCGTTGATCTTCGGTCGTCTGGAAGACAGAAATCTGCTGCTCATGGGCAGTGTTGACAAGACTGTGAAGATCTTCGATGTGATCGCGGACGCTGAGATCTCCACGCTGGCCTGCAAGAGTCAGATTACCTGTGCTGCCTGGCCACTTAATTGGCCTATGTACGTGTATGGGATTGACAACAGCTATCAGTGGAATCGCACAGAAGTGCAACTGAAACAGCCCTTCAACATACCATACGAAGATGCCACGCTGATTGTTCATACGCAAGACATCACGGATCTTTCACTGAACGAGTGGAGGAACGCTCTGATCATCAGCACGGAGTCTGGAGATATTTGCGCCAACCTCCGGCCCTTCTACTCGCCACTGAGCAAGAAGTCCGATCTCATGAGACGCATCATTGGCTACACAGACTCCATCCAGATCACGGAAACCAACAGTGCAATGCACGATGAGGAATCGCTAAACTATAGCAGTGAGAATTGCGGCATAATCTTCTGCGATTTTCAAAGAGTGAGTGCTAAAAATCCCAGAAAATGGAGTAAAAGACAATGTCTAAGGGCTTCGTTTATTTCAGGAAGTGGACTTGAAAGCTACAAAGGCGCACAGAACACGGCACATCGCTGACTATCCACTCACGAAGATCAACCGGGTCGTCTTCAATCCCAACGAGAGGAACCACACGCTGTACGCCATCGGCTACCAGGCGGGCTTCGTGAGGGTGTGCGGACTGGGTGACTAGGCGTTCTCTGAGGGCGCTTCTTCCTCCTTGTCGTGACCATCGTTGGAGGTTTTCTCGTCGCCCTCGTGCTCCTCGATTGCCTCCTCCAGCGCCGCGATATCCGCCACTTCCTGCCCATTCTGCACTGACGACGTGTCCTCGTCCTTCTTCTTCTTTTTCTTCTTCTTGCCGCGCTTGCTCACCTCCAGGTGCTCCTCCTCGACGGCTTCGCCCTCCTCACGATTGGTGTAGCCCTCGGGGAAGAAGGAGAGACACTCAGCTTCACCCTGAACGCAGTTCTGGCTGACGAAGCACGGCCCGAGCGAGACGAGCTCCAGCACGGCTTCCGTGTTAGCTTTGGTCACCTTTAGGACGAGCTTGTCGCTGACAGTGCGCTTCACCTGTGGGACGATTGTGGAATTTTATGGACAGACTGATGGGGGAATTAAATGGTTTACTTACCTTAGCATAAGAATCATTGGTGTTCGCGATGAGTTCGGTGGCCTTTGGATCAGCAGATGTGAAGTATCCGTAGGCCAGGACGGCTTCCTTATGCTTCTGGCAGGCGTCCATGATGTCCTGCTTTTTGAAGGCGTCGAAGATGATGGCCAGATGAGGTGGATCTGGTACGGGATCCGGCGGCAGGAATAACTCAGTCAGACTGCGAAAAAACAAGTAGATCAGCGCGGCGTTTGCTCGGCGATTCAGTGGCGTCCAGGCGGCTGGAACCAGCACCTTTGGCCTCTCCTCGACCTTCTCCAGACTGGGTGACGGTGTGGCTCGTGGCGGATCCAGTTCGGCGGCACACAAGACGGGAGACAATTGCACCTCAACTTCCTCGCCAGCATCGTTCTGTGTGGTCACAAACTGAGGGTCCGTGAGAGCGGCGTGAACCAGCTGCAGCACTTCCTCCACAGGACGAGTCTCCTGATCTGCCACCTTCCACGCCACAGCCTGTAGCTCCTTGTTGAAGATCACCTCGAGCACGTCCTCCGGCAGTGGATTATCGCACTCAAAGTGCAGGATCTCCAGCATATCAGGCATCAACTTCACGATGCGCTTGTCCTTGCAGCACACACCAAAAGGATCTGCGGACTCAGAGATGCGCCTGAAGGAGTCCTTCGGTATTTGTGGCATCAGCAGCATCACGCCGTGATCCCGAATGTTCGTCATGATGTCATCTGTGACGTGGACAATGAAGTCGCGACGCTTCTTCTTCATGGATTCCTGTTCAGCCCGCACGGCCTCCTCCTCGAGGCGCTGCTTTTCCTCCACGCGCTCCATCTCGGCCGGCGTGAGCTCCTGGAACTCAAAGAATGTCCTTTCGCCCTCGCCAGCGCGAACACTCTTCTCGATCTTCAGCTCCTCCGCGATGAGCTTCATCAGCTTCGGCACATTGGCGCCAAACATTAAGTTTACAACTTTGCCTTTCGATGCGAACAGCCACGTTGGTTCGCTCCTGTTCCTGAATCTCTTCAGGATCTCAATCTCGTCGACTTTGCACTGGAAAAGGCACAATATCACCTAGCTGTATAAGGCATATACCTATATTTATGAATAGAAATCTATGCTCACGACTGCCAAGTGAAGATCATCTCCGCCCAGTTCCAGCTTTATCTTCTTCAGACTCCCAACCATGCCCAAACAAGGTCCGCACCAGTCCGTGAAGATGTCCAGGACGAGCAGTCCGTCTCTCTCCAGGAACTTGGTCAGTTCATCGTCTGTGTTTATTTCCGTTTGTAGCTGCTGAACACCTCCTTTCTTCGTCATTCAGAATTCTTTCACTCGCGGTCTTTTATTACTTGGGCAATTTTTATTGAAGAATTAAGACGCAAAAGTTGAAAATATCAGGAAAAAATCCTTTATTTACTCGTTGCTAAGCATCTGTTTTCGCGCCAATTGAGATTTCACATGAAGAATTATTGATATTAATGAACTCGATGCTCAAATTTTGTGTAAAACACAAAATGTTTCAATTAAATAAATTGAATCGTGTCTTTAGGCTAGGAAAACATTAAAGAAATTATATAAAAATGTGGAGTTTATTCAGCTCTTTACTAGCAATACTAACAGTGGAGATATGCTATCAGTGAAGCATTAAACATGACAATTTTCCAGCATAAAGCTTCCCAGCATTGTTGAGGGAATTGAAAGTTCTCAAGTAGAGACTCGATAAGAATTGCCTATCATCTCCGCACAATTCTCCCACGCTCACTTTCGCTCCGCTCTTTATCGACACGCGATAAGGATGTTTTATGTCTTTTGTCTCTGCACTGTAAACTTGTGACAATTTTGCCCACACGTTATCAATCAGTTGTTGTCTCGAAAGTACCTGTTTGCTGTTTTAGATCCAGAATGGTATTCGAGACACAATTGGTTAAGTTCGATCCTCGCTCTTTATCTATTTTAATTTTTTATTCTAATTATTTTTTACCACTTCGTTCTACGAATTGATATAGAATTGATAGTGGCGGATATTATGCCGGTGAAATGGATGAAATATTTGGGGAAAATGCGGAATTGGAGTCCCATGGAAATTCACTTGAGAGGCATTATCGCGACGCTCGGCGGTTTTCTTATCATCCCGCGCGGCAATTCACTTGAGATACCTCAAGTGCAGGCATCTTCTGCTACCGAGAGGCCTTGTTGACTCTATTCACGATCACTGATAGTGCAATTTGACGCCACGCCAGAGTGCATTGAGCGTGCAGTTGACGCGTTATCGCGTTTGAAATGGTCTCGGTGACTAAAGCATCGCACTTAATTATGTGTCTCGCTAGTTTCGAGACCATTGCAAACCACTCTTGGACAACATTTTGCATGCAAATGTGCGTGAAATAAAAATGCACAGTCGGCAGGAAAAAAATCGCTCGTCTTATTTGAAATTGTGAAAAAAATTCGTTCATCATGAGCGCCTACAAGCCGGCAACCAGCTGTGCTTGCTCTTCCCTTCAGCTTTTATGGCGCAATTCTGGCGAAATTTAGTGTAGCTACGCAAGAGATGGAGCCAGGCGCGCCAGGATGAGAGCTGCCCCGTTCCCCAGCGCCCCGAAGACCGGCATAAGCACGCTGTGTAATTGTACGAGTGTTGCTCTTCGCGTAAAATCGATTTAAGGCCCATCCATCCTCTCGAGTGACACTGGAAGCGACCAGTACGCCAGGAGGTGGAATAAACCCCCAGAGATGCAGCCTCGTGCACACAGGCTGTCCCGAATGGACGCGGGTGAGAATGTGGAAATGTATTTGGTATAGTTTATTTGCAGATTGACACGCTTAAAACTTTACCAGAGAGCTCAGAAAAATGGTTAGAACACAATTTACTGTATAATGAAAAATCTAAACAGTGGATTTTTTTAATGAATATCAACTAAAAAATTTATTCAAAGTGCACGCAGAATTTTTTATTTTTTCTAATAATGGGCGGAGCATTCGAGTGGGCGGGGCATGAAGGATAATAATTTTTTTCACAGAAGTCTCAGCCAAACCAAAAATTTTAAGGTTTGAACGACATTTATTACAAATTTTACCTATAAATATTTATATAAGTGATGCGTCGTGTTTAGCGGCAGATTGAGTTTAGACTCCGAACAGTATGCATTTCGGCGTCAATTCGGGCGCCAGTGTTGAGATGCCGTGGGACGCAGGTGCTGTAGTCGACGTTGAGAGGGATGGGGTGTCAACGGAGAAGCCTCTGCTCATGCGCACACCATCGGGAGATGTCGCGAGCTGACCAAAAGGCACCGCCAACTAGAGGGCGAAGCGCGCGTGAGCCTGTGTGCGTACTGAGACTCGCGCCAAAGCCCTCTTAGCGTACGAGTCGGAGCAGGAGGACTCGATAGGCCGTCCCTATTGCTCAGTGCAATAACTCCTTCGACCATTGACGCGTTCTCTGGCCCAAACCACCCCTTCGGCGACTCGGCACAGTGACACAACCGCAAGTCGGGGAACGATCTGGCGCGAGTCGTTGGTCGTAGTCGCAGAAAATATCACTAAAGTGCAGGACATATAATTGAGATCGCATGAAAAGTGGGTGAAAAGTGAGCCATAAAACCGACTTTCGCCGTTTCTGGCGTGCCTCTGGGTGTCGAACAATGGATTCCGTGGTAGAAAAGTGAGGAAAATCTGTGGGAAATTGCGCCGGGGGAACGCAAAGAGGCCGAGAAGCGTTGGTGGTGAAAAAGTGATAAAAGTGTCTGTGCTCGTGAGGGGTGAAGAATGTGAAGAAAATCACCGGGAAAAATCTTCAGCGCCATCGGGGGACTTTTCACCATGCAAGTGGGTTCCCAATTGCCATATCGAATGTGTCACTGGGCCGAATAGGCCGCCTTCTCACGTCCCAGGCACAGGACATGGTGCCAAAGTGGTCCCGAAGGAACCGCACTCGCAAGAGTGCCCCGAATTGACTTTCCCACACACTCTCGCACGGCGAGTATCGATTGGGCGAAGGAAAGCCGTGGCGGAGGATATTTTTAATTAAACAGAATGTGATTATGTTTGGGTGTAGGAGAACAATGGGTGGCCCACCTCCGCCCACTCATGCAAATTACTCCTCAATGACTCTGGCTTTTTCTATCATTTTCATAATTTTGCCCAACGCTGTGACACCCTCACGCTGAAGGCTCAAATGAAATTTCCGTTGCAACAAATAACTCAATGAGGGTTAAATTTGTTTAGTGTTGTTGCCTCGCACACCCCCTTGCCGAAAGGGTGGCGCGCGTGAGTGAAAATCGATTCGGCAATTTAATGCTTGTGGGCCATTTTCACCCTCAAGTTGTACAACTGGCTCCCTTGGACAATGTTCGGTGCTCAGCAAAAGCGTGGTCAGTTATTCCGGATCACGTTCTTGCCCAATTTCTCTGGTATTAATTGCCTCGAGAGGGAGTCTATTTCCCAGGAGGATTAGTTCACGTCTCAAGACACGAGAGCGATATGAATGTCCTTAAGACATTCAGGCAGTTTAGTCGTTTGCCTTCCTTATCATTAAAGCCCTATCGCACGTTTTATTGTGTCTCTGAACATTTTTTCTAGTGTCAGAAGCACTCTGCTCTCAAGATTTCCACTCCGAAGAACTCAGTCACGGGCATTTGTGAATCTATGCATCACTTGTGATCAGAGCTTCTGCAAAAGGTTTCTAACGCATTTTTTGTTGTTTGCAAAGTACAAGTTTTGAACTACAATTTTGTCTTGGATGTTCTCAAAAAATATTTCATATTCATATTTCTCTGATTAAAGAAACTGACTGTTGATGGACGGAAGTTTCTCAGACTATGAGAGAAGCGAGAAAAAGAAAATGACTTTCACATTTGCATCTCTTTAATTTTCTCAACCTTCTCATTCTTCTTTTATCCTTGTGAATGTCGTGATTTCAATAACTGCGATAAACTCACCATCAGCCAAGTCGGAGAAAAGATAAGCGCACGGGTCAGAGAATTCCTGAGACTGCTCAGCATTTCCCACTCCCCATGTCGAGATTCTGCGACAGAAATCTTCATCATGCCTAATCTGATGGTTAACATAAAAGTTGAGATCTCTTTGAGATTTTGTCAAATCTGCCTTGGCAGAAGAAAGCCACTCTGAAATGATCACGATTGAGGGATTTCTAAATTTGTATTCATTTCCATTTCGGGCGCTCGTGTGCTTCTCTCCACTTTAGCGATGTAGTGTAGACTGGAAAGAGCCATCAATGGATTATATTTGCCTTCCGCAGAAGGTGAAGCAATCTCCGAAATCCAAAGGGTTCACCAGAGGGTGGAAAATTGCGGATGGGGAAGAACTCCTGGGTGATTTATTGATCGAATCTATAAAAGTACATAAAAAGAGCGGCATTTGCCTGGTATTTCGGCATCTCTCAATTTCTGCTGGATAATCCCTTCCACAGCCCCCGAATTTTACGTCTCCCCGCACCCGCTTCAGCCCCTCTGCATGCCTGAGCAGCCTGCAGGGGTGCGGGCGGGGAGCTGTGGTGTGACCAAGCGATTCACCTACAATGGGAGCCACAAAAATGCCTCCTCGAGACCAGATGGAAATCTCACTTTGCAGGAAATTGATGTCATACCAGAGTTGAAATGAGTTTATTATATTCACTTCCACCGCCATTAATCTCGCCATCGAGTGTGCTGTGAATGCATTTTCGCTGTCCAAGTGTCATATCAATGAATTCTATTTATTAATAATTACTATAATTGACGCCATGATTCAATTAAAATCTTTCTATTCATATGATTGATACACTAAAATTTTTCATTAAAATCTTGCAAAGATGATGAGACTCTATTGGAAATTCATGACGGACATATTTGAATTGCAATTGAATTTCAGAGAATTGTGACACAATACAACAATTTTCCATTTATTTATTAAAAATTCATATTTATAAAAATATAATTATTTCTACTTCCCATAGTAAAATCACTGAAATTTTATATAAATCATTTAAATTGAAATTAGCGACAAATGAAAAAGATTTATATAATTTTCAAATAATAACAGAGAAAGAAAAAACGACAATTTATTGAGCATTTCACATTTCTTTGGAAGGGTTTGAATTTTGGCACTGAATTATATTCGTTCAATGGAAGTAAAATCAAAGGTTATCATTGGCGGAGAACTTTTGTGTTGGTTTAAAAGATAAGACTCAAGAAAACAGAGACACAAATTTGGTGTCTTCGCATTGACTCTCAGTAAATTACAAAGTGCCCGATTGACGGCTTTACAATAGAGTTGCCTCCCTTTTCATACAGGTAATGGCAGTTCAAAAGTGTGAAATTTAAATAGAATTCAGGTTAGGAATGTCTGAATGAGAGATTCTGTGTGTAAAGTTTCATTAACACTTGGAATTACTGCTGTTTGCAATTATTAAATCAATCCATTCATTTGAATTTAATCACTAAAGTGTAATTCTCTTGGAATTTGCTTTGAGCATTGACTTGAGAATATTCCTAGCAGGGTTCCCTGAGTGATTGACTTCCCCTTTTGCAGACTTCCCGGGTGGTCTTCTTCGCCAAGGGACACGGACAAGTCAATTGAAGTGTGTGCAGATGCTGTGAAGCCGCCAGGATGATGTGGATCCCGAAGCCGCCGGACGGATGCGTCCGCATGGCAATCCTGCTGCTCGTCGGCTTCCTCGCTCTCGTGGACGCCACTGAGGGCGCGGAGAAGGAGAAGAAGAGCCAAATATGTGAGTACAATCCCTCCAATCTCGACACTCCTGCCACTACCCAGTCACAGACAAAGAGCGGAGTGAATTTTTTAAATAAATTATCATGCACAGCGCAACAGGTGGACATATAAAAATGTATTTTACCAAGCGCGCCTCGTCAGATGCCCGACGAGTCTAGTTTGCAGAGTGATTGAACAAAAAGTTCAATTTAATCCCATTGACACCCCAGGCAGTGGATTACAGTGATTGTTGCACTCAAATATTGACACAAGTTAATTCTTGAAATTAAACTGTACAACACCGCGCTTTTCGCGTCGCGGGAAAAAGTGTATTTGCAATGTAAATTTTTCCAACAGTCGTGTGTTGGCAAAATGAAATGAAAGGAAAATATAAAAGGGGTTTTGGGATTATTTCTGGCCTCAGCGCAAAAATCAATTAGAAGTGCAGAACAGATTTAAGACGGAAAGCTGTGAGCTTTCGCCCGGCTTCAGAGCCTTTCAATGTTCCCACGTTTTCGCCGTTGAGTGCGATTCTAAATTATGGCGCCCTTAAGGAATTAATATGTGTTTTCCTAATTGCATTTGCATTTTCCATGAAGCACCAGCACGCCATTGCTCTTAGAGACTTTCCTGGTCAATTGAAGGCAATCGAATAAAGAAGTGCATAGCAAATTGGTATAAAATTAATTTTATTTGCTTTTCTTAAAAAAAAATCTTATGTGGCTATAATTTGTATTGTCTGAGTAAAATTTAGCTTTTCAGTACAGAAAATTAACTTTGTTGCTTGTTGATTCAAGCCAAAAACAAAAAAGAATAGATTTTTAAATTTTAGACACTTGGTGAAATTTCTCAATCTTCACTCATTCTTCTTCAGCAATTTGCGGAATTGAACAAATCCCCTTTTCTATATATTCTGTTTCGACTGAAATATATGTTTGTGATCTTCTCTTCCTTATTATTATTATTCCTAGATTTTTGGATTATTCCACTTGACTGTCAAGTTGTATATTTGTCTCACTCTCCGCAGGACTTATTTCTCATCTTACCTCGCTGTTCTGTTTAAGAAATTACAAAAAACGACAATTCTTAAGTAAATATGACGGGGAATTTAGTTAACATCCCTCTTTTCTACCCTTGTCAACGTAATACACGTTAGGCGAAATGAAATAGTAATTTTCCTTTGGGAGGATTTACAATTTCTCAAGCTCTCAGATCGACATTGAAGGATTTTTCAATATAAAATCAAATGACAGTCCTTTATTCACTCTTCTCCATGGTGAAGAATCCATTTGGAGATTGTTTTTCCTGTGCGGAAAGACGAAAAACCTCTCTTTGAATTTGATCCTTTTTCCGTTCTTCGTGCCGCTTTTCCTTCTTTCTTCGTAATCTTGGCTGCGCAATCAAACGAATAGTGCGAAAGAATTGCAAGAATTGATATTGGAGGATTTTGGTCTCTCCATAACCCTCTCAATATCATGCGATGATAAGAGAAATCTTCTGTCAAACCATGATTTTTCTGTCCATCACAAGAATCTGAGCTGTAATTACAAATCAAACGGAATTCATTTGTGTGGCAAAAGCGTGCAGCATTTCAAATGCCAACGCTTTGTGCAGCACTTTGTGAAATTGTAAATCAAGCGTCGGATCACGGATGGGATTAGTAAAACAGCCTGGCTGAAATAGGAAGACTTGACGTGCTAAGAGTCTGGAAATTATGAAATTCCCTAGCAATTTTGAGTCACATCTTGAGTGCACGAGTGAAATTCGAAGCAATAAATTTCATTCTCTTATCCGGATGGTGAATTTAGGGCGACTCCTCCACAATATTCCTCTATAGATTCCTTTCTTCCGATATACTGTGTGGGAAATTCCCACCCACCAGGATTTTCCTACACACTCGCCTCAGTGTGTTGAGTGTGTATCTGAACTGAAGTCCCCAATATTCCGCCCAAAGGATACCGTATAGCAGAGGTTTTTCATGTCAGTAAAGTGTGTTGGGTGGAAAAGTTAACGAATATATGTGGGGATGAAAGAAGAGAAAAAGTCAAAGAGACGCGGTTCTGTTTAATTGGCAAATGAAGGGCGGATCTTTTGAACTTTGATGCCTTTCAAGCGCACTGACAACCCTTTCAGGGGTGCATATCGATCCGTCGATTGAAATCGAGACTAATTGAATAAGATTTCTACCTCTCGATTAAAGTTCCTCATGCAACATGCAATTAAACCTATAGAAATTATATCAATACGCGTGCCTGTAGACTTGGCAGTTGATGGCTGGGCAATTGTCAGTGGAGAATATTTCTGTCTCTCTGGTGAAATGCAATCAGAGATACAAAAGACAAGATTGAATCCCAGAGAATTCATCGAATATTTAAGCTCAGAACGCCTCGTCATCAACCCACAGAACACATCTTATGTGTGCGCAATATCGCACGCCAGAGAGAGAGCCCAACCCTTCCCACCCACTGTCCCCACAAGCGAGAGTGTAATTTATTTTAATAAAAATAAAATACTGCTGACTCTTGATCACACAATTTGCATAGAACAAGTGTTTCTCCGGGGGGTTCATCCGCAATCGTAAAATAAAATGAATTGCTCCCACTCCGTGTTGATGCGATTCACATGGCGTTCCTTTCTAATGGTAAAATCAGCAAATATTTTTTCGCCTCACCCACGAGACTTTCCCCGCCACAGAGGCTTTTTTGCACCCCATATCAAAAAAAAACAAGAGAACAAACATGAAACATCCAATGTTTTTCACCGTCAAGGGATGGAAAATCCTACATCACGACAAGCAATTTTCATTGGAATTCTGTAAATATGAATAGTTTCCCAACTTTTCCCTTTAAAAAGCAATTCAGCGGTTAACCCATTGACGTCCATGAGGCTCTGAGCGAGCTAATTTAGACGTAAGGGCAATTAGTCTTGTCTTGATATTGAGAAGTTGATTAGCATGATGAATAATATTGATTGTGACATGAAGAAGAAACATAATATTAGAAAAATTATATTATATTGACTCACTTTACATATTGTAATGCTGAGATTGCGATTTGCATTGCACTCCAAATCTATTATTTACTTTCTAGTGGTATTTTTGATCGAAATCATCTCGGTTGACAAATTCTTGTGTGCTTCAATCAATGGAGTACAAATCCATAATTTAGCATTGAATAGATTATAGTAAAGTGTATTCCGAGAAAAATAAGAGCGAAGAAGAGAAATACAATCAAGTATAAGGAGCGACATGAGTTTTTTTTTAATATACGATGGCGTAAAGTTAAAGATGATTATTTGAATACCTCACAAATTTTGAAATAGGCCTAATTTAGTATCTTACTTGCCGATAGTCTGAGTGAAATACAAAGAATAATACATATAGAAGTGAGAAAAATCATTGATTTTATTTATCTATGGATGTCTTAACAATAATACCTTCTTTGTGTGTAAGACACTGGCTAAACTATACACTCTTTTCATTACTCTCCGCCATCAAATCCTGCGGATTATTGCAAAAGTTTCCTGTTGTCTTTTTCCACTCCTTCCAGTGTTTGCTTTGGCAATATTTTCCCAGTGGAGAGGACAGAAAAGAATATATTTAATCCAGTAAACATCGACTGGAAAGGACGACGGGAATTCTTTATAAATTGCGCATATATCGCACACAGGGAGGAAAGAATTAAATTTTCTTCATTTCCGCTTCAGTGGAGACTTCCGACTTCCGCAAATCCGCGAACTTTCAGCAGAGACTCTGTGCATGGGCGCGGTGGGGAAAGTTTGAGCTATCGGTGTGCTCATGAGGAAAAACAGAATCGTTCAATGGTGCTGCTTTAATATTTAATACTTGAATTCTCTCTCCTTTGGCGTGTGAAAGTTTCTTCCACTTTGGAATTTTAGAATCATTAATAAAGTATTTGTGATGGATGCCACACTGGGAGTGGATTTCTCAACTCACACTCACCCTCAAGTGTCATCATGAAAGATTTATCATAAAATTTTTACAATTCACCAGAGTGGCACAAGCAGACGTGGAGACTGAAATGGAAAAGGATTATCCTGATTTCTCCACTCTGTCACATCCTTCAGTGCTTTTTTGCTCCCATCAACATGGGTGTGTTCATCGATTCATGTTCCGATTCATCGCATTTTTTCACGGATAACTTACATACTTGTCCCTCTCCCACAAAGGATTAGGCTTCAGCCAGAAAGTACATGGTTTCAAGGCTTTCAAGGGATGATTGCGCCATTGACATTTGCCACGTCAAATTTGGAGAAAGTTCCTCTTGTTTGATTTGAATTGAGCATCCGTTGAACCACCAAATCGACACTTTCATCTCGATTTTCACCTCTGTGACCATATTTTCATGGAATAAAGTTTCAATTGAAAATCAGTGTGGAGGAAGTGCAATATATTTCTGATCTCCGGACGCGTCAGAGATTTACAACCAAAAGTCACGCTCCACCTCAGATTTCCTACCCAATTCATCCTGGTGTGCAAGAGAAAGTCGTCATTTCTGTGAAAAATATTGCACATATGCTGAGGAAGGGAAACTCCTTTGAACCTTACTGAAAATGAGAGATTGAAGAGCGAGCAATTCCTTTGCAGTGATATTACAAAGGGAATAAAAGAGAATAAAGGAGGAATTGTATCGCAATGATTGAGCTTTATTGAATTGATTATACGCGGATGAATTGTGAGATGAAAGAATACATTTTTGAGCTCTTCGCATTTGCATAGATGTATTTTAGTCCTAGCTCTAATTGTGCAATTAGTATTTGTTTTTGCATTAGTTATAATGAATGTTGCATTTGGCAATCTTTTTCCTATTGACAGTGCACTCTAAACTATTAACCTGGTCGAGAAACTGAAGTCTTTGTCAAATGCAGTTAATATGATTGAAATTGACTTTCTGTCGATGCCATAGTGCGAGCGAGTCTCAAGAGGAGGAACTTTCACCGACAAAATAAATATTGAAGTTTCACCGGGGAAAAAAACTTCCTGACTATCTGCCATCAGGC